ACACGTATGCGATGTCGTGAAATTTATCGCAAATATGTGCGCATACGTATGCGATGTCGTGAAATTTATCGCGAATATATGCGCACACGTTTGCAATGTCGTGAAACAATTCGCGAATATGTGCGCACACGTATGCGATGTCGCGAAATTTATCGCGAATATGTGCGCACACGTATGCGATGTCGTGAAATTTATCGTGAATATATGCGCACACGTATGCGATGTCGTGAAACAATTCGCGAATATGTGCGCTCACGTATGCGATTTTGTTTGCAATGTCGTGAATTTTATTGCATACCTTTGTCGCATACCTTTGGGGTGATGTCATTTTTGCGGGCAATTTGTTAGTGACCTAGGGAGTACGCAAGTGGCCCTGGTCCCATTTTGTATACCCAAGATACTTCAAGGCAGGAGCTTGGGTACCAGGCAGTTACATTTCAGCGTGGCCAAGGTCATACCAAACTAAACTTAGCCGCGTTAAGCCCGGTTCATACTTCACGCGAAAGCGAAAGCGAAGCGAAATTCGTGACGCCAACAATACATTCGAAGCGCGTCCACCATTGTTGACGACATGCATTTCGCTTCGCACTTGCTTTCGCATGAAGTATGAACCGGGCCTTATGGGCCCAAAACCTAGCCGCGTTCTTAGCCGCGTTCTTAGCCGCGTTCTCAACCGCGGTATCAAAATCTCAAACACATAGAGTAAAAGGTGGTTGCCTCTCTGTTTGTAGTGAAAGGATTTCTTGGACTTTCCCAACGAAATGTTAAAGTTATACAATAAATGTACTATTTTTTATGCTTTCATCTAACCGAACCTTCTATTGGGCACATCATATTTTGGAGGGGGCCAATTTGGTCCACTAATTAGCTGTTAATTAAGGCCCTATCGAGGAGTCTCCATTTTCCACTCTAAAAGTGCACAAAAGGGAATGCTGCTGACCTATAACACCCCTTTAAAACAAAATGTACCCCACATAGTTTTATAAATTTGAATTTTTATTGCATAATCCATTTCATCCATCTACTGGGAAGATCAAATTTTGGAGGGGGCCAATTCGGTCCACTAATTAGCTGTTATTTAAGGCCCTATCGAGGAGTCTCCATTTTCCACTCTAAAAGTGCACAAAACTGAATGCTGATGACCTATAACACCCCTTTAAAACAAAATGTACCCCACATAGTTTTATAAATTTGAATTTTTATTGCATAATCCATTTCATCCATCTACTGGGAAGATCAAATTTTGGAGGGGGCCAATTCGGTCCACTAATTAGCTGTTAATTAAGGCCCTAATCAGGAGTCTCCATTTTCCACTCTAAAAGTGCACAAAAGGGAGTGCTGCTGACCTATAACACCCCTTTAAAACAAAATGTACCCAACATAGTTTTATAAATTTGAATTTTTATTGCATAATCCATTTCATCCATCTACTGGGAAGATCAAGTAATTTTATCTAGGTGGTATTATTAGCAGTTCGCAGCAGTTCATTTATCATTAATAGAACGTGCAGTTCATGTACAAATTGATCGCAACACCTGCAAATCACGGCAATTTAAATTTGCGTGCGCATATTTATTGGCTGAAATATGACACCACGTGAGTTTCAAACTTGCGCGCGCAAATTTCAAAGTTGCGCAAGTAGCAAGTTTGCGCTCGACAGGTTTATTAGTCAGACCCTATTTATATCTAACAGTACGTCTAGATTCCAGACTAGTTGCTACAACTCCCCAGTTCATTAGGAATTTTACTGAAAGGTATGCGACAAGGTATGCAATAAAATTCACGACATTGCAAACAAATTCGCATACGTGTGCGCACATATTCGCGATAAATTTCACGACATCGCATACGTGTGCGCATATATTCGCGATAAATTTCGCGACATCGCATACGTATGCGCACATATTCGCGATAAATTTCACGACATCGCATACGTGTGCGCACATATTCGCGATAAATTTTGCGACATCGCATACGTGTGCGCACATATTCGCGATAAATTTTGCAACATCGCATACGTGTGCGCACATATTAGCGAATTGTTTTACGACATTGCATACGTGTGCGCACATATTCGCGATAAATTTCGCGACATCGCATACGTGTGCGCACATATTCGCGAATTGTTTCACGATATTGCATACGTGTGCGCACACATTCGCGATAAATTTCGCGACATCGCATACGTATGCGCACACGTTTGCGATATGCGATGTCCCTTCAGGGCCACCATACAAATGAGATTTGCGTTTTCACGTCACGAAGAGCCACATATTATCTTTGTTACATTTTCAGCTCACGCGCGCGTACTCACGCGCGCCTATGGAAATACACGTTGAACACAAAGGGCCAATATGTCGGAAACCTGAATTTGCGTTTTCACGAAGAGCCACATCTCTTTACTAATTAATTTTCACTAATTAACTGCTGTATTAAGTCTTATTACCGGGTTTTTGTAAAACTTCAGCTCACGTAGAATCGTGTGGTGGTTTCCTTGCTGCACAAAGTTGTTGCAAAGTAGTATTTCTTGCAGTTTTAAAATATGAGAAACTTCTTTTGCGATTATCTCGAAAACACTTTTCTTCAAAATCAACATAATATATATAGTATGTGGCTGTTCGTAAAAACGGTGACGATATGAAGAGTCAATAGATTGTTATTGCCTCGATCTCGGCCAGGTAGCGACGGTATCGATTATTTTTGTCATCATTTGGTTCACTGAAGGCTTGCTTTATTAAAATGTCAGCAACCACTGTAGCGATAGTCATAAGCGACTATTCCCAGCTCCATCCATAATAACCAAATTCGAAATACTAATAAATATAGCCGTCGCGTTGAACTCTTGACCATAAAGGCGTACGCACACAGGACGTAACCAGGGGCATTTCAGGGGTCCTTAATTCTCTAGAGGGCGCACTCAGTGGGTTTGGTCACAATTTCACCAAATGCTGTCCAAGTTCTGTTTGTCTTCTCTAATTTACTGAGCGGATGAAATAGGGGCGGGACACAAGGTATCAATACCAGAAGATGGGGCTGCGTGCCTCCCTCCCATCTTATACGCTTTGAGTGTGTTTATTACGCCACTGCCGACTGACTTATTAGTGTCGCTACAGTGGAGAAAATGAATTCACTGTGAAACATTTCGCCTGATTGCGGGCATTCGCCTAATAGCAGCGGGGAAACTTATTCAGAATGACTCGTCGCCATGGTTTTTTTTTGGTAGATTTGGCCTTTTGTAAATATAGGGAGACACTTGATTAAAAAAAACCTTGAAGTTTTTTTGCTATATCCTGACGATCGTGGCTACGAAGTTTATGCGATATTATGCACGTTCACACGATGCGAATGGAAGATTTTAAACAACGGTATTATCAACTACGGTATAGATGTGATTGTGATTTTGATGATACAAACATGGAATATGGCATGCGGCCAGAGTATTTCATAGGAAAGATATTTGGCTACATTTAGGGCCATCGCAGATGTTATCCTTAGAAAAGGTTGAATAACAAGCAATGCCGGCAGCCATTTTGAAAATTTTGAAAATTGCTTGTTATTCTATCTATATTTTTTACCAAGGACAAATCTGCGAGTATCTTTCTCCATGCTCTGAACTTGTGCCAAATGCCATGCTTGTATCATCAAAGGCACAATCCCCCCAAATGATTTGAATGAACGAGCATAGGTAGCGTTTTGCGGTGAGTATGCGATATTACAGAGTATTATTTAGTGAATGATTCTGAAAAGAACCAGAGGTATAAACGACGTTCCGGTGATTCAACATTTCATTTTCAATTTAAAAATCCTGAAGACGGTCAGAGCATACTGACCGGAACGTCGAGTTTATACCTCTGGTTCTTTCAGAACAAGTCTCTTAGTTGAGAAATTATTCGCACATGGTGTTTCCGCAAACCTTTCACTACATGTATTTAGTATCTCCACCATGCAAAGCCTCCAATCTTACTTAGAGTATTATTTAAAATTGAAGGTGATTTGACTTGAGTACTGTACTAAAAGGCGTTGTTTTGATTTTTTTTTTTTTTTGGTTACGCTGAGGATTTTTCTCTTTACCAACCCGATGATGTTGTTGTTTTTTCGAGATGAAAGTTCTTTCAAAATGTTAGTGCTTTTGTTCCAATTTTGGATCACACGGTTATCGGCCTTGAACGTTGTTGTGTCAGACGTGATAGATCTGATGTGGGTTAGATAAAGCCATTATGAATACACACTTAATAGTGATACTATACGTCGACGTTTGCACTTATATAAAACACCTTTGGGTGATTTGAATGAACGAGTATATAGCTAGCGTTGCGTTGGAAAACGTGAGATATAATTTACTATAATTATGAGAAGTATTAAAAATTGAAAGTGATTTATGACTTGAGCATTAAGGCGTTGTATTGATCTTTTTTGTTACGCTGAGATTTTTGCTATTTACCAACCCGGAGTTGTTTTTCTTTTTAGATGAAAGTTCTTTCAAAATGTGACTCAGTATTTTTGCTCACGTTTGGAGCATCACCCTCATACTTTTTCATGTCAGACGCGTAATTGTACAGAACATGTACACAATGTACACGATATAGCTACTATCTTGTAATGACCTTTAATCCCATTATTTAATTAAAATATGCCACACTTTCCCAAAATGAGCAAATTTATGGGGTCATCATAGCATATGGGATGTACAGATGGAAGATTGTGGCGCAGAGAGCTAGAGTCAACTTCAAAAATCGCCCAACCGCAATTTGTGTACCCTCAAATTCTTTGCTATTAGATAGGCCACAGGACTACTTTTCGGGGTGATCAAAAGTTATCGGATAACGGAACACAAATTGAACCAAAAACAAATCATGATCTTTCATTTGATGGGTATGTCAAACACATCGGAGAGTTGTGAGTATTTTTCATTATTATGGAAGTACGCGTAATTATCACTGAAATCTATACTCGTTGCGTGCTCCCCATTTTTGGGGTGGCTAAAGTGCGCCACCAATGATAGGGATCTCAGCCCTGGCCGGCCCTGAGCAAAGTTTGTGAAACCCGATTGGACGCCATTTTCCGGCTTCTTTGCGTACGTGCAGTCTGCACAGTCGAACGATTTTGTTGGTAAGTGTTGTTTATCCTCGGTTTTTATAATATCTCTCGGATGCGATGCACAAAAAAAAAACTGCATATGAATTCCTGTTAAACTGGCATTGTTCTGTTTCATTTTCATTCAAATAAACGCTGCTTAAGACCATTTTCCCAGTAGTTAAACAGAAATAACATCCCGTTTGGGGTAGTGTCTGTCGCTGGTTTCCAAACACATGATATGAGATAATTGATACACTGCTAAATGGTGATAGAATAATCGCTGGTACTCGTGATGATGTAACTTTGAGCAACGATTACATGAATTGGTTTTTGCGCTTCTTTGCAGTCGTTTTAAATAATTTCCGGTCAATGGATTATTCAGAATTGGTTCATCTAAATATAATATGGCCAATAAGTTTATGAGCCAAATCTATGCTCTGTAATCCAAACATTAAGTCAGAAAAAAATCTAGTTGATTGGTTCATTGTGATTGTCATGATTGTTTGAAATTGAAAATGGGACTGAGGGGGTGGGGTGGGCATGGTGGGGTGCAGGTGAGGGCGTGGTTGGGGGATGGGCATTATGAATGAATCTTGCAAAAGAGTTCCATACCTGGACATCACTTGACACCCTGTACACAAACCCTACTGGTCTGAAAAATTCTGCTTCAGTATTTTCCCTGCTGAATTACTTTTTTCCCTTTTCTTGATCAACATGTTCCTGCCTCCATAAAGTCCATGGTTTCTCTATTCTAAAAAAACCAGCAATCCCAAATTCAATGTAATAATGGCAGGGTTTTTTTGGTAATGAACATTTGCAGGCTTTAACTTTCCAAGTCCAGAGAGACAATACACAGCTGAACAACAAACATGGCCGTCCCAGCAACATATGCAGACCTTGGCAAGTCAGCTAGAGATATCTTCGGAAAGGGCTACGGTATGTTCACACTCAATTTTGTTTCTGTAGAGTTTACTACTTTTTGTCATTTAAATGTTCTTTCCGATTAGCATCATTTCGTTCAAAGTGCGTTTTATAGCCCAATTGGCCCATCGCAGTAGAATCACGTCAGAATCGCGTCAACGCAGCTTGTGAAATATTGTCCAATTACATTATATACAAATGGACGCGGAACGCGCAAAAGGCTGAGACAACAAAATGTAGTTTACAAAAACTCCATAGGGTTGTCTAAGGGTCAATTGGGCTGTTCCAGGACGCAGTGTATTGTAAAAAAGGTAATTTGAAGTTCCTATACTCTACACGTGCACTTATTACATTTGGTGGTATATTTGAAGCAGAGCGTCCTGTTTGTTATTGCTGTAGTTATAGCTGGTTTCCTTACTAATTGCCATGGTGGTCTGGACACAGACACATGGTCATTACCACACTGCATACTGATTATGCATCACTTCCTTCTGAGTCTGGTCTCCGACCACACAAAGGCCTCGGTACACGTATGCATGAGATAAGTGGTAGATATGGTACACATGAAAATGCACATGTAGATTTTCAGTAGCAAGGGTTCAACACAAGTAAAGAAAACGGCTGATCGTTAAGGAAAAGTCAAGGCAGAACAAGATTGCCATATATCTAGGCAGTGTTTTTGAATAAACACTTGAAGTGTTTCTTGATCCATAATTCGGGACACTTTTTTTTATAGGATGGCGCGAACATCCAGGATCTTTTAAAATTTTCTTAACTAGTTCCCAGACTCATTTTATTGAAACTCAACAGTTCTTGAATCCAGAGTGCTGAAGTGTAACACAAAACAAACAAAGAAGCCAGAATTTCCGGAGGTTTGGAACAGAATTCAGCATTTGAAAAAAAAACCCAGTGTGTGTTCTGTTAGAAATCAGAATTTTTGAAATAGTTTGCTATAATTTGGCATAAGTTTATGTGCTCGAGTATTGAAATTTAGGATTGTGAAATGGCCATTAAATTTGTACATGTAAATTTACAATCTTCTGAAAAACAAGGAAGTTTATTTGTCAGTGTAACAGGAAGTGGAGAAATGAATAAGTTTTTATCAGTGTTCTCCATTTTTTCATTTTTTTTGTTTAGGGTTTGGATTTGTCAAGTTGGATGCAAAAACAACAACTCAAAAGGGTGTGGTAAGTGTTATTATTTGAAATAAATTAATATTTGTTTTCAAAACAATGCAAATATTTTGTGATCCATTTCATTAAGTTCTCAATGTATTATTTCCCACATATCCGCTGGCGAGATCTCACATGTTACCAAAAAAAACTTCACTAACAAAAGCTCCCTGATGTTTCCAAGTGGATGTTACTTTGAGTTTTAAGCAATCTTGATTCAGTGAACGCAATCCTATTTCTCACAATCAGCATCGGCTGTAATAATATTCGTCGTTTATTTTCACAGGACTTCAATGTTGTTGGGTCATCAAATAACGACACCGGCAAAGTCGATGGCAGCCTGGAGACGAAATACAGCTGGAAGGACTATGGTAAGTCTAACTGTATCCAAGCCCCAATCTCCATCAGTGTGCATTCGTATCGATCTTGGGCCGAACCAAAAATAATTCTGTTTCCGATTACATGTCATTTGAAAATAGGGTAGGTAGTTATGAAAAAAAAATTTTTTTTGCCAATTATTTTTTGTGTATGATCATATGGAGGCGTCTGCGTGTAGTCAAGGGTAAAAGGTAGAAACTGATGGTTTTGGGTGTTTTTTCCCCTCATTTTTTCCCATAAAAAAATTAGGGTAGGGGCTGTCAGAATAGGGTAGGTTGGGTAACCGGAAGCAGAACTATTAAATTTTGCATGACTGTAGGTACGCTTGTAGAAGATGTAGTTACAGAAGTACTTTGGCAAATAGTATAAAGGTTAATATTTGATGGTTTTTAAACAGACACATTTTTAAAGGAATTACACAGTTTCAGTGCACATTTATATCATGGTAAATCATCTAGCACGTAACTCTGACCTGTATTGATTTTTTTCATGGGAGCTTCTGGTGTCCTCATCAATCCGTACATTTATCAAACTTAAAATTCAGCCCAGAAACAGTGGTGGCTAAACTGAAATCCTTTCTTTTTTAAAATCCAATCAACCATGGGTTCGTTGGATTTTGGCAGATTTGAGGTGGTTTGGGGTCACTAAGATAGTTAAGCTGCCTTTTCTTTTGCGCATTTTCAATTTGTTTTGCAGTTGTTGCATAGTTAGGCCTATATTATCTCTCCTACTATTTAAGAGGTCACCAATAGTCAAAATATTTGTATCTCACCTCCTGGCATACTGAGTACAAACCAATAGGGGTCTTGACCAATATTGACCCAAGTAATAACCAGGCTGACCATGCATGTTTCCATAGGAGGGTTAGCCTGTAGCCTAACTGAGAAACGGACCAACAACAAAAACTGGACTGAAAATGCGTATATCCCTAACCCCCAACAGGTCTTGTCTAGGCGGTATGCCACATACAACAAAATGCAACTTGGCTCAAATAAGAACCCTGCTAAATGCAACAAATTGCAACAGTGGATTCTGTTGTATCGCCTTGGCACTATGAGCAGTTACCCTGCTAAATGCAACAAGATGCAACAAAGCACAGGGACTCGGGTTGCCTGCTAAATGTAACATTATGCAACCAATTTGTACCTCTGTTGCTTAGCGTTGCATTTAGCAGGGACTTAGGGATATGGAAAGCTGGCTGAACTTTTAAACTGTCTTTGACTTCAGGTCTGTCTTTCAAGGAGAAGTGGACCACGGACAACATGCTGTCCACAGAGGTCACCATCGAGAACCAGATTGCGCAGGGCTTGAAGGTGACGTTCGACACCAGCTTCTCCCCCCAGACAGGGTAAGGGATAAACTGCATGAAACACTATCAATAGACCCTATGCATATGATGTCATCAGTCCTATACAGGGCGAGTCATAAAAAGCAAAACCCAAATGTCGGGACCAGTGTTTTAGTGAAGTTTTACGTGTAGCCCTTTCAAAATCTAGGATAATGAAGCCCAATTCATAGGCTTTCGTTTAGTACAAGAATCATTCAAATCACTCATGTACTTTTCAAGTTACGGAATTTGTAACACAACCACCGTTTTAAAAGTTCTGTCCACGGATCACAAGAAGGCAAGTTTTCTTTCAGCAAAACGAAAACAAATCACACAGGGAATTGTGTGAATTGTTTTCATTTTGCTAAAAGAACGCACACCGTTTTAAAACGGTGGTTGTGTTTAAACTTCCGTAACTTCAAAAGTATGTGAGTGATTTGAATGATTCTTGTACTAAAAAGAAAGCTTATGAATTGGGCTTTCATATCCTTGATTTTCAAAGAACTACGTGCAGAACTTCACTTAAAATATAGTCCCGACATTTGGGTTTGGTTTTTTTGACTCACCCTGTAGAGAGATGCACAACATGACCTCACTGAGGTCAAATCTCGCATAAGTGTACCGTGAAAAAACAGCTGTGCATACCTCTATTGTTTATACTCTTTGAGAAGAACCCCAATTGGTTGCGTACATGATTTCAAAATGTCGACTTTCGTCCAGTTGTGGACCCTATTGTCCTCCATTGTTCAAAGCCCTCTGTTAAATGAGGGGTGAGATTTTTCAGGTTTTTTCCTTGATTTCAAGACCTATCAAAGATCCCTTCCGAAATATTGAATTTGTGAGATTTTACCGTAAAGGTGTCTTTACCTATAAAGGTTTATATAAAACAAAACAAATGAGTGTTTTAAGAGATGCCTTCAGGCTAAAATACAAACATATTATTGACTCTACAGTGCTCTTGGGACCTTCTTATCCTCTCGCGTTCTCTTTCAGGAAGAAGACGGGCCGAATCAAGACCGGCTACAAGAGAGATTACGTCAACCTGAACGCCGACGTCGATTTTGACTTCGCTGGACCAACGGTCCACGGTGCAGCTGTCATCGGGTAAATTAGATCATAAGAGAGCATGCAAGTGGGCTGAAAATACTGGCAAAATTTTCAGGGGCAATTGTAGTAAAGTGTCTTGCCAAAGAACACAAGTACCATGTCCTGTAGGGGTTCGAACCCACGCACCATGGCACATGAGTAACCATTAGACCACAGCGCTCCAGTCGTTGACATGGTTAGGATTGAATGAAAAATTGTAATTGTATTATTTTTTTTGTAAGAGAGAAAACAGTTCTATGGATAACTGTACAGAGTTAAATTTGACAACCACCGTTTGGGTTATATGACAACTTCGGTTTCATTAATCATACAACATACTGTAGCAGGGTGTTCAATTATAAACAAGCAATCTTTCGAAGAAGCAGTTGTCGATTGGTATGTACCAACGTGCAAAGTCATCTTATATTTGTTGCTTTGATTGACAGCTATGAGGGTTGGTTGGCCGGCTACCAGATGTCGTTCGACACCTCCAAGTCCAAGCTGACGAAGAGCAATTTTGCGCTCGGCTACAAGACTGGCGATTTCCAGCTTCATACCGCCATGTGAGTATTATCTGTCCAAAAACAGCAAGCTAGAATCCCTGCAAAAAAAAGCACGGACAGGATAACATGTCCTGATCGTATGACGTCAAAGTTCCATGTGAACATCCGGTTTCCCGTGATCAGCCACCATTGCAGTAGGCAAACGTTTGGTTAGCAGCCACTATTGCAGTAGGCAAGCGTTTGGTTAGCAGCCACCATTGCAGTAGGCAAACGTTTGGTTAGCAGCCACCATTGCAGTAGGCAAACGTTTGGTTAGTAGCCACCATTGCAGTAGGCAAACGTTTGGTTAGCAGCCACCATTGCAGTAGGCAAGCGTTTGATTAGCGGCCACCATTGCAGTAGGCAAGCATTTGGTGAGCAGCCACCATTGCAGTAGGCAAGCGTTTGGTTAGCAGCCACCATTAGAGTAGGCAAGCGTTTGGTTAGCAGCCACCATTGCAGTAGGCAAGCGTTTGGTGAGCAGCCACCATTGCAGTAGGCAAACGTTTGGTTAGCAGCCACCATTGCAGTAGGCAAGCGTTTGGTTAGCAGCCACCATTGCATGGGCAAGTGTTTGGTTAGCAGCCACCATTGCAGTAGGCAAGGGTTTGGTTAGCAGCCACCATTGCAGTAGGCAAGCGTTTGTTCAGCAGCCACAATTGCAGTAGGCAAGCGTTTGGTTAGCAGCCACCATTGCAGTAGGCAAGCGTTTGGTTAGCAGCCACCATTGCAGTAGGCAAGTGTTTGGTTAGAAGCCACCATTGCAGTAGGCAAGCGGTTTGGTTAGCAGCCACCATTGCAGTAGGCAAGCGTTTGGTTAGCAGCCACCATTGCAGTAGGCAAGCGTTTGGTTAGCAGCCACCATTGCAGTAGGCAAGCGTTTGGTTAGCAGCCACCATTGCAGTAGGCAAGCGTTTGGTTAGCAGCCACCATTGCAGTAGGCAAGCGTTTGGTTAGCAGCCACCATTGCAGTAGGCAAGCGTTTGGTTAGCAGCCACCATTGCAGTAGGCAAGCGTTTGGTTAGCGGCCACGTCGTGTGTTGTAAACTAGAGAGTAGGGTTTTCTACACATAAAATAACTGCGAAATCTTTATCAAATGGCATAATGGTCACTACCACATGCCAACCCAGCACTGGGTGTTGGCTCCGTGTTTTTGCCACAGTTTTTGCTGTCCATCACAGCTTTGATGGCTTGCCTACTACCTACTGCGCACGGCGCTAGACAATCTTTGCCTACTACAATGGCGACGCTGGCTTCCCGGTAACAGGACGTAGGCTGGGTCACGTGATCAGTGAGGGAGCCCTTTTCAAATGAATGCAGAACGTCTCACCCTCACTATACTTCACCCTTCAAAACAATTCAAGCATTAAGGGGAATGTTCAACATTTGCTTTTGCTGAAATTTTCAGAAATAATGGATTTGGAAGATTAAGCCAAAAAAAAAAGTCTCCGGTTTCTGGTATGGAGCTTGCCCAAAAAGTGGTGCGGCGACGCGGCTTTTTTTTTTTTTTACCTGACTTTTTTGCTGCAAATGTCGGCTGATGACTGCAAATGGTGCCCGACTAAACTTAGTGCAAATATATGGGAGTCCAGAGAGGCCACATAAAGCTTATTCTCGATCATTACCCCATCTAAAAACACGTTAAAATTGTGCAACAGCAGGATTCCAGTTAAACCAGTGAGTTTGGCGGTTTTGAGACATCATCTTTCATTGAAAAAAAAAAACTTTTTTATTTTGCCGACGCGCATGGCTACGGCGACGCGCGCGCATACCAGAACCCGGAGACTTTTTTTTTTTTGGCCTTGGTATGTTATAGCAAATATTGTTAAACTGACTTGTTTCACTTTTTGGGCTTGTAGATGCTGGAAAATTCAAGAAAACCAATCATGTTCTTGTAGTCTGGTTCCCTGACCCCTTAAGATGAAACGGAGCAATTTTTAGACTTAAGGTATAGAGAATCAGTCTAGGAGGCTTGTACCCCTTTACTACGTGTGTAATCAATTGCAAACAAAAAGCAGGTTAACTAAATATAAAAAATTGGGAGCTGTTTTTGAAAAAAAAACCAGTTTTTTTCCAACGCTGGTCAGCCAACCAGCATTGGAAAGTACAAGTTTCTTGAAAACGTCAGCACACCAGGAGCCACGATTTTACAGGATGCTTTTTAGACTGTCATTCCCTATCAATTCAGTAAGGTATTCCATGATAATTTGATCATTTCGTTTTTTGATGTGTGCAAATGTTGTATCTCCCCTTTAACATAAAAGTATTTCAGATGTTTACATCAGGATCTGGATTAGCAGCCATATACGCAAAACTAATCCTCAGAGTGAATGCAGTACTGAGTGAATGTATATTTTACAGATTTGAGATTGTATTTTGCTTTATTTACTTGATGAAATGTGGAAAAATATTGGATTCTAACCATCGCCCTCTGATTTCTGTCGAACAGCAACGAAGGCACAGACTTCAGCGGGGCCATCTACCAGAAGATCAACGACAAACTAGAGAGCGCCATCAACGTCGGCTGGACGTCGGGCACGAACGCGACACGCTTCGCCGTGGGTGCTAAGTACGCGCTGGACGAGGACTCGTCCCTCCGGGCCAAGGTCAGCAACACGAGTCAAGTCGGAATCGGCTTCACCCACACTCTAAGACCAGGTGAGTTGGTCAGTTGTTCTGCTTGTCTTGTGATTGGAAGGGGTAGAGGTTAGAATCCTGTCCATTGTGATTTGAGGGGTAGAGGTAGAGTTCTGTCCCTTGTGATTGGAGGGGTAGAGGTTTTAATCTAGTTCCTTGCAACATTTCCCTGGATGGGAATGGCTCATCCACACTCTAATGCCTAGTTTGTGGTTGGTCCTGCTGCTTAACTTGTGATTGGAGGGGTAGGGGTTAGAATCCTGTCCCTTGTGATTGGAGGGATAGATGTTAGAATCATTTCTTTATGCTAGGGGGTGCTATTTGCAGATGAACATGTACATTATGTACGGATAACAGCTTGTAGGCCATTTCCAACACAGTAACACAAATAACAATTAAGTACAATACTGGCTCAGCATCATCTTTTTTTAACACATCAGTGACCAGGGACTCTGAGGCAGTTTGGCCTTGAGACTTTTGACCTGATTGATTGCTACAATGGGCAGGCTTGTCAGTTTGACAAAGGTTCCATGTTACTGCTTTTGGCAGAGTTTCTGGCCAAAATGTTGTTCCTTTTTTTTTTTTAAGCATGGCGGGCAACTTTGTAAGGTTGGCGGGTGCCTCAGAAAGCTTGGCGGGCACCAGGTTATATTTACAGGTTGGAGAACACTAAATTTTAGGAAATATTTCAGAGCTAGATTGCATGACGCTGCTTAACTTTTGTTTGGAGGAAAGTAGGTTAGGATCCAGGTTAGAGTCCAGTTCATTGCATTATACTGATTGCCTTGTGATTCCAAGGGGAGAAGTTAGAATCCAGCCCCGTCCATTGTGCTGCAACACTTGTGATTGATGGAAAGTGGGTTAGAATCCAGATAACTTCATTACACTGAAACCTGAGTAAAGGGATCTAGGTTAGAAATACAGTCGCTCGCTTTATGCTCCAAGTTAAATAAGAACAAAATGCGGCTGTGCCTGAACTCTATCAACAACAGGATGTGCAGTTCACGACATTCTCCGCAAATCCTGTAAATAAAACCAGACCTGTTTTCACAAGTCCACAGAGTCTGAATAAGTAGTAACGCATGGACGTGTGTCATTGCATGCTAAGCGATCCCTCGTAATGTATGGGAGTCTGTGTCGATATGGCAAGACGTATTGCCGTCGCAGTTTTAGCCGCTTTGAATACTATATCGGGAGAAAATATGTATCGGTACCGAGTGATTCAATTGTAGGGACCCATTTTGTATATTGACTCGGTCAACACGGGTAGCCTATGACGCCAAGCACAGAATATATATCAACTGAAAATCTTGGATTTACATTTTTTTACAAATCTTGGATGTCCTTATTTGGTATTATGACTAGTTACGCATTCAGGAAGAAAATTGGGATGTCAGGCTCTGCAAACATTGCAGTTGTATAAATATTGACTTTTTTTCCCCTCCCTGTCCATGCAGCACTAATTATGAACTCAAATTATGTTAAATTATCGTCCTGTGATGACCTGTGTTCGGTTGCTGAGTGATTTAAAGCTGCAGTCAGTAGGGTTTTTATTTAGGTAGAATAACAGCAAAGTTTCTTCTGCAGGGGTTGGTTTGTTGAAGTTGCCGAACTTGAGAAAACTGCTTACTACTGGGAAAAAAAAACTTGTGCTTAACTTAAGTGCTCTTCATCATCAACTAATTGTGTATACAAAGAGTTTTGCTTTAATAGATGCATTTTTTAATAGAAAAATTGTGTGGTTAGCACGCATTTCGCTGTGCTTTACTGCTTTCAAACACGCTAAGAGACGAGCCATTCCGTTTGTAGAAGTAAAGTCGATTCCGAGTCTGTATTGCTCTTGAGGCCAGTGTTTCTCTCCAGTTTCCATGGCATGAAACGACGCAGAATATTACTGTTGCCCCCTGGATGGGATGCCGGTCCATCGCAGGTCACTCACCAGCTAAATGCGGTACCCTTTTATTCTCCTCGGCGGAGAGACGCAAGTAGGGTGAATTGGCTTGCCCAAGGACACAACATATTGGACAGCTGTAGGATTCGAACCCCTGACCCTCTGATCACGAGTCGCAAACCCTTGCCACTTGGCCACACCCGACCAAAGAATCGCTTGCAGAAGTGCCATTAAATCTGTCCCGATCATTTGGACTTATGTCAGCGATTTGTAATTCCATTTCATTTCATTCTGAAACTGTTCAGTGAAAGTAAGACATCATTGGAGTCTAACACTCTTAAACCCCCTCTTCGCCCCATTTTTATCTCCCCAGGTGTCAAGGTCACTCTCTCCACCCTCATCGACGGCAAGAGTTTGAACCAAGGGGGACACAAGCTGGGTCTGGGCCTCGAACTGGAGGCTTAACTACAGAGTTTGTTTAGAGTAAGGGACGGCCCAACTTGGAACGGCCCAACTTGGGATGGCCCGGTTTTTAGGAGTGAGTGAAGCGCATTTATCTCGTTTGAAATTTGTGGTATTAAAGAAAAAAAAATCCTGCAGTGGAACAAATCCAGAAAGAGTGCTTCGGATAATCGCTGGTCCAAAAGCGAGTGGTCGTTGAAGCGTTTCTGGTTAACAATTTTGTTGGTGTGCAAGATTTAAATCATTCCCCAAAACGTACGGTAGCAGCCCCTGAATCGGGCAGGTAAAAACTATGGGCTCCGTGTGCAAGTACCCCCTCAACGGTAAGAAAGGGAGAGTTGAGCGAGACCACCGGGAGAGACATTTGAACACCTTACGCTCACGTGAAGACGCACGTTCGTAATAAAATTAGCTGCGCGTACTTTGCTACACGTGCGGGAGCCAGTACGCGCACATGGTGTGCCCAATATGGGCTCTCCAAAATTGTAAAAAGCGCCCTCTATGTTCCCGCACGGAGCCTATAGTGTCATTACCCGAAACACGGTCTCAGAATCCACCCTTTTGTAGCGTAATACCAAAGCTTTTGTCTTAGATGTACTTGTACATGAAGCCTATGCAACTAATTTGAAAGTGCAAGTTTGATGTCATGGTTTAAAAGTAAAAGGAAAAAAAAAAAAAAACCACAAGGAATGATTCCCAAAATGTCCCCTGTATACCACACTTTTTATCTCTTTGTGCTTCAAATATTTTTGTTTTGCTTTTGTTGTTAATTCCCTATACACTGCTCAGAATAGATGTTTTAAACACGTGAGTAACTAACAGACACTTCTAGAAGTATAAAGCTTGTCAGCAATTTTTCACTAGGGTGACACTTAAGCTCATGACCCCTAAGGTGTTTTTCAAAGAAACCTAAATCAGCTGAAGTCCAGTGTTATATGTAGACGATGTGCCAGGAAGCTGGCCTGAAATGGTAGTGCGTCCATCTGGATCAAGGGAAAATTACTTTTAACCTGAATAAATCTTGTTGGCTGTTAACCCTAATGATCCCACACCCTTCAAAATCCACCAGAATTTTTTTATAGGATTTTGTAGGATTGAGGAATGCAGACCCAGCCATAATAACTGGATCTCGATGACCCTTTGAAATTACACGCACAAAGAGGGTTCCATTCATTTCTGTGCAGTTAGGTTTTCTAGGGGAAAAAATGCTTTGGACTTGCGGTTAATTATTAAAAACTAATTGTGTTTTGCATAGGACATGCCATGCTCATGTCCCCCGGGTCATGTAGACGCACTGTGAGAAATTCTGTCTCAAGTCACGCTTTCTAGCGATAATTCTTAGAAGGTGGGTCAACGTACAAAATGCCCTGCAATTTTAAGTACTTTGATTTACAACTGGGGCAAAGTTATGACTCAGTTTGCTTAGGTTAGTGCAACACAGTTAGCGATCTATATGTAGAGGTGCTCTAACAACCAGCAGAGCCAGCTGTGGCATATTTTGAATAGACACTTTTTCACGTCTAGCATTGATGTCGATTTGTTTGGTTACATTTTACGTAAAAGGGGATTGAATGGCCGTGATGACAAGATTTTTTTTCAACCAGAAGTACACTTTCGCATTCGGTATAAATTGTGACGCTATGGCAAGAAAGATTCTTCTGTTGTGATGCTCGGTGCGAACATTGCATTACATGTAAAATCCACTGTACTGCCCTCTGATAAAAAGCGGTAATGTCCTATGATAAAAAAAATCGATAATGTAACTACATTTAGTGAACAAGGGTTAATATTTGAGCTTTTTTCCTTATTAATATTTACCCCAGTGATTGTAGATATGTGGATATAGTTTGCCTGAAAAAAAAATTGTTTCTGTATTTCTCATTTAGCAGTTATTGATAACCATAGTAACATACACTTCCTTTGTTTAGAGACTCCCATGTAAAACATCTGTTGGTTTGGGGTAAATTTGGTTACTAAAAGATTTTATTGAAATGATGAATTCATGATAATTGCTGTCGAACCGTGTGTACATCCTATAATATTGACATTTGAACATAAAGGTATTGTGGTAATAAAAATCGGACAAAGTGTTGAGCGATGTTAAAGATTGACTTTGATTGTTCTTTTGTTTTTTTGTCTGCATGAACATACGGTAGAATAATCGAACAGCTGGACTTTTTTTCCAGATGAGGCCAAAAAAAAAATAAGTCGGTCTCATGGTCAGCGCGCGCGTCGATTTTAATCATGCGCGTCAATCTTTTTTTTTCAAAAAATGTTCCGCGGTAGCTCCAACAGCGCCCTCTTTTGCCGCACCTCCTCAATTTTTTTTACCAAAGAGCACCAAGGAATGGGAAATTGCACCAAGGCAAATGATCGAGAGCACCAAGGCAAATTATGGAGGACACCAATGTACATGAGGACACCAAAAAAGCAAATAGTACCCCACCTTGTCTGTACAATCCAAGCTTGAAGAAAGAGAAAAAAAGCCGCGTCCCCCCCCCCCCCCCCCGCGTCAATTCCGGAACTTTGGTCTGACCAGAGACCGAATATTTTTTTTTTGGCCTAATGTTAATAAAATTCGTGCTGATGAGATTTATGTAGTTTGGCCAGGGGCGTTAGTGCCGGGGGCGGCCTCGTGTTCCAAAACGGATGTCCATGCCCCCCAACTTGAAATTACCAACTGCACTGTTTCGTTTCATTTGCCCCCTTGAAAAAATATATGCGCCCCATGTGCTCGACAAGCCGGCACCAAATATTTTCCCACATAAACTTGTTTCATAATGGGGGCAGGTTTAAACCACAAATGTCAAACAAGAATATTTTCAGTCGGTTTGTGTTTCGCCACGGGCATTTTTTTGTCTCTTTTGGTTAGATATATACGCTTGATTTAATATTCGATTATATTGTCTCCCCAGGCCTCTGAAACTTTGATTTCATTAAATTAAATGAAAATACATGTACCGAAAACTGCATCAATATTGTGCGTCATAATATGGTTCGTTTTTTGAACACCAAGGACAATATTTATTTGGTAACAATGTCCGGTTTAGCGAGACAGAAACTTATTTCAATTTAGACGTTTATTTTTAACATATACTTTCCACAGGAACGGTAAAATTGTTATTGAGTTTCTAACATCTACCGACGGAGAATGAAATTTGGGAAAACACGCGCTGTCGTGGACAATGTTATTTCATTAGAATAAAATGGTGAGGTTTGCAGTTTTGGGGCAATTATTTCATTTTCATTTTTTTTGTCGGTGTGGGCAATTATCAATCAAAATATCAACATCGGCCCTGAACACGAATGTAATTATATCTCGATTTCGCCGGTGTACGAACGATAAGGTAAATACAAATCAAAATTAAATGCATTTTATTTTGCTGGCAGCTGTCATTCATCTTCTTCTTTTTTTTTTTAAATCTGCTGTTCCAGCGTTCGTTTTAATCAATAATTAGTTTTCAAAATTAAATATTTGGCGACTCGGAGGCATCGGTTTACTATTTTGTTGAAGTAACAGACGTTTGCATACATGCAGCCCCATGCCATAAGTGGGTAGATAATACAATGTAACTACACCCAAAATATAGCCAATTTGAATATAATTGGTAACTACATCAAAATGTCGTCAATGTTTCTTTTACAATCATAACTTGCTGAAGTTTCCACACTTCTGTCACTTAAATTCTATTTGACTTTTGTCTTCATAGACGGGAGTTTGGCTTGTGGTTAGGGTTCATGACTCATGATAAAAGGGTCCGGTGTTCGAATCCAGCTGCTGATCATTATCTCGTGTCCTTGTATGGGCAAGCCACTTCGCCCCCACTTGCCTCTCTCCACCCAGGAGTATAAATGGGTACCGGCATTAACTGGGGAGTAACCTCCGATGGGCTAGCATCCCGTCCAGGGGGGAGTAGAAATATTCTCAGTCGTTTCATGCTACTGAAACTGGAGATAAACGCCGGCCTGCATGCCATAGCCGCATCAGCCCTGCTGCCAATTATGGCATGAGCGAACATCCTTATGGAAGTGCAACATTATGTATGTGACCGTTCCGTTTCCTGTTAGTGCCGGTTGTCTCGGCCGGATCAGCCATTATGTCTTATTATTACAGGCGACAAATAACGTGATGGAGAGCCTGACCCAGAAACTCTACGTTTGAGACGCTGGTCGGGACTGTACTGATGTATCAACAATTATTACTGTCGGATTTAAAAGGCATATTAGATCTACTGTCTTTTAAAGGTAGTTCTCTCCCGATATGAAATGTAGGCCTATCCTTTTATTAAACCATTCCTGCCAAAATGATGGAATTGAAGACCAACCCAAAAACAATGAGCACAAGCTTAATTCTTCTGTAATTTTTATTTGGAGGAGCGGTGAATGTGGAGCGATTGAGAGAATTCAAAGACTCGGATGCGAGGCTTAAATTTGGTGCTGGACATAATCTAACTCTTGGGGGCGCTGTTTAGTAACACAAACTTTGGCCAAGTTCGCGCAAGGACTATAGTTGACCAATGGTTAACTAAGGCCGTGTCCGAAACGGGCTTCCAGAGCTACGGCTACGTCTATTGTCAGCGCGTCTCCGCGTATTTCTAATGGAGCGAAGACCTAGACCTAGCTCTAGACAACAGATTCGGATGCAGCCTGACCTTTGCCCGAACTCTGTCTAGTCGACGGTGGTTGACTACGCTAGTCGACTATTTGGAACCAGCCTACTGGGGTTGGTTGCTTCGCTGGTAACCAATAGCCGCGCGCATTCATAACGTACAGCAGGGAGCCAGGACCCAGAAGTTTGGGATAAAGTTTTGACCAGCGTTTGACTAGAGGCGTTCGCACTTTGCTATCAGTGCGCAGGCGTAAGGTACGTCACAAATCAACCACTAGTCGACTAATGGTCCTTGCCCGAACTTGGCCAAAATTGCCCGTCTTATAAATGTCATGACTGGGCCTTTTCCCACTTCGGTTAACTTTACGCTAATTCATTTTAAGTGATTGACTTCTGAGCTCTTCCATTCCTGGTCTCGGTCCTGGCAGTTGACTTGCCCACCGAGTCGATACGCTACTAATGCCGAACGTTTAAGGAACAGTGTCTCCGTCTGTGTAGCAAATTTAATTCTGAAAATTCAATTAAATGTCCATGCAAAAAAGTTAACGTTTAATTTTTTTTTTACTTTGTCTGTGAACAACGTGTTTTATCAAATTTTGTTCATTTAACTGAGTTATTCTTGTCTCCAACTGGCGAGGACTCGCGCAGCAAATTATATTAAAACTTTCTTAACGGCTGTCGGAAGTCTAACTTTACAAAAGTAATAAAGTTAATAAGCTTGTATCGATCACCCTGTATTATTTTTGCCCTTGTTGGCTTTCCCTATACAAAAGCAAGTTCATGCTTCGCACAAATCGAATTGGCGTGACGAAAGTTCATAATTGCGGCGGCGAAATTCACCGGAGTTGAAATGCGTTCGATTTTTGGGACTCGACCACGCGGTATACCTTGACGTGACGTCACAACTTGCGTTCCGATCGCAGTACGCTCGTAGCTTTTGTCAGACGCTTCCCTTCTAAGCGACCACGACATTGGTCAAATACCACCGCCGCTTGCACCAATCATAAACAGCGATGACCTCTGCTGGCCGTTCACGTGATCAGCTTTAAATCCTCAGCGTTTAAAAAGCTGGCTAGTGCATGTGTGTGCATAACGAACTCGGACTTACAAATAGTGACGTTATCCACGTTTCTTAACTTCACGTCCCCATTTCGCATCAGCGTGCCCGTCGCGTTTAATTATAGCCCAAGCGGTGCACTGTCCGTGCGTAAATATTAACGAAGTTATCACCGTTAGACGTGACGCTGAATTGAAATGTCAGGGGTTCTTACAGCACGGGCGCGTGGCAAACCCTGGCAGACTCCAAGACAACGGTCATTGCAAGATGAGAGGTATATCAACACTGCAAACTGGTTCGGATGTCTGCATCTATTCAGCAAGAACGAATTGGTAAGTTGGCATCATGACCGTACTGTACATGTCTATTGGGTATAGTAGTACCGCTGTGGCGTTACTGCATGAACTGTGGCGTTACTGCATGAAAGTAAATCATGAAAGTAAATCAAATTATGAAAGTACCCAGACAATATAAAGTAAATCAAATAAATTACTGCAAGATGAGAGGTATATCAACACTGCAAACTGGTCCGGATTTCTGCATCTATTCAGCAAGAACGAATTGGTAAGTTGACATCATGACTGTACTGTACATGTACATGTCTATTGGGTATAGTAGTACCGCTGATGGAAGAACTGTAGCGTTACTGCATGAAAGTAAATCATGAAAGTGAATCAAATTATGAAAGTACCCAGACAATATATTTCCATGCAGAGAGGCTTCTGCTTTTAATGTTGAAATTATTTGATTGTCCATGCTGGTCACTATTAATTTCACCTAAAGTTATTAATCTCCTGGGCAAGCTGCCAAGATTTTTTAATTTTTTTTTTGAAATAATTGTGCTTGCATTGTCGTAAAATTACTATTGCACATTCGTTTCAACTCTTAGCCGCTTATCAAGATAAAACGTTCCATACTTTTTAGGTCGACTGATATTTCATTAAGGGCTAAATGTTTCGGTCACTCTCGATTGATATTGTGCAGATCATAGGAATATAGGGATGATCGTACAATAGTAATTAAATAGATCGTCTGTTTTCCCAACAAAATGAAATCCGCCCCTGGGTTGCCAATATTATGTGCTTTCCCACCGTGAAATCAACAGCGGTTCCCATATTTCTTCTATAACCTTTTTAGCCATCTTTGACTTGACAAGAAGTAATAGGCCTACCGCTTGTAATTTTCCAGCGACCGAGGATGTAATTCCTGGGGGGGGGGGGAATTGCAATTACATTGTTCATTATACAGTTAATCAAGATCTCAGGAACTCCATTAATTTTGTCTGTTCAGAAAAAACTTAAAAACATACCTCTTCGCGCATTAAGTTTCTTATTTCTTGTATGCGCTTTGCAACAACAATTAGGAAAATCGTGCATTAAATAGACACAGCAAACACCTGCTACCCCCCCCCCCCCGGCAGCTACCCCCCCCCTTCACCCTGGATCCGCCCATGGTCTTTATTGTGTTTAGTGCCAGTCGTGTATACCAATAAATCAAACCAAATGGATTGAATTTTCATCAAAATGTCACAGAAAACGCAGCACCAATTTCACTTGGTATACATGATAAATGACAGCTAGCCTAATTATAATCTCCGTGCAATATCTTCATGCATGCGCACGACTAAAATGGCTCTCCCTTTTTGCAACTGAAAGGGCATTACCGCACCTCACATTATGATTAAAAGTCACTGTTTAATAATGGTTACTATGGTGCGAGCGCCCGTCGAGACCCTAATCGTTAAAATGATTCTGTCACCAGTCATCCGCATGAAATTACCTGTTTGTTTTTCTGGCAATTTATTCTCCCCATGCTGACGGGATCTTTCTCTTTTTGTACTCAACATGGGCAGATATAGCTTTCAAGAAAACCCCGGGGGGGGGGTGATATGAAGGTGGGGTAGGGTGGAGGGTGGGGGCTTGCCCCGGAAATCTGCTGTTAAATGTTTTCTCCAGCATATAATAAGGCAATTTGACAATAAATTTTGGAACTTTTGTTTAAGCCTAATTTTACTGTAGTTTCATATTATTGCTCAGCGACTGAAAAAGGGGTGGGGTGGGGTGGGGAGGTTGCGACCCCCAACCCCCTGTTCAAGACTGAACCACTTCCTATCGTTTGATATAATTATTCTGTTTTTTAATGCAATACCGTCCGTGTTTGTAATTATCTTTTGGGTGAAGTTTCGTAAAGGGCATGAGTTGCTGATTTTAATGGGTATTTTGCCCGAAATCAAAAAAAAGGATAAGAACTCATTACTAAATTGGAGTTTTGTATGTGTTATTGCATGTGTAATTACTGTGTTTTGTACACCAAAGTGCCGTTTCGATGTAATATCCGGGAATTGATGATGCGCCAGAAAAGTAAACGACGGCTGTCTTGATTTGATCGAGCCTAATGTCCTGCGGCAACATGTGCGCACGAGACAAAGGAAATTGGCTTATTAAAAATGTCAATTGGAATTTACGAGAATAAAATACTGCCAGGTTTTATTTCTTTTTCGATGGAACATAACAATAAGTATCTTCACAAATTTGCTTAGATGAAAATAGAGGAGCAGTTAGTGAATCCAGAGAGGGGCGTAGCCAGTCCCCCCTATTTTTCAAGTCTTGTCTTTTTTCTGTTTCTTCTGCTGTTGGTTATTTAATCACTTCAAAGACAGACATGTTCATCCCCATGAGCAAATTATATGCCCGCTTGTATGTGTGGGTTTCGCCCCCATTCGAATTCGCCTCCCCCCTTCGGGTAAATGCTAGATCCATCATTGGAGAGAGAGTGGTTGACCAAGAATTACCGTAACTTTTGGAACGATGACGAAGTTGTTTGCGGAGACAAAAACGAGAATGATTATGGTGATAATGGCGAAACTGTCGTGGAATTCGCATACGATGTTGATGACGACGACATGACAACGACGATGAGGACGATCATTATGACGCGTCAATCGTGACAAAGATGACGACGATGACGACAACGTTGCTGATTCTCCTCTCCCATTATGTAACATAGTTGTATTTCTCTCCGTTATTTCTACTCTCTTTATTTCTCTCCTTGTTTATTCACATTTGAAGTCGTCATCGGTTTTTGAATTCATGAGGTTTTTTTTTTCCTTTTTGCCGTTAGCTATCGTCGTGTAAGTCTTTTGTCTTGTCTGTCTCGTCCGTGTGTCATTATAACGTTGTTTTCTGCTGTTATTGTTGTCTGTAAGGGCTGTTTCTTACAAGCCTTGGCTTACTTAAACATCCCCGTACTCCTTACTTTCTCTTGTACATAATTATATTAAAATAAGTTTATCATTTCTTCAAAGCGTATTTTACTTTTATTATTTTTTTTTTAGACATATCTAGTGATTTTGTTATCTTGCTATTTACCAGATTTCTTTTATTTAGGCCTGTGGATGTATTCTATAAAGAAGTATGGAATAAAAGTCTTCTTGAATTGAATTGAATTGATGACGATTCTGGCATTGTCGATCAGGGCTACCGCGAGTTAAGATGATGACGATAACCAGTGTTGTAGTCGAAACCGGATAGTCCGAGACCGAGACCAAGACCGAGACCTGAAGTTGCGAGACCGAGACCGAGACCGAGACCAGCCCCTTCAAGGCGGACCGAGACCGAGACCGAAATGGTCCGAGACCGAGACCGAGACCGAGACCGCGGATAATAAATAACAATAATCTAAATAAACAACACGACACTAATTACAGCTGAACAGTCTGTCCTTGAGATGTTGATGTTCATGGGGATGTGAAGGAAGTGATTGAAAGTTAGGAATCACTTGTACCTGCTTAATTGTGTCATGTGAGTGCTCTTCGTGTTTGCTTCATGCCATAAATTACAACATGGCAACAGAATTTGTTATTGTCACAATCAATTAAAAAAATTGGAAACAACCTAATTTAAAGAAGGGGAAAACCTTATTTGATGAACTCCATATATTTTTGCCACTTCTTTAAAAAAATTTTTTTTAATTGTTTAACTACTATAAAGTGTCAATCTGATGAAGAAACTCTAACTTTGGAGTACGACAATTTGTACTAGTTTTTGCAAAACTTGAACATGTTGAAACTTGACAAAAGTAAAAAGTTAAAGGTGGATGTTTCATCTGTTATAGGAACTCGGACCCTAAACTCCACAGCCACCCCTTGGTTTCAGCAATGACTACTAACGGATAATTAAATGCAACTTTAATTTTACATTGGACCTCCTTGTAAACCTGATTCGAAAAAAATTTGGAGCAAGAAAATACTGATTTGTTTTTTAAACTTTCAGTCATGGAATATAGATTTGTACATGTAGACCAACAAATTGAGAGATGGTAGCCAGATATGGATTGGTCTGCCCCCCCCCCCCCCATCCCTCTTTGTGATTCTCCTTCCAACCCTGCATGTTTGTGTGTCCCCTACATGTTTGTTTCTTGTTCCTCTGTCATTTACCTCTGAAGAAGGCCTGGCTAAGGCTGAAATGTAATGCCACTTTATTTTTGTTTAATGTCAATAACGTTACATATACATACACTATAGAAGATTGATGAACCCTATTTGCCTGATCTATCTTCTGTTAATCTGCCCGCCGTCATCATCGTCATTAAGCTAATTGAGAATATGGCCGTCACAATAGAAGGGCGCAGTCAAAAACTGAATGTGGTGGGCGAGATGTACTTTTAGGATTCATGGCTCAGTGCGCACGCCTCTCTGTGTTTTGTACCGTGCCATCGTATCGCCCGCATCAGCTACTTTGCTGGGCAATTTACTTGAGTATTTTAGTGATTAACAAGTACGACATATTGCCAATAGTAGTAACTGTGAACATTTCACGTAATTTGCATACTCTATTCCCAAGTCGTGTCTATTTTAATAAAGAGATCACAAAATTCAGCTGTCCACCACTAATACCAATTTAACAGTCTACGAATTGATAAATATCCATTAATAAATATAATGAAAAAAAAAACGTTTTCCCGCCTCCACGAATAAAGGAAAAATTGAAAAGGAAAATAGAAAAAAATCACCAATATTTCTAGGGGAAAAGAGTTGAATTGTTCCCATATTCAAAATACAAAATCTGACGGTAAAAATAATGTTTCAGTCTTGATTCGTAAGATTTAAATCTCAGTTGTATTTGGAATCAATGAGGATGGCTATAAAGTGCTTGTTTCAACAGATCATCCCACAATAAAAACGAGAAATAAGAAGAGGAGCAATGGTTATTGGACTATGCCTCACTCATTAGAAAGTGAAGAGAGACATGTCCATTAGCATCACACCGCAGTCACATTTGCCCTAAACTGATTCTTTACTTAACCCTAAAAGGGCTGGGGGCGGAATCCGCCCCCCTCACTTTTTGGCTGGTCTCGACTCGAGACCAGCCAAAATATCGAGACCAAAGGGGACTTAGACTGAGACCAAGACCGAGACCACAGCTCCCGAGACCGAGACCGAGACCGGCAAAAAGTGGTCTCGAGACCGAGACCGAGACCGAGACCGGTCTCGAGACCTACAACACTGACGATAACAACGACAGTGATGACGACAGTTATGACGACAACTGCGACGATAACATAACGTCAACCAAGATGATGACGATGACGAAGAGATGGTGACGATCGTCACGAGGACAAGGACGATGATATGATGATACGTATCATTATCATGACAATTTGTATCTCCCCACTCACTTTTACCGGTACCACCCTCACTTTTTTTGTCTGAGGAAGCTACGTCCTCCCATTTTTAAAAATATTGCATCGACCACAACCGTTCAACTCTTCTGAGAATTTGCGCACAAAGTTCGACAGTTCGAGTGCACGATATACGTCATGAATGCGTTCAAAATCGAGGGCGGGAAAAATGATATCCTGCAACTAAAAGAACTACGCACCAAACTATCGCTATAACAACTGATTATGTGCTTGCATTTTGTTCCCAGATCTGAAGCAACCGTGAGGCGCGAAGGCAGTGCGACCCACCTCTGATATTTCATATCAATATTGACACCAACTTGACAGTCTCACTTTTGGTGAAGTTTCTTCAGTAAAAAGTGTCAACCTCTGATTGTCTCAGTCTTGCGAGTTGCAAGTAATCAAACTCATGCAACCAGAGATGCACTACAGATTTTAAGAAGTGTCTTCGTGTGGTATATCATCATGGCGGAGCAGATTTTGTTGTTACGAATCATCAAGACATTTGTGGGCATTATCGGCCTGTTCGGGAACGGGCTGGTTTGCTTGGTGATTTACCGAGTACCTGCGCTTCACACTATGACCAATGCTTTCATCGTCAATCAAGCAGTTGCGGACCTGATGGGTTCCGTGTTTCTCTTACTTCTGAGCAACATCGACTACCCGGCCATCCTTCCTGAGGGCACGGCCGGGGTCCTCCTCTGCCGTCTCTGGATCTCAGATTTCTTCTTGTGGGCTTGTTTCATAACCTCAACTTTCAACCTGGTCGGGCTGACCTTTGAGCGCTACGTCGCGATCGTCTTTCCCTTCCGCTATCCGACCTTTTACACCAAGCGTAACTCCTGTTTCATGCTGGCAGCAGCGTGGTTTCTTGGCACCATGTTCGCCACTTACTCCATCGCCATCCGCGCCTACGAGGGCCGACAGTGCGCGGAGAAGCTGCTCCCGTACCTTAAAGACGTCGGGTTTGTGATCACCATCATCCAGTACTTCGTACCGACCTTCACTATGCTGTTCGCGTACATCCACATCATTGTCGTGTTGCACCGGAGCGCGAATCGAGTCGGGGTGGCCACCGCGAGCACCGCAACGAGCGACGGGCGCGAGGCGTCCCTCCTCCGCGCCAGGCGCAACACCTTCAAGACCCTGCTCATCGTCTACATCATCTACTTCTGTTGCTGGACGCCCAACCTGACCGTCTTCGCCATGTTCAATCTCGGCTGGCCGCTAGACTTCAAGGGCGCGCTGTACATCATCTCCGTGGCTCTTGCCGCGTCTAATTCCTGCGTCAATCCCATCATTTACGCCTTGAAGTACCGTCAGTTCCAGAACGGTCTCAAGAGGCTGTGGATGTCGATACGCGGTCGGGAGCACGTGGAGAACGTCTCGTGGATGGTCGAACAGTCCGCCGACAGACTTACGTATGCACAGGCACAACATAATCATGACGGGTAAAATGTGGCCAAAAAATGTCCTTGTGCAATACACAAACGCACAATCACATGTATAGATCGTGACGTTATTCAATCTCATGAAATGCACCAAAGTTTTGTCATACCATGTGTGTGTAACTTGCAAGTTAATTATACAGGCATAATATCTGTTTTGTACACGTTTGTAGGTATTTTACTGACACCATGAAATAACATAGATTGGTACGCTTTTTTTCACAGTTGAGATTTGTTACAAGGGTGTTTGTTTTAATTCAATTTGAAAACGAATTAGGCATATTTAAAATGTATTTGAAGCAAACGTTATATTTATTGGACACTATGCACTGTGGTTGTTCCGCTTTTGGTATGTTTGTAAACACATGAAGCAAATGCCATTTAATACTATGGCGCTCCACGACCATTGTTTGAATTGTCAATTATTAAAATCGCGCACATTCGGAACAAACTGGACTTACTCAATTCTGTGCGATGTATTCTTTAATTGGAAATATCGCATGGAACAGTATAAAACCACAAAGACTTGGAATAAATCTGCTGGATACATTGATTTAAAATAAGCCTACAAACAATTGAGCTGAGTTCTTTTTGATGCACACTAAGTTTCATTAATTAACAGGACACCACACACTCCCATTAAAAAAGCAGCAAAGAAGCTAGTCTTTGTCCAAGACTGAATGCTGTTCATTCCCCCAGTTTGCAGCCAGTCACGGTTAAGTTGCCGCGGCGGTGGCGGTCTCATATTAACAAGATGAATCAAATTCAGTCTTGGCAATATTGGCAGCGCTACCCAGGAAGTTCTGAGCATACCTCACGCACGCTGTACTCGTTAGTTTGTTATGCTCGGAATTTCCTGGATAGCGCGTCCAATATTACCAAGACTGGACATGATTCATGATGGCTATGTGATGGACCGATAAGGGGAATAAAAAAAAACACATCCAGTCTAGGGACCAAGACTACAAGAAAGCATGCAATGGGCAACAACAAAGCATGCAATGGGCAACCAATTTGAGTTACAGAAATATGAAATTTAATACATTTGACCTTCAATAGACTGGATAAAGCATGCACAATGCATTTATCATTTTAATTGTGCCCTGAGCATTCAGGTACCAACCGATCGTTTATAAGTATGTAGTCTGGAAAATTCAATCAAGTTGAAATCGAATGAAAAAGACGTTGTATTGTTCACTTTCGGCTAGATCCATTGCTGAAATTACAATTTAAGGTTTTAATCAGCACAGTTTCGTTCATCCATTTTAAAGGTATAGTCCATCATTTGTAATTAGTGCATTTTGTTCGTTGGAGCAACAAAAGTGCTAAAAATCTAAACAAGGGTGCTGAACAACCAACCTGATGAAGTTTCAGCTCAGCTTCAGCTGTATATTTCGAAAAAAAAAAAATTCTAGGATCTCGGTTTCAAATCAAAAGTTGCTGAATCATGTTTTGAACCGGGCCTGAATTCATCGCTCGAGACACGTTCTCACTGAGCCGATAGGGCTCGTTCAATGACGGCCATCTTTCGTTGATTTCTTCAAAATGACAGCTTGCCAGAAAGAATAATTTTTCACAGGGAGTTTAGTCCCATTACTATCTCTCAACCAAGTATGTTTTTCAACAATAATTACGTCAGTTAGTTTTTGGATAGCTGCTAATGATGGACTCTGGCTTTAACGATATTGGGATAGTTGAGTTGAAATTAATATGCTGCCTCGATGAATATTCGTTACAACGACATGCATTAATTTGTATTGAATGCAATAAAAGATGTGCACATGCACGTGTTATGAAGTTTTTTTCAACCTAGTTATGTCGTTGCCTGTGTTAAGTTTTGATATTAACTGCCCAAGGTTTGCTTAACCGTACGTCTGCAGTATACAATCCTCAGGTTACCTTTCTCAAAAACCTTCAGTTTGTTAATTCTTGAAATGTCAAACTCGGAAAAGGATTTTACGAGTTGCGAATTTCACCAGAAATGTCTTCAGTCCATTGCTGATTGCATAAACGATATTATTGTGTGCATGGTTATTTCGCCTGACCCAAATCGTATGTCACCATCTCGACATGCGATGACAGATGTGCAGTGCCAATAGTGCGCCCGATGAAATTACCGCGCAACAACTAAGTGATGAAATCGGCCACTTTTCCAACCCGTACTTGCATCTAAAAGGGACTACATGCAGGGATCATACGAAATGGTATTTACAGGTATACGGGGTACGTATATGCGGATGGGACTCGAAAACTACAGGAGCGGGGTTAGTGGGCGTTCCCCCATCATCCAATAGCTGAAAAGGCCTATCTCCTTCGGGAAGTCGCCCACTCTATAAATCATTGTTAAAGATCGAAACACACTCGGTCGTGAGAAAGGATAGCGCATTAAATTAAATTTACCGAGGAGTCATTAATCACAAAGAGACGGTTGTCTGGTTTGGAGGATTTTCTTTGGAACAACTTAGACTTCCGTCTAGGCTATAAGTTATTATTCAATCAGTAAGCATCCGTCTGTAAGCATGTTCTTGGTCGCACTCAATCAAAGATCAAAGACGACAAAAATCGATCAATTTAAAGATGTTTTGCAAATAAAACATTTACATTAAGGGTGCGTCCGATGGCCGACACAGAGCTAGCAACACATGCGCATGTAGAAGCCGATGAAGCCAATAGACCTTTATCATGCTGCCACCATTTCAGTCATGTTCCCTGTATCCAATAATAGTACTAAATGATAATGTTTTTGTGCAAAAAGGAACCAGACTATTTTTTCTTCCATCCTCGCTTTGGTTACGTTGATTTGCATGGGAAAAAATCCGAGATGGCCGCAACATGATAATGGTATATAGACGCGTGTCTACTGCCAGCCGCTTCAAATTAATTTTGAACGCAGGCTATAATTTCAGTTGCTCGGCCTACATCACAGAAGACTCGAAGGCAAAGTACGTTGACTATTATGAGTTTGTTGTTTTGTTTTACCACGCACTACAGGAATGACAGACCCGAGGAGCGAAACACCTCAACGATTTTGGGTGCGTTCGATTATAGCTCACCCGTGTCGACGCGACTCGGGTCAAGACAGAGGGCCGTGCTAATCGAACGCTCACTGAACGGGGGTCATCATTATTGATCATCACGGACGTCCGTAGCCACGGCCGCAGTCAATGACCAAAACGCCCTTTTCGGACTGAGTCTTGAGATTTAAGCCCTCAGTACGAAAAAGTTGATTTTTGGGAGTGGCCGCTGTCCGGCTGCCATAATATTCAGCTCCGTGAAATAAACAGCGCATGCGTGTGACGTATTTCCACCACACAGACGGTATCTGCCTTCGCTCGTACCCCGCCCTCCTGTTTGCAGGTACGAGCGAATATCTGCCCCGAATTTGACGTCAGACTTATAATCGAATTAACGGCACGGGCCGCTCTAGTCGACCCGGGTTAGCTAATCGAACCCACTCATGATGGATGTCCCTTTTAATGATGCAAACCTAAAATTGTATTTAGTGTACACCAAACTTGTGCATTGCAACTTTCGGCAGAAAGAACATTCTTTGATAACCTCACATTTAGAGAAATATAAAACTTGGTTTCATGATGGCTGATTTTTTTTTTTTTATCATAATAATAATTATAGACCTATAAAGGCAAGTCGTCTTTTCTAAACCTACATTTAATTTCCTATAAAAGAGAGAACGATTGACGCACAACTGAAGTGCTTGGAATTACTTCATACTTGATTTCGTTTATACTTTTTTTTCTAATCCGAGCTCTTAGTCCCTAAATACGAGGCCACAATTATTCTTTAAAAGGGCACACTTCTAACTGACTGGAAATTAAGTTTTTACCGGTTTTATAATTAAGTTATATACTCTACTAGACTGAAAGGAGTACTGGGCTGTTAATGAAATATATTTTGGCGGTTTTAAGTGATGAAGGTGTCGATAATTTGATAAAATCCTTTTACGTAGAAAGAAGGAAAATGGAACTTGACGCACAAGCAGAACGCATTATCTAGAGTTACCAATCAGGTCGAAAGTTTAGGCATGGGAACAATAATAACTGAGAAATCTCGGGTAATTCTTGAGTCAAAATTGACCTTTAACAGGAAAGGAGACGATTGTGGGTCAAGTGTATGTAATGAGAAATTGAAAAGCAAAATCACAGCTCTACAGGAGCGGCGATTTCTTGTCAACATATGGGTGCATGCATTAGCTTGGAAAATTCAAAAAGTGCATGGGGTGTGCATGTGGTCGCTTTTTGTATACGAGAGTTTGCGGGAAACCAAGCCTTGCGCCTGCGCCAGACCCACAGCTATAGATTATGCGCGTTTTACGCCCAGAACGTGCATTCGTGCAATCGGACGGGAAAATGCTAATTGCTCTTCTTTCAAGAATGGCTCGTTCGCCAATTGAATGTGCAACAAAATCTAATAGATTCAAAAATGGCCAGTGGTTAAAGCTGAATTTGGTGTTGCCCAGTCATTATAGGCGTGAATCGGTGGGGGACGGGAGAGGGGTGGACAAGTCCCCCCCCCCCCCCGGCCACTTTTTAAAGGGGGGGTATCATAATCGTTTGCCCCCCCCCCACTTGTTCGTCCCCGAATAAAAATTGTGCCATATTATGTTGATTCTATATATAGCTCAGAATAGAGGATTCAGTGACTCCAAACTCGAAAATGATGAAAGATGATCGTTTGCTTTAAAAAAAAAAATGGTTTGAGTGGTCAGAAATTACCTCAGATTGCACCACAGAGCGTCTAGAATCCACAAATACACCCCCCCCCCCCCACACACACACACACTTTTGACAAGCGATTGACGCCCTTAGGCTTGTGCCCAGTCGGTCCCATCTTTAATTGCCAAGCTTGTCAATGCGCTCTGGCGGTAGAGGGCGCTATAAACGGTAGTATTAGGAACTTTGGCACCGTGGACCCGTACTAAATTACATGGATAGAAAGCTGGATAGTAGGGCTACAAAATACAACAATCCCACAAGCTTCTAGCCTTAAAATTTTGGAGACAATCTGACATGCCTACAACAAATTCTCAGCTGGTTTTTTTCCGACTGAACTAGTTTTGCCAACATTTTGATGCTGTAAAATTGACTTAATAATAGCGCCCTCGAAGGGAGGAAAGATAAACACTTTGTTTACGAATTACCTTATTATCGCAAACCCGATTATTTTGCTTTCTAATTAATTAGTATGTTAGGGGCAAGATTCCGAAATGATGATCACTTTCATCATTGTTTTGTTCAGTTTTGCAGTTTTCCAGAACTTAGCATATTTTTTTACTGGTATTCCGACTACAGCCTGACTCGACCACAGCGGTGCATCGACGGAATTGACGAGAACCAGCGACAATTTAGCAGACGAGAAAAACATGGCCGACATGGCAGACAGTGCGAGCGCAAGCGAGATCGAAAGCGACACGGACAGCATAAAGATGTCCATTCCCACTCGCAAAGAGGAGCTGCTGAACAGAATCGCCTCCTTGGAGCAGGAGAACAAGGTGTTGAAGATTGAATTGGAAACCTACAAGATGCGCTGCAAGTCCCTTCAAGGGGAAAATCGCGATCTGAAGCGAGCGAGTGTGAATATTGTAAGTGTCTGTGGAATGCAATGGGATTTAATGACTCATAATCTTAATGGTCCAGTGGGGGTGTACTTTAGGACATCTCCGTTTGTTTAGTTTTAAAAAAAAAACAGTTCCTATTGATCCAAACTGACTTTTGCAACATCAAGCAATCATCCTTTCCCCCAGTTTTCAAGCTTTTTAACAGTATTTTGACAAAAACACTGAAAAACATTGACTTAAATATCCATTTTTCCAACATGTTCGACTTCAACTTTCGTGACTTTTCAAGCTATTGCCGTGGAAATCAACACAGTTCTTTCCGCCATGGCATCACACATGAGTTGGCACACCTTCCTATTGTATTTTGTCGCCATTTTCACCATTTTACCCCATAAGTTCCCTCTAAATCCATAATCCTGACTGCCCTACAGAAATAAGGGCATATTAAGAGAGCAACAATCAAACAATGGATTGGATTTGGAATTACGTCTGTTTACTGAAAACTAAGGGTTTTTTTCAACCGCAGGATCCTTTCTGAACCTTGAATTGCAACTGTCTGTACTAATTCCCCCTTGTCCAATTGTCCTAAAGTGTTTTTCCGAGGTCTTTGAAATAGCACCCATTACACCCACTACCACCAGAATTAGCATCGCCTTCACTTACCACTGTCTCCAAAACTTCCCTTTCCAAGTCTTGATACGTAAAACAATAATTACTGTCATTACTTTGTAATTCGTCTGTTCTTTTTTTTTGTTTAGCAAGCGCAAGCAGAGCAAGAAGAGGAATACATCAGCAACACGCTCCTCAAGAAGATCCAGGCCCTGAAGAAGGAGAAGGAGAAGCTAGCTGTCAACTATGAGCAAGAGGAAGAGTTCCTGACTAACGACCTGTCCAGGAAACTTGTCCAGGTCAGTTAAGGAGCGATGAGCCGGCCTTGCAGTAAAGAAGGGAATCTCACAGTGGCTTAGTGCTTTCTTCAACTCGCGCGTGATCTTGTTACAGTAGTGCTGTCAACTTGTTTATCTCGCAAATTAGGCAGCAACGACTTACTCCGTCATGACATGATGGAGTAAAAAAAAAGGGGGGGGGGATTCAAAGAAATGGACTGGGAAAATGGCAGTTTTAGCTGTTTAACTGTAATCTTCCTCAATCCTCCAAAGTCGTCCGGGCAGTTTTGGAGGATTTTGGAGGATTGAGGCTGAATGCAACACGTACAATTTTGGAGGATTGTGGAGGATTTGAGGGCACATGGATATTCAGTATCGGTTGATTTTGGAGGATTGAGGCTGAATGGTGTTTGAAGAAGAAGAGGATTTTGGAGGATTGAGGCTGAATGGTGTTTGAAGGAGAGGAGGATTTTGGAGGATTAAGGCTGAATGCATTTTGAGTGGCAGGACTGTTGGAGGATTTTGAAGGATTGAGGCAGTGGGTATCCTTCATTTTGGCGTATGTGCAAAATTTTGGAGGATTGTGGATGGTTCCTAGCAAAAAAGGGCCAGGGGGTTAGGGTTAATGTTGGTAAATTTAATAGCAAATAGTGCTTTGAAGGGACTCGAAATGTGACTACGCGGGTAGACATTACACACAAATTCTGCACATATGCATTATGAATGGTGCCTCCAAAAGTTGAATGATGTCTTGCTCTTCTCCCCCCCCCCTTTACTTCCCCCCCCCCGCCCCCCCCCCCCCCCCCCCTTTACATATCTTTGAAATTGCTATTGATGATCATTGACTGATCATCGATTGTAATTGTTTTCTTGAGTGAGATAATTTTTTTTCTTTCTGTCTACAGCTTCGACAGGAGAAGCATCAGTTGGAGAGGACGCTAGAGCAGGAGCAAGAATACCAAGTCAACAAGCTGATGAGGAAGATTGAGAGACTGGAGAATGACACCGTCTCAAAACAGAAGAAACTAGAAGAGGTACTGAAAAGGACTCGTGACCTGGCCTTCTTCCTGTTTTCAATTCTTTAACAGGCAATGCATCCGCACTTAAACAATACAACAAATTTTGGAGATTGACTCAAGTCTCTTCTGTTTCTGTTCCATAAACGTACAAACACCTAGAAGGTTGTCGACGTACGTCTATCCTTACATGTACTAACATGTATAATTTAGATTTAGTTGAGTGAAATAGGCAGGGAAATATTGCAGAGGATAAAATATATTAAGAGGACAGGCTTATATTCGAGTCATCAAATACCAAGTCTGAGTCATCGGTAGAGTCTAAATTTAGATGTACTCGAGATCTGAGTCTCAAGTCACAAAAATCAAGCTTGAGTCGGATGCATGAGTCATGAATCACTTACATGTGTTCAAATATGGACAATAAATTCTATGGCAGTAAAGCTGATGTTGTAAACGGTGTATGAAAGTTTTGTTAAATTGTCACCAGATTCAGTACACTGGCTACTAGCAGTTCCGAAGCAATGGCCTTCTGAAGGGATTTCCAAGCCGTGCTCGCTTGCAACAGTAGAGAGTATCTATTTTAACTCAATTCAGTCCGAAGCTGAATGATGGCTTGTTCTTTTTTTTGTTTCAGTTGAGAAGAGAGAAAGTGGACCTTGAGAATTGTCTTGAGCAGGAGCAAGAAGCACTAGTCAACAGACTCTGGAAGAGGATGGATCGTCTTGAAGCAGAGAAGAGGTTGGTATTAGTTTAAGATTTCATCTTTTCTTATAATATTTGTATAATTAAAACATGGAATATTTACTCAGGGACGCAAAGCAGTCTTCAAGATGTATGAAATGGAATATAATATATAAGGAGTTTGGCCGAGTGGTTCGGGTTTGTGACTCAAGATCAGAGGATTTGGGTTTGAATCGTGCCGCTGGCTATATGTTGTGTCCTTGGGCAAGCCACTTCACCCCAACTTTACTCTCTCCACCCAGGAATATACGAATAAAGCATTAGCTGGTGAGTAACCTGCATTTGGCTGGCACCCCATCCAAGGGGAGTAGAAATATTCTCAGTCATTTCGTGCCAAGCAATCGGGAGATAAATGCCGGCCAGATGGGCCATATTAGCTTCTTATAAACTTTACTTAATATGACAAATTTTGTTACGCAAATCCTATTTTTAACTTCAGAATGCTTCAGGAAAAGTTGGATGAGCCTGTCTCGGCCCCGGCCTCACCCAGAGAAATCAAGAACGGTAACACCACCGATAACCTGAGCGTTTACGTCGACCAGCTACGCAACGAAGTCCGCAAACTCAAAGGCCAGCTGATGTCCTCACAAATTGAACGTAAGTAAGATTGTACGACATCTTCAGGAAGAAGCAATCTTGTGGACAAGTGAAGTATCAGATTACCATATAGGCCATGTCTGTATTACTTACCTATGGCTTTCAATTACACAAACTTTCATCTCAAGATGCATTTTCGTCCTCAGATGAAGAAAAGATGGCCCACTTGGTGCAGGAGGAGCGTGAGTTCAAGGAGGAGAACCTCCGCCTGCAACGCAAGCTTCTCCTGGAGCAGGAGAGGAGGGAAGCCCTGAGCAGACACCTGTCGGAGAGCGAGTCCAGCCTGGAGATGGACGACGAGAGACAGTTCAACGAGATGGCCGTCCACGGGATCGGGAACCTGCGACCTCGGACCATCTCCAGCCCCATCCCGTACTCGCCTAACCCTAGTAATAGACCCATATCACCAGGTTAGTGCAGTAAAAGTAAATTAACGGAGGCTTGCAAGTAAAAAAAAATATTAATTTGTTGTTTCTGAATCGTTAGTTGACGCCGGAAAGTAAGAGTTACTTTTCTGATAGCAAAAAAAAGAGAAAAGTAGGGGGGAACGCATCTTGGCAAAACATTCAATCTACTTCTCTACATGTTGTAGTAGAAAATCAGAAAAGTTGAAAAGTGTATATTTACAAAAACGTTAGATCTACTTTTTTGCTGTTTCGATAGTAGGAAAGCAGATGTCCACATACATATTGCACCCTTTTGTTTTTGAACTAGAGATTTGAGAAGTTTGTCTCAAAATGGTCTTTGCGTGTAAGATTGTACTATTTCATCGAAAAAGGTAGTTTGAAATTGCAGACAGACATGAACAGCTAAATTTTTGAGATCACTACATGTAGTTTACTGTTACATTGCAAAATTGTGTTAACAGCCATGAGCTTTTTAATTTCCAAGAATTTCCATATGGATTGATATTGAAATGTACGTTTGTTATCTATTAACATGTGTTTTGGATTTGGAGCAACATTTCAAGCTAACTGCATTCTCCCACTGCCATTATTGTTTTTTTTAACTGTGGACTTTGTTTGCTTGCATTTTTGTGATGAATAATTGCGCTTGTAGATTGATTATGAAATATGCTGGCACTGTTAGTTTCTTGATGTAAACGGGCTTGAAAGTCATGCACCTGTATTTGCAGATGTAGAGATGCATAGTTTACCTACCATAGAATATTTCCTGCATTTAAGTGAGCATTGCGAAGGAGAGAGAATCTTTGTACTCAAATTTGTGAACTACATTTACATGTGTTTGATCATCTGAAGTTGTTGTTTCGTACGTTCAAAAAGCATAGTCGATCTGCCTTACCCATCTACATGTCACGCATGTCTTTTTCTGCAATAAGCCATTATACATGCACGGACAGCAAGTTGCATGCAAGTGATGCCACTCTTTCTTCTTTTTTTTTCAATTTGTTTTGCCATCCTCAAACTCCACCCCTTTCCCAACCAATCCCTGGTTTTCTTCCATTGCATCACTGCCTGCCTGCTTCATCTGTGTACATGCTGTGTGTGTATGACACCAACTACATGTTCTGAACGTGCTGTCTGTATGACGCCAACTACATGTAAATGCTGTGTGTGTGTGTGTGTGTATGACACCAACTACGCGTACTGACAGCGATGCACACTGCTTTCTCTCCGTCATCACCAGCCAGCCGGAGTACGCCCTTTGCAGTGGGGCCCACCAGCCACCCCTCCCCCATCAGTCCGTACGGAACGTCCCCACCGGTTGGGCCAAGCCACCTAGTTCATGTGAGTACTAGAGTTTGCCTTTTTCCCCAAGAGAACTGGTGTTGAGTTTACATTTGCCGAATTGTCGCTGACTTTTTTTCTGTGTTTGATTTTTTTTTTAAGAGTACAGATTTGAATTTTACAATTACTGAATTTTTCCAACAAATGTTTTTGTGTACCCCATCCACATACATTTTGTGAAGTAAACTTAGCTTGTTTTATAAATTAAAGTTAGAGTTTTAGAAAAGTGTTTGAGACCAAAAAAAACAATTGCTTATGTGAAGTGCCAAGTCTGAATTTGGAATAGTGAGACGTGTGATCCAGTACCAAAATCTGTGTTGGATTGAGTGGGTTAAAATAGGGGGAAAATCTCTTGAAATAGGAGGATTAATTTATCCGAAAAATCTGCCGGATGTCCCTTTAGGCAGTTTACGTTGAGCTTTAACTCAGGTCATGTAACATTTTCTTGAAAGAGGATGACTTTACAAATGGAGCACTTTTTTAGGAGCTAGGGGAACTCGTTTGTGAAGCGCCCAAACAAATTTTGTACGACAGGAAAACAGGAAAAGAAAGAAAGGACGGAGAATTCCAGTGGACATAAAACCACTGCCATTCTTAAAAGCATCTGTGATAGGGTGAAGTGCCTAACTTTGCCCCCCTGTTTACCCCCTTTAGATGGGCTCCACACCTCCTTCACAGGGTCAGGTAAGATTCATGGTCCCCCTCCCTGCCATCTCTTGTCTCACCTACAAAAAAAAAAAGGTTCCTTTTAACAACTTTTCCCCATGGACTCTTTTCCTACATGTATCCTTCTATACTACTAATAAAAAAAACAACTTCCGACAATATATACATGTAATACTAATGTCATAAATCCTCCCCTGTACCGCTGCTTTGAATTAACGATGAAGCTGCCATAGACTGATTCTTAGGCTGTCTAAATAACGCGACTACGGCTTACAATTACACATGCACTTATAAGAAGCCACATCCCTTTAGGCATCTGCACTGCTGCCACAGCCAAGCAAATCAGACACAGCCCAAGATGAGGGCTCCAAAGTCGCAGAGCTGTAGACTGAGTTACGACAGCAGGCGTAGATCCAGCTGTGGCTGAATTTTTTTTTGGCCATAGAAATATATTAAAAATTATGTGATTGTCGGATTTAAACAGCACCCCCAATTGAAAGTAAGTTACAAGCCCCCCCCCCCCCCCCTATTGATTTAATGCAGGCCAAGTGGCGTGAGAAAAAAAATCCATCTACATTTCCGTATTCATTTGCTGATGAAACCCCCCCCCCCCCCCTGCCAAAATTCCTTGATCCGCCCCTGGACAAGAAAGTCTAGTTCCAGCCTCGGGTTTTGTTTGATATTAACAACAACAAAGACAGGTTTAGTGTGCGATGCCGTACAAAAACAACAAATACAGTTTAAAACTTTGCTGAACAATTAATTTAAAACAAAATCCACGTTGATCCCTGTGTACAGTTTTTTTGCCTTTCACTTGTTCAAAGCAACAAAGTGCCCTCTGTGAGTAAGGGTTCTGTCTGGTATACTGCGTGATTCTATCTTTTCCTACCAAATTCTTGACTAGGCTTTACAGAGAAGTTTATCGTCCTTTCTCTTCCTGAAAATTTTTTACCCTCGCAACGTCTGTAGTATTTCATGTATTAACGCATTCCCTTCCTTAACACACCTGTACGAAGCAGGCCAAACAATGACAAATTCTTTGGATTTTCCCATTTTAAGGAAACCAAAGACCTACATATCTGGTATAAAAAAAATATATATAAATTCACTGCAGCAATTGCTGCTTGTATGCATCCTCGCAAAAAAAGTTTTACAAATATTCATTGCAAAAAGAGATACTTAGTAATTGGCCAATAGTAGTACTGTGGTAGTCTAATTTACAGAACAGCGTTTAATGCGTTTCGTTGGGTCTCTCCAGAAATAACACCGTCTCCCAAAAGACCTTTAACCTATTTCACAGCAAAAATAAAGTGGCTTAATTTTCAACCCCCCTCCCTGTTTGCATCCCCTTCAGCAAATTGGCCACCCCTCACAGTCCCAGCTACAGGTAAGTATGTCTCCTCTGCTCTGAAATTAGTAACCCTAAAATATTAAAAACCCTTAACCCTACCTAACCCCTAGGCCCTTTTTGGCTAGGAACCATCCTCAATCCTGCAAAATCTTCCCAATTGCCACCTTGAAACTATTGGGCTCGGCCTCAATCCTCCACAATCATCCGTTATTTCGTGCAATTGATCAGTGGAGGGGTGACCATTGCCTCAATCCTTCAAAATCCTCCAGCAATCACTGTTAATGGGTTGAGGCAGTGCCGATGACATTCAGAAGCTGTGAAGATGATATCAAGCATAAAAGCATAATGCATAACTGAACATAAACATTGCAGGGTACAGCCTACAAACTCAACGCAATGCATCCTCAAATCAACTGACACTTTCTTTGTCATTCAGCCTCAATCCTCCAAAAACCACCTGGAGGATTTTGGAGGATTCAGAAAGGTTAGGGTTAAAAAAGGATTGGAAAAGTCCATCTGTAAGGCTTTCAATGCAAGTTCTTTGAATTAATATCTTCTTCGTTTTGTCGCACTTCTAAATTATTGGTTTATTTTCCTTTTACATACATTGACTTTTATCGCTTTGGTTGAAGGTAAACTAAAATGCCAGATTGGTGAAGGTTTTTAAACATTTTCATATAAATGTTCTTTCTGCATGTGGTATTCAGACAATTAACAAGATTATTCTATCTTTTGCCGAACTAAAAAAACTAGATTTTAGCTGGGTTGTTTTTAGTATTCAAAACTGCAGGGAACTTTTCAAAAATTTGGGCAAGCACTGAAGAAAGCAGGCACACTTACTGAAGACCCATGTTGCAATTATTTCCTTCATAACTTATTTATTATTTACCTAAACGTTTATTTTAGGGTTGGCATACTGACACCCCCCCCCCCTCACCTGAAACATTTAATGTTTAAACCATTGCTTTTAACATACTGTAGCTCTGTCTTAATACCCCCTGGGCTGATGCTGTATACATGCATACTTAGCTAGTATTGAGGCCGGAAACAAAAATATCTAGATAGCGCCTAACAGTGCATTCTAATGAGATCTTACTTGAAACTTAGCACAAGCATTGCCAATCCATGTGGGATGTGCTCCAAATTGCGATGTCATAATGACATCATCAAGTGTCATTAACTAGAAGATACATTTTTGATGATAACATTGTTAACATAATTGTAAACACTCTAACAAAACAAAGGAATGCCTTTATCACAGAACATTTGAGTAGTTAGTGGCTCGACTAGAGGACATGCTTAAGACTTGAGATAGACCTGACTACGACGCTGGTATCACTTTGAGATGGATGTATCTGTCTCACTATCTTGGACCCAAAAAAAGGGACTAAAAAGATACCGAGTAGGCCTATACAATACGTCTAAGTAAATATGTGTCTCTTCTTTTCTGGTCTGTCAACAGAGGCACCGGGTTGCCGTAGCGACGGCAGGCAGCAGCTCCGGAAGCCACAACCCTGAAAAGTTCATCAAGCCCACGGCTCCGACCTCGTAGGGATTCGAACCTCTCCCGTACGAGACAGACAAGATGCAGGAAAGACGTTGAAGGAGGACTGATCTCAGCCCATCCCTTCGAGAATCTTGAAGATGGTCAGTTGACATTCAAATAGTACCAAGAGGAAGGAATATGGTCCTAGATTAAACAATTAAAGATTGTCGAAGATGCTGAAAGACATCTTGAGTAGACAGGCTACTTGACAAGTCCGAGCCTTAGCTTTGCACGGGTTGGTTTACCGCAAACCAATAATGATGAAAAAAAGAAAAATGTGGAATTACTGTAGTTTGAAGAATGCATGCCAAAATCCTGATTTGATACGCATGAAAAAAAAAAAAGTTTGTGAAATTTAAATCGCAATCAGTGTTGTTTTTCTTACGGCTATGAAAGAAAATTGCAGTTGTCTATATAACAAAATGTACAACGCGTTGCTATTAAACTGTAATGAAGAACATATTTGTAACTTGGACATTCTGTACATATGCCCTCTCACAAATTGGCTCTCTGTAAAACATTTTCAATGTGCCTTGCGAACCTGCCAATTTTTACAGACTTGCGTCAAAACATGAACTGAAAACGGTCCACAAAAGAAAAACTGTACCTGCCAAAGAATTGTGGGAGCTGATGCATTTGAAAAAAAAACATCTGAATGTGAACGAAGCACCGCTAAAAAAAATGCAAATTTTGATATTTTTTTGCAAGAGTGTTGAAATATTTTTGCATATAAAACTTATAAAGTCTTTGGACTTTACAATGCAGATTCATTTTTTTTTGCTAGTTGTGAAAAAAGTGTGGCAGATCTGCATTTGTCTGCAATTGATGTTTTGTAAAAAGTTTGGTTCATTTTGTTGGTAGGTGTAAAACCAGAGGCCATTTTTAGAAAAACACCCTGGCGGGGGAGAAAAAAAATTGGACTCACAAAATTCTGATGTTTGGCTTTAGTAAAAAATATATTATCTGTGAAATGCCTTTTCTTAAATTGGTAATCATTACATAACAGTATCCATTGAAAGAAAACTTACCATAATGCATGTTTGACTATAAGAGAACTCATGAATACAAGCCATCATAAAAGAATTATCAGTTTCTTGTACAAGTACGATTCAATATTTCAGAAATTATCGCCTTGTGAATTTAGAGTTGATGTGGACAATTATCTTTAATTCACATTGCACATACATGTTAAGTCGAAAACCTGTTGAGAAAAGTTTGAAAGTGGCCCTGGTTGCGTTGAATATTGTGGAGTATATAGATATTTAAGAAAAAAAAATATTGTAAATATTTAATGATAAAAAAAATTATATGATTCTGTTCTGTTGATAAATGTATGTTTTTATTATGATTTATGTGAGAAGGGGGAGTGTACAAGTCGAAAGCTTTGTTCTGTTAAAACAGATTTGTTAAAAAAATCTTTTAAAATAGTCAAGTATTTAAAAAAGGCCAATTACTGTATTGCATTTTGTTGTGTAATATCGTCACACCTCCCGTGTTCATTCTCAAAAATTTTGTTGCATTTTACTTAAACTGTTTTGTCAAATGAATAGGGGTGTGCATTCGAACCGAGTACCCGCTGATGTCGGTAACCGGTTCCAGATTATCAGATCAATTACTTAGCACCTTAGAACTTTACAAATTTCTTAGTAACTTTTCAGACAGTGAAAGAGAAAGATTTTGAATGCCATTTGTGAGGAATTTTCAAAAGAAACACCAGGCTACATGGAATTTTAAACAGATGTCATGTTTCGTATGCGCGCGCATTTTTACGCGCGACAGAAGACGCTCGCAAAAGTTGCAGTTTACCCCGTAGAGCTTCAAAGCCCTTCTGTAAACTCTGGGGGTTGGGTTTCTTTTACGGGCACCAGTTTGTTAAGTTGAAGATTAATTCGTTATCATGCTCGCACTCATGGAACAGGGAAAATGTAGTGCGTCTGTATCCCACATACCACGAGGCCGAAGTGGGACACAGATGCACTACATTATTCCGTGTTCCACTCACGCTCGTGGGATAACATATAGTGTAGGGCATTTATAAAGGGAAGCATAAATGTGCAAAAAAATTAAAATGACTGTTATTTAGTCGAGTACAGCTAAGTCAGGTAGCTTGACAGGGTGATATGCTAGCACTCTGTAGATAAAACTGCTGCTAATCTTGTTTCACACAAAAATTCTGCTGTAGAGGTATTTATTATTTAGAGTTCTTGAAAAAAATTGATCCATAGATTGAAATTCTGCGACAAATAATTTGTAAAGAAAAAAACCAATATGCAGAGCTTTCAGTGCTTGGGTGTGTTCCTCTCATCTAGCTGTGGTATATAAGCCTTGTTTTACCATTATTAACAATCATGAGGGTTTACAGTAGTAATTATCCAATCGTATTTATTGCACCAACGTCATTTCAACAAGCATGCTTTTATGTACAACTGTCAGAATTCAAACACTATACAAAAAAGTAAACCGTGATAATACATATAAGTCCAAAATAGGACTACTATAATCAATGTTACTTTCACCCATTGGTGCTGTTTGTATGTAAACGCTCTAATGACAAGGGCACTATTTACAACCAACGTCATAACACAATGGACCAATCCATTTTGCTCCACCTCGTGGTGCGTTGACCAATCACAGTCATGATTTATGCCGGACATGTGTGCACAAAATGTCAAACATGCCTGCAAGTACGTAAGATGCTCGCAGCTGAACCTGCGGTGTGATAATGGAGTGGCGCACGTGTTGCCGCCCCACGTCCATAATGGGCAGGCCATGGTTGATTGAAAGGAGTTTTAGTAACTAATATTGTTTGTTACTTAGAATTGTTAAAGTTGCTGCACTGTTTCTAACTCCTAATGCTATAAATACATGCAGTTTGTGTCAACTGGCTAATAAGCCATTTGCGAGTTAAATTTGAATAAAATCTGGAACGCTGACTTTCCAATGCTTTGCTAAGATGGGCCTACCAAAGAGACTGTTACTATATCACGTGATTCGGGGCAAGCCTTATGCTAGCAACCTCCAGCTCCGGCATGGTCTGGTGTCTTTGTGCCATTCTCACACATTGTGAACAATGTACATTGTATTGGTGCTGAGCGTCTCTTACGTAACTGTGCAAGAGCTTGCCCCGAATGATGTGATTAGCAACAGTGTCTTTGGTCTGGAGATTTCAAAGTTACAATGTGCCAAGCAAATCCCAAAGGGCATGGGTCACTTGCAAATGGCTTATTGTATACATCAAGTATGGGAAAAACATCATTATTTCTGAAAGTTTGAAGAGACCTTTGACATGATGGCATTACGCAATTAATTTACGTACATGTGTAAAACATGTTGCACTTGCTAAACATATATGCACATGTTGTATATACAATGCTATGAGGTGGTAAGAGCATAAATGGTTTCGTACATACTGAGTAAAAGAACTAGGGTTGCAATTGAAAAAAAAAAAAAAATCAATCGTTGATGTTGAACTGTAGATAACTGAAATTTCAAAAAGGTCACAATAACTCAAGTGATAATTTCTGGCAATTATACTTGTGAACATGAATATAAATTGTTTCAGTTTTGACCATGTGAAAAGGCGATATGATTTAAAAAGCTGAAATACCAACGTTGTAACATTGATTGCGAAGGTGATGGATCCTTTTTGTTTTTTCTTCATTTTTTTTTAACCAAGAATGTGTGTAGCTTGTGTACTGGCCTCAAATTCTTAAGCAGTTGATGTGCATGTATAAGTAACAGACTTGTATAAACTTGTTGAATTTCGAAGCTACCACACATATCATGGGTACCGGAACGATTTAACGCAACAGTTTCAAAACACAGTGCCATTTGACATTGTGTGTCTTCATAGTGTCAAGAGGTTTATTCAGTAATTGTAGAATTGCAACCCTTCAAAAAAACGAGGTTAGCTTTTTCTCGCGCTAAGATTTTGTAGTGGAATTTAAAAAGTTTTGTCTTGCCAATTATTATTTTTGTTTTGCCTGGGGGAATTTGAATTCCACGGTAGTGGAATGTAGTATTTTGTGTATTATTTGGGGATAAATCGGCGTAAACGTTAATTTCTCTTTACTGTTAAGTGTAATATCTTCATTCTTCTTCTTTTCTAGAGAAATATCCGTAGCTGAAGTATGGAGCATCCAATTTTTTTTTCCAGCTTCATAATTTTTAAGCAACTGAGTTTTTGTGAAATGGCCTCGAAATGCAGCATACGTATGTACAGTGCAGTATACAAATTTGTAATGTGTTGATTATATAAAAAAAACGGCAGTCTTAAATGTTTGGTTTCATTGTCACTCAAGAAATCTGCAAAGGCAAATTTAAATGTAAGATAAAAAGAGTTCTCTAAAAAATAAAAATAGAGCAAGAGTTGACGAATATACAAGTTGAGTTTGAAATGTGTGGTACTGTCACATGATAATTTTGTCCTACATATATCTTTACTTTGATTAATTCCTGTTGAACATAGTAGTCATATGGCTTTCCTCTATGTAAAAGAATCCCCCATTATATTTGTACACCATACTTGCAATTACTTAAAATCACACACAAAATTATCTTTAACATTTTCAAAAATTTAAAATTATAAATACTTTCAGAAATAAACATTAGGATTTAGACCGCTCGAACCATCGCATCGTACGCACAGAGCTGTTGCCCGTCTCGTATCCCCACCGCGCTAACGGAACCACCACGATGCTTGCGTTATCCTCGCTGCCGAACTGCAAGGCCTGGTCGGCGACAAAGTTGGCCGCGGTGGGTGGGTCGTGACACTGATTGACGGAATCGCAGACTTCTTGATCGGTCATGACGGAGATGATGCCGTCCGTCACTAGGATCAGCATGCTGTCTTTGCTGTGCTTGATCTGCCCAAGGAAAGTAATGAATTATTGAAATATAATAAGTGAAAAGGACTAGGCCGAGTTTTAAATCATTAAACAGTTTTGAAAAGAAACTGACTGGAACACAATCTGAAGCTTGTAGAAAGATCTCAAGACTTGTGGGTAATTCTGAAAGATATGGGTTCAAGTCCAGTTCGGGGGGTGTGGTGCGCGTGCCCTTGGGCAAGACACTGTGCCACTCATTCAGGCAGGCAATTTTCCTCGGATCAGCTGATTTCACTTCCAATGTGTGCCATTGAAAATAGAAAAACACTGTACAAAATCTTGGAAAGATTTGAATTTCCTCTTTTTTTGTGACTTCCCAGTTGCATGCCTGTCATTGCTTCTCTCCACCCAGGAGTTAATGGGTACCTGTTAGGGCAGAGATGGTTACTGTGATTGATTTAAGCTGCTTTGCTCCAAAGTGGCAGCATTGAGCTGTCTACTCCCCAAGGAGCTGACTTGGTCTTTGAAATGTTTCACGGGACAAATGAATGCATCACTGACTGACTACATGACTGACTGACTCCCCGACTGACTGAGACTCTGACTGACGGACCGAGTCACTTAGTATAAATAATGTCCTAAAACGATATTTGACTAGTATTAAAGGAAGCCTAGTATTTATACATATTTCATGAAAGGCAAGCTTTTGGCTATCACCCACCTCTACTGATTTTGTCTCAGGCTGTGCGATCACGCCGTATCGCTTCAGTGGTCCGTCACCTATACTACGCGTCATTGTCAGTGCACCGTTGACTAGCGGTTGGCCTTTACTATTCCAGCTTGAATTTGGACAAACATCAGAAAAGGATCAGGATTATTAAACATCTGAGAATAGTCTAGAATCTGAGTCTTTCACAGAACAAAATAATAAGGATCTTAAACTCCTTTTCTTCCTCTAGCTGAAAATTGAATAAAGCCATCTTAGCAGACAGGAATCCTGTGCTTACATAAAGCAGGGTTGACTGGCTGCGACTGTTAATGCAACTTGATACAGCCATGCTTTGACTGTAGGTGACTGTTTTCAGCATTTCCCCAGTTTTTTTCAGCTGTCAAAGACTTTTACTATTGCTCTTGACCTCCTAGTCAAGATCCCTAGAGGATGTTTCAGGAGGAAAATAACCAAGTACCAAGTGAGTACCAAGTAGATAAGAGATTTTTATGGCACTATTCTTACTCATAATGAGGACTACCTGATGAAACCGTTAGAAGCCTCAATCCTCTCCCGTTCCGTGTCGACCTCCGGTTGGTGGTCGCGCGACAGTCTCACTGCCTTCCCCTTGCGACACAGAATGGCCCGGCTGTCGCCGACGTTGGCCACCACAAGCTCGTTGCCGTTTCGGAGGAGGCACACAGTCGCTGTGGTGCCGCTGTTTTCCAAGGCTGGATCTGGTAATGGCAAATGTACAAAGACAATCCAACAATGCAGTCAACCACATCAGGATTGTAAATTAGTAGCTGTACATATTCATGTAGCTATAAGCACCTTTGGAGAGCTTTTTTGGTTATACAGATAAAATAAAGGATAAGAAAAGATCATTTGTGCATAAATTATTAATATTTTTTTGCTGCAATTATCACCTCTGATGTCCATGTGCAGGTGTCTTGCGAACCGGTTCTCCAGATCCTCAAATGACCTTTTCAGAACCACCTGCAGATCGTATTCATTCCACAGCCAATACCCGATGTGATGTTCCAAGTTGCAGCTAGCGTAGTCGGCCGCAGTGGCACCCCCGTGCCCGTCGAATATCCCAAAGTAGAGGAGATTTGGGGCCAGTTCGACCATGCGTATCCTGTCCTCATTGGTCAAGCGCCGTCCAATCAGGGACTCCGCACCAACATTCGAGAGAGAAATCTTGGGAATCGGGATGCCGTGCTTGATGCTCTGCTGGAGGAGTATGGGTTCCTCGATGCGATTTTCCCAGGTACCGTAGCTGTCCCAGTCAGGCGGTCGGTTACGCCAGGAAAAATTCCTACTGTCGTGACTGTTCTTGAAAAGAACGTCCGTGTCGGTCCTCCATTTGTTGAGGAAGATTCTCTGCATGCTATAGTACCTGAGATTTGTCGTTAATGATTTTGAGACATTTCTTGCGCAACCCTTGCACCAAGTGTTAACAGATGCATTGTGGGACGCTCCTGCGTCCCTGCGTTGGCTACAGTAACCCCCTCCTAAGGTTGAAATGTATCTCTTCAAGGGTTCACATACTTTTTGTGTGGGATATTTCAGTATAAATAAGATCCTCCGTGTTGTGTTTTGCATCCTCGTTTTGGTATTCCTACATTTCTGTATGGAGCTGCAACAAGCAAATATTATCATGAGAACAAAAAATGTTCATGAGAAAAAAGAACTTTACAGGTTACATTTACAACTCTTCCATGTAACTTGTAAATTGGTTGAAATGTATCCTTGGTTATACAGATCGCAAAAAGGCGTCCCTGACCTACTTCTAGAACCAGAACTAGTAGACGCCCCCCCCCCCCCCCAATTTAACACCGCCCCAGGTAATTTTTGTGTGTGTCGACGTGCATAAGTCAGCTTAGCCCCACTAGTGTGGCCGTCGGTATGCTGCGCTGAACCTTAGGTTCAGCGCAGCATACCGACGGCCACACTAGTGGGGCTAAAGTCAGCTAAGCTATGTTGGGTTTTCATATTAAAACAGCGATAAGTTGGGCCTACTTCCATCAAAAATTTGACTTTCTCACACACAAAAATCTCTTTAAAATTTGTTGAAAATGATTTTTAACGACCTCGGACCGACAACATTTGAGAAATTCAGAGTTAAAATTCACTCACCAGCCTGTGATGGCGAGATGTTGTCCGCTAGCTCTGAACAGCGCCCCCAATAGTCAGAACGCGGACGGTGCTCCCCAAATCAAATCCATGAAATCGGCCGAATTCCACACTCACAGTCACACAAAAAAAGTTCACCACAACAAGCGCAAGAAAAAAACCTTTTGTTGGAAACTTCAACATTGTCTCGATGCAGCAATTGGAGCTTACACAAAAGACATTTTCCCCTGCCCCGCCCCCGCGCCGTCTGTCACTCGCTGCGCTAGCTAGCTGGCTTCCCAGCCCGGCCCCGGCCCCCGACCCCACACGTACACGTCCCTGTTGTCATTTCGTTTGGCAGCGCTGCTCCACGGCCACCACACGTCACCGACACCGAGACCGAGTATTGAATCATCACTGAATGGGCAAAGATGGCTTTCACTTTCTGTTTTGAAATCAGTGTTCCTCAGTCATCTACGACTGCAAGTGCGCAAGTAAGATATCAATGGACAGCTAGCTGACAGTGACAAACCACTTATGATACAAATTACAAGCACAATGGAGGATTAACTCCAGCTGACATGCTGACTGGCACAACTCGCCTTTTCATATGTATGTGAATTCCTGATGAGCATGGCTGGAGTTACTCAAGCTGGGTAACTTGATGACACTTTTGAACACCATGTTCATGTTTGTTTGGCCGGCCATGGTTTGGCCACGGAGGAATTACACAAACCTCCATGGGTTGGTTAACCATAGAGCCTTTGTCGAAAACAAAATCCATGGAGGAATATATATTATAAACAAACATAATTATTATGTTGTTTTGTTTTACTGCCCTAGCCAAACAAACAAAGTAAAACACAATCAAATTCATTAATAGGGCCTACATTTTATTCAGTATGCAATGAGGAGGAACTGCATCATGCATGGTTTAATCTCCCAAAATAAACATTTTTGTGGTGTCATATTTTTTTTTTATGTTTCAAATTTTACAAGTAGGTCAATTGTCTACCAACAAGTTTTTGACAACCATGGCATTTTGAAAATTGTAATTAATACAGTGGCATATAACACGGCTGCCCCCCCCCCCCCCCCCCTCCCCCACAACCCGATAAATTTAGAAAACAAATCACCCGTCCACATCTGAATTTGTCAAACAATTTGGTTGGTTGAGCACAAATAACCCAAATCCGGTATGGCGTGATTTTAAGTCGTGTTGTTTTTCAAAACACGCAAACAAATACATCTCATGCTCCAATAAATTCAATTTGACCTTGTGCATGCCTCAGTCCAGAAATAAACACCCAGACTACTTTTGAAATTCTTTCTATTGTTATTCAAAGTACAGCCTTCAATGTGAGGCCAAATAAAAGGGGCAGACATACAAGGCCAAACTAAGTCTACTTCTAATGTTCGAACACTAAGGCATCCATTCTTCAGTTGGGTTAGTGCAAGTGAACATTGTGCAGTGTCACTCTGCTTGTGAAAGTTGCGACGTTTTACTTTGTTTCTCACGCTGACGTAAGTTTAGAACTTTCCTAACATCGCTTTTAGGAATTAAAATCTTGAAATCTTAATGTTTATAATACAGTCATTTGTTGTTGTTTTTTGTTGAGGTCTTTGTATTAAGTAGGATACCTAGGTGCTTTAGGATAGCTCACTCAATTTTAGTGATTTTTTTTTCAAATTGTGATTTGAGTGCCTACATACAGTGATCTTATTGTATAGCTTGCACAAAAAGTTCATTGTCAATTGTAATACGCAGTTTCAGTTGCAATTGCACAATTTTTGGTGGTGAGGAAAATCGGTGAAAGGCAGCGCATTTTTCCTTGCATGTAAAAAAAACCTGGACATGTTTAGCACATATACAGACGTACATGCCTGTAAATTATTTTTAAAAAATTAAGCACATTGCAAACTGTCAATGGATTATCGATGAAACTACATTGATTTTTCCCCGCATTTAAACAACCCAACTTTCTAACTTCTTGTTGGGTACATAAGTCACAATTTCAGCAGATTGACCCAAATCATACTAAAAAGGTTCAATTTGCAAAAATCCTGACATACATTTTAATTCCCTTTTGTAGTTCATTTGAAAATATTTTTTAATTCATCAATTAGAATTGAGCAAAGGTTTTGTTAACCAAAAACCCAGGGATGGTCTAAATTATGGCTTTACTTCTTTCCATAAATCTCCTGATCAATTTATATCCAACAGTTGTAAACAGTTAATTACTCTAACTGTTCAACAGTTAACTGATAAAAGGTTTTCACAAGAATTTATGAACAAAAATAAAGAATATCTTTTTTTATCGTTTCGTATCTAGGCACATGAGAAGCGAACCCACCATGACAAGGTACAAACTTCTCCAGATCGTCCTCATCATTGGATGCACCATTACTCTGTGCTCCGCTCAGTCATGCTACGGTCGCCAGCGGGGACATCTTCCTGGCAACATCACTTTGGGTTTCTTGTTCTCGTACTACGGATACAATGCCTCAATGGATAAGTGCGATCCTGAGACGCCGAATTTGGACAACATTCAGCTGATCGAAGCTGCAAGCATGATGTTACAAAACGCAGGAACTCCGGAATTTACATTTGGTAAGTTCACATATCAATACAGTTTTATACAAATATGTACCTTGTGCTCTTCAAAATGTAACTTTTTTCTCCTAATGAATTTTAAATTGTATGTGTTGATAATTGACGGGAAAAAATATTTTATCCCAATCTGGACTTCTGCAACATTGTCGGCCCCAAATAATTCAATTTTTGTAAAGAAAAAACTCAATATAAAACATAGATTGATTTTTTCGTTCCATGTCTCATTCAAAACTGACTAGCTTTTAAAATCATCGGCAAAATAGCAATGGAAAGAAAAAAAGGATTCTTTTTTGGGGGGGGGGGTTTGAACCTCAAAATAACACGGGAATTGCAATTTCAGGAGTCTCGTCACAGAATCTCTACATCTGTACAGTAAACGGAAAGATTTCCATATATGAAGTTCACTAATATTCCTCTGTATTGACTAACAAGCCCCCAGATAGCAATTTCATGTCATCAAAGTCAATTTGAGCAGTGAGAAAATACAAGCATTTTCTTAGAAAACACTTAAAAAATTTCAGTCCAATCTCATAGGGTTTGTACACAGGGTGTTGAGTGAACTTCGTATATATGGAAATCTTTCCCAGTAAACTTAGAGATAAATTTTCAATGTATCATATCTTCAGGTATGGAATCGTGGGACACGTGTTCGTCAAGTCGTTCAGCAGTTGAGGCATCGATAGCATATCTCACAGATCGATTGATGGATCAAGATGTGTGTTCTCCGAGTATCGCCAAGCCTGGGGTAATTGCAGGCTTGGAAAATGGAGGCCAAGGTATGTATATTGACAGAAAGACTTTAAAAAAAAGAAAAAAGAAATCTGTAACAGTTGTAATTCCTTGTGAGTTGTCCAAAAACAAATTCAGAATAAAATCTATTTAAGAGATTGTGCTTTTTGGCACACTCACTTTCAGTGATTGTTTTCTTTTGAAAAATACAATTTCAGGCGGAATAATTTCACCGGGTGTTTGAAACCAGATTTTTCTTATTTAATCGGTAGGTGTGTTTTCCAGGGATAATTTCCAATGTTCTTACATGTCTGTTAACTATTTTTTGTAGCTTTTTGGTATCATAAAAATGCTATTCATGTTCGATGGGAAACTGGTGGCTTGAGCCTTTCATGAGATGCCTAAATAGGTTTATGAGGACACAAATCTACCCCAAAAATTTGTGAACAAATACTTTGTTGTTTTGTTATCCGCAAGGGAGACTACCATCTTAGACTAGTGTTAAATAAAAGTGGTGTGCCAAACCGAAACGTGTGTGGAACGATTCAAGGCAACATAAACAAACCTTGGTTTCGGACTTTCAAGCTTTTGTTCGGATAACCCTATTCATCATTCATCCTTCACGTTTATCCTTCTTACCAGTGCTTAATCCCCGTTCATTGATAGGTGAAGCTGTTGCCGGTTTGATGAATGATGCCCGAGTTCCAGTCATCAGCTTTGCTGCCTCTCAGCCGGCCTTGACCCAAGATGGCCAGTTTCCTTACTTCTTGCGCACCCTGCCCAACGATGACTTCCAGGCAGCAGTAAATATTTGTAGCAATTAACTTATAAATAATCTCTAATTCTCAGATTATTCATTAGAGCTTTTTTAATGAATGGATCCACTTTACATATTTTTTGGGGGGGCAGGTTCTTATATATTTGCCCACTTGTTTTTTTGTTGTTGAGGTTTTTTTTTGGGGGGGGGGATTTTGTTTTACATAAATTGCCCAAAACAAGGCCAAAAGCCACTTAATGTGTATGCTACAAACTAGAAAGAATTGAAAACAACTACAAGAACCCACAGTGACAGGAGATATCCGTGGTCACATTCTTTTGAATTATGAATGATTAAAGGTACAAGGAAAACAAGATGGCAGGGAGTTCCAAAGAGAGGCAGTTCAAGGGGAAAAAACTTGATGAATATCTCACAGTTTTATCCTTTGGAAATGTAACTTGAAATAGATGTGACGAGACAGCCAATCGAGTAGAGTATTTGAACATTCTTTCAAGGGGAACTAGTGATCTCCTCAGAGGCTAGCCTTTAGTCTAGGCCCATGCAGCTATCCGGATACTGACGCACCCCGAATGCCGGCACGTAAAAAGACTAGCACGAGCGACGAAGCCGCGAGGGCTTTTACCATCTCGTGGAGAGCACTTATGTTTTTCTTTACATTTATCTACCAATTTTGGTACAGAAATTTCTCATGCATAATGCATTGCCTGTTGTAAATATTGACCAATGAAAATGTAGAAATTACTAACAGCTGTTTAGCAGATGTGACGTCACACGCGCTCAAAAGAAATGTGCAAAAGCAGTGATATTGTATAGGATACTCCGTTACACCAACGAATAGGCTAAATCCAAGCCGTTTATTAGACTGATGAAACTTCCAGTGAAAGCCATTCTGATTCAATTGACTAGAATTTTGTGCACTCTGGGGCCAACTTTACTAGGGTTGCCTTGTTTTTTTTTTTAATTCACTTGTTTTTGTGAACGGCACAAAATATTTTCAATTTTACTTTCAGGGACTAGTGAAACTGCTCCAAAGAATGAGCTGGAGTTATGTAACCATCATCAAGCAAGACACAGCAGAGGACGAAGCGGCCTCGCAAGCGTTCCAGCAAGCGGCCCGTCAAAACTCAATCTGCATCGCTGCCGCTCTGCAATTCTCCTGCGCTTCTTCCGACGAAGATATGGATCAAATTCTCGCTAACGTCACCAGGAATACATCCGTGCGTGTGGCCATTGTTTTTGCGTCTCCGCCCGGTGGGGAGAAATTGGTTTCTGCAATTCAGCGAGCGGACACCTCGGCTCTGCAATTTATTCTGAGCAACAGAGCGACCAACATGCTCGGCCCTGCACCAAACGTGACCAATCTTCAAGGAATGCTTGGTTTCAAATTACCGGCATATCCGGCAGAAGACCGATTTGATAATTACTTCAAAAGCCTGACACCAGACTCAGTTGACCCTGCTCGCAATCCATGGTTTGCGGATTATTGGCAGAGAAAGTACAAATGCAATCTCCCTGGGTCAGGTATGTAGCATTTCTTTCCATCCACTTACCTGAATTGTTTGAAACTGATTGTCTGACGAATTCATCAAGACCATATTCATAAGATGAAATTTGCGTCGGGATGATAAATTCAACATAGAGTTTTGCCCTTCACTGGCGTATTTTGAGATTCGAACCAGCCACCTGACCCTGGCGAGCTTGGTGGTCGAGTGATAAGTCGTCTGCACTTAAGTAAGCAGGTGGTCATTGGTTCGAGTCCCAAGCGGGAAATAGTTTGTGAATTTTTTTCTCACAATCGCTCGGGGCGACACTGAGTACACGGTGTTTATAAAATACGTTGGCGGAGGGTAAAACCCAAGATTGAATCTATCAAAATTATGTTAAGGACTGTTATACACAGTAGATGGTGTTTTCATGATTTACTTGAGCTACTGGAGTTGGGAAGGTTTCGACTACAACACTGATCAAACTTTCGGCCCCATTTTTTTTGGGGGGGGGGGTAATATCTGTAAAAAAAAAAATTGTTTTTAAGTTTATGCGTGTGTTTCTCGTTGACAGAATCATACAGAGATAATTGTTCCAGTGTCCACGTAGAGCTACACAAGAGCAGTTACGTACGTCACCCTTGCGTGTCTAGCGTAATCGATGCAGTAATGGCCTATACAATCAGCATTCAAAGCATCTACAACAACTTAGGCTGTTCGGTTATGGGTCAGTCAACGTGTGATTCTCTACGCAGCGAACAAATTTTATCTTACATCAAGTAAGTACAGTTCGTTTGGTCGAGTCATGAAATTGACTCTAACAGAATTTGAATCTGCAGTTCTTGCTTGACCGACTGACCGTTTGACTGTCGGGACTTTGACTGGTTGTGGGCTCATGAAGAGAGTCGGGCAGTGCTATCATATAGGATAACCTGTAATGGGCGAAATTGGGCCTATTGTGTAGGCCAGATGCATGAAAAGACTTCCAGTGAATAGGCAAATGTAAATCATTTGAATAATATTTTATGCGTTATGGAATTGGCTTAACCAGTTCACATCGGATGACATACATACAAAAGTTTTGCCGTATTCGGAACGGATGACAGATAAACACGCAACGAGCAAGGCCGGATATATCTGTCTGCGACCCGCATGCAGCATGCGAGGCCGGAAATATCAGGGCGTGCTACCACAGATGACGGCCTGAACCCGTCTGGCATCGAGGTTCGTGAAAACCATCCCGTGCCTTGGCCTGGTCGTGTCATAATAATCCCGGTGCAAACTGGTTAATACTAGTCTTTCTTTTTCTGAAATTCTTTTAGGAATGTCAATTTCACAAGGGAAAACGGCCAGCGTTTGGCGTTCCTCCCGTCTGGTGACCCTTACTACAGCAGACTGGACGTTGTGAACTTCAAAAGGACCATGGATGGAAAATCCAAGATTGAGCCTGTAAGCGATTTTATGCTATCAAGTCAGTAAATTTAAAAAAGCAAGAAAGTACAGGATAGTCAAAATACAAGAGGCAGAGAAAAAGAAATTTCAATATTAAATGGCGTATTAGCTTCGACTATTTTTTTGTGATGAAATATCTTCTTTTTTTTTGTGAAAATGGCCATGTAAAATTTGGCCTTTGGCCTTGAAAAAAAAAACATGGATAAAATCCTGCACACAAGTCTCAGTAATTTTTTTTTTTAAAACCTGTCCCAAAGCACATGCATACATACATGTGCAGTCTGAAATAAGTAATGCGTTTGAAAATAAAAAAAAAAAATTAGGTGAACTTATTTTTTTCTTCAAGTTTGTATACATTTTTAATACACTCTTTGTATATTGAAAGTTTGGCTTTTAATTTGGGAGATTAAAAATTCCCCAGCATCACAAAATTTCATTCTGGTTAATTTCGCAGGTTGGCTATTTTGAGAACGGCGAGCTAAGTTTAAACTCCACCCAGCTTCAGCTGGTAAACAGCAGCGGATCGGTCCCTGTTCAGTCTGTGTGTGACCCTCCCTGTATGGATCCGGCTTGTGGAGATATAATCGCACCACCTGATGAACCCGTGGTAAGTTTATTGATATTACTTGGCTGCGGCTCGCAATTACACATGCACCTATGGAATTAGATGAAGCCACATCCCATTAGGCATGAGTGGCTGTGGCTAGCTATTAAATATGTGTCTATGTATAGACCATTATCATGTTGCGGCCATTTTGAATTTTTCCGATTCAAATCAACGTAACCAAAGCGAGGCTGGAAGGAAAAATAGTCTGGTTCCTTTTTGCACAAAAAAATTATCATTCAGTTTTGTTATTGGATTCAGGGAACATGACTGAAATGGTGGCAGCATGATGGTCTATTGGCGGCTTTTAATGATACATTCTGAAACTTTAAGGAATTAATCTTTGTTCATAAAACCTAGCTGAATTTTTGTCAAAGGTGGTCACTCAAATCCCTGGGGGTGTATATTTTTGCACTAGTGACCTCGGTACCAGTCAATATATGCAAATATTCCTTTCCCTCAACAGGTCTGTATATTAGAAGATGTCATTCTTGGTGGTTTGTTAACTCTCAGTCCACAACTGGAATGACAGAAATATGTCATGTGGGTCACTAGATAATCACTCTTGTGGTTACTCACAGTCCCACGTGGTACCTAATTTCTCATTAGTGCCCTCATTGCCAGTCAATATATTCTCCTCAACACGGTTATATATGAGAAGATGTAATTCTCAGTGGTGTCTTCTCAGTCCACAACTGGATTTGACAGAAATACATACATTTTGTGGGGTTTTAAACAGTCATTTCATGGTCACCCACAGGGTGCATAGATGCAAAATAGTGCCCTCTTTACCGGTCAATATGTGTACATATATATGTTTATAACCTTCCTCCACAGGTCTATATACCAGGAGACGTCATTCTCGGCGGATTATTCTCAGTCCACAACTGGAACGACAGTAAATCATCCTGCGGGTCTCTGGACGAATCGGGTGTCAAACGCCTCGAAGCCATGCTGTACGCACTCGACAAAATCAACAACGACTCCGCCATCTTGCCCGGGGTAAAACTGGGCATGGACGGGTATGACACCTGCGCGAGTCCCGATCGCGCCGGTCACCAAGCCCTCCAGCTGGTCAGCGGGGGTCAGTTTGGCCAGAGCGGGTCCGGCCAGCGGCCCCAGCCTGGCGGTCTTACGGAGCACGTGTACGGTTTTGTAGGCCCTAACAGCGACGAGGAATGCCAGTTAGTCAATGGAGTTTTGAATGTAAGTTTGAATTGTTCAGATTATTTTCTCGTAATGAATCCGAGTCAAAATGCACACATTTCTATAAATTTGTCTTTCTCCATGTTTCACAATTTATAAAATATTTGTATAACTAGGGGAAGTTTAAGAATAGTGAAAAAATTGTAATTAATTTTTTTTTCTTTCTTTTTTTAAATAGTCTTGTCAAAAGGTCACGTAAACATTTATTTTAAAAGAATATGAATTATTGAGCAAGACAAAGAAAAGTTAAATAAAAAATAATGTATTGGAAAGAAACAATTACTATATTTCCGTTTGCTGTTCTGTATCGTGACTTTGGGCGTGATCCCTGGCTGTATGGCATACTGGTTTATGGCTTCTGACTAGCGCCCCTTGAACAAAGATGTTGACTAATTGGGGAAACCACCAACATAGGGCTGGATAGCTCAGTTGGTAAGAGCTCCGGAACGGTTTTCCGGAGGTCGCAGGTTCAAGCCCTACTCCAGTCAATTTCTTTGTTCAACTTTTCAATTGTTATAATTTGCCTCGTCAGTTTCCCTGTGTGGTTCATTTAAAAACAAGCATAAATACTTACAGTAGGCAATGCAGAAGTTAGAAATGACCGTCAAAATGGGATTGCAAATTTTTCAATTTTGAAACCCACAGGCTCTAGAGCAAGGATCCTAAATAAAAAAAAATTAAAAACAGCGTACGGAACATTGTCATTTCATTCAACAGGTTTATAGCGTGCCAATGATATCCTATGCGGCAACATCTTCCTCCCTGAGCAATTCGGCCGTCTACAAGAACTTTGCTCGTACAGTTTTCTCCAATTCTGCTCTTGGAATTTTGCTGCTCCAGGTTCTTTCAAGCAGAGGTTGGACCTACGTGCAGGCACTCCATAGTAACCTGGCGACGGGGCGCTTCATAACGGCAACGCTACAACAGACCGGCGCAAGGGTAAAGTCAGATTCCGTTGTAAAAATAAGAGGGTTTTTTATTTTATTTTGAATGCAATGCAAATTTTGCAAGCTGGCAAGAATTTTATTTTTAATACCTTGTTTTGTTTTGATTATAAGTAATATTCTTCACATTTTAGTAGTGCAAAAACTCAGTTTACTTAATGTGCTCCAGACCGAGAATTGGGTCTCCTTGAATGAGTCCGAAGTTGACCGCTTTGCTGAGTCCAAGTTTGAGTCTGAGTCACTCGATTTGAGTTTGATTTGAGTCACGAGTCAACAACTGGGATGGCACAATAATCAGAAACTCTTTTCATTACAACACCGTTTTAGAGCACTGTAGTTAATTCACACATGTGAGGAACTTTATTTCTCGCCACAGGGACTAGAAAATTCACTTTGGAATTTGATTTTTCGATGGAAAAAAAATGGTACTGTTGGTCAAGAATACGTGACTTGAGAGTCCTGAGTCCTCATTGTCAAGTCCGAGTCATGACAGTCGAGTCTGAGTCCGAGTCTTTTGCCAGTATGACTTGAGATTGTGTCCGAGTCACCAAAAGTCCTCTCCAGACGGACTCAAGTCCGAGTCCTGAGAACTTGAGTTGTAAAACTCGGTGTTTGCACTTCAGAAATATGTACATTGTAAATGATGAAATTTCAACTTTGTATTCGATTTCAGATGGGTATTTGTCTGACAACTTCCCAAGTCATCCCGTCCTCTGGTAGCGAGGCTGAAATGGATGAAGTTTTCCAAAAATTGCAGACTCGCCCTTCGGCAAAAGCGGTGGTTATCTCGGCTACTAATGACGACACGCGAGTCATCTTGAAGGCCTTTCAAGACCGGAAGCTGTTTGGCCAGTTTTATTTGATTCTTGCCAGTGAGTGGTCGACCGACCCGAGTCTGCAGTCTGAATTTGCTGGGATTGCACCAGGTAAAATTGCGTCTGTATTTTTGTCCCCTTTCATCTTGCTTATGATTGTAAAAGAAAATTTCATTCCTCTGATGGTGTTTTACAAAAGGCATGCAGTTATTAAAGGGAAAATACAACATTTGCAAACATCAAAAAATAAAACTACCAAATCATTTTGAAATACCTTGCTGGACTGTTAGTGAATGACAGTGTAAAGCATCCTGTAAAATCATGGCACCTGGTATACTGTCATTTTCAAGAAAAGTGGTATTTTTGTATCAATTTCCAACACTGATCGGCCGATCAGCGTTGGAAACAACTGGCTTTTTTTTCAAATACTGGCCCCAATTGACCATCGCATTTGTTTGCAATCGATTACAAACCTATGAACGGGTACGAGCCAGCTAGACTGGTTCCCTGACCTTACAATTCCCCAATGTATGTAAACTGCTCTGTTTCTTCTTATATGGAGTCAGGGAACCAGACTACTGGAAAATGATCGTTTTTCTTGGTTTTTTTAGCATTTTCGAACCCAAAACCTCAAAAAAGTCAGTGTAACTATGTTTGCTATATATTTCCAACCCCCCAATTCCATCCATTTCTGAAAATTACAGCAAAAGCAAATGATGTATATTCCCTTTAAACACCACTAGCTGGAAACTATATTCCCTCAACTAAAATGAAATGTATTTTTGTTACAAGGGATAACATTCATATCGGAAGGGAAGCGCAGCTATCCGAACTACAAGGCTTACTTCTCAAGATTGAAACCCAGCATGAACCGACGCAATCCCTGGTTTGCTGAATACTGGGCCAAGAAATTCCAGTGCAACCTCCCGGGCGCTGGCACTGCTTACGCTGCAGATTGCTCAGGTACAAACATGTATGAATCCTTTTCAATCAAAGTCTTCAAGTACAAAATCTTTTAATACTTGAATAGATATCATCCCTGCAAATTACATAAAAGTTTATTTAACTTTTTTGTTTGCCTCTTTCAGTGAGACGGTTGGATAAAATGAGATCACTTCAGGTCGTTATTGAATCTGAATTCTGAAACAGGATCTTGTTTTCCCCCATCAAAACTCAAATTTTAATATTAAACCAGTCGGCACAGTATGAAGGGCTACGCCCACAACACTGTATATGTTATGTGTGCAGATGGAACTTGCAATAATGTAGTGCTTCTGTGTTTATTATGCAGTAAACCGATGAACTACATTTCTGTTTTCCAGAAGCATAAATGTTTTTTTTTTTTTTTTTTTTTTTTTTGTACCCTGTATCAGTGTTCATTGTATTGTTGAATTTTGCGTATACGTCTGTTTATTTTTATTTTTTTATGACTGTAATGCGCATTTGAACATATTTTAAATGGAATTTACGCACTATAAATTTATAAATTATTATTATTATTATTATTATCTTTACGTAAGCGTGATGCATGAATATGTAACACGCACATTGTTGTAAATTTGCCAGCAGTCATTGTAGTTGCCCATTTTCCTGCTGAACTTACACATTTTGCACTAGTACATGTGCGCACAGCAGGATAAACGCATGCATCTTGGAATAGCATGCGATTCCCGCGATGCGATGTGAAAAACATCTCAGTGGTTGTTGCCATGGGTCGGCCAATCCGAATCGAGAATTCAAGTTTCCTTGCGTTCTTATCTTGGCACAGGCTCCGAGTCTCTCACACGTGACGACGGCGAAGACAGACGCATCGCCCAGACAGTGGACGCCGTCTACGCAATAGCGCGGGCCATATCCGGCCTCCAGGACCGCCACTGTCCGGGGGAGGCCCACGTCTGCCCCGAGATGGCCTCAGCAACGGGGGAGGAACTCTTCCAGCTCTTAGTGTCCAGGGCTAGCCAATTTACCAGTATCAATGACGATCACACTGTTGCGATTAGCGGATATGGCGACGTTTATCCTGATTTTGAAATCTTCAATGTGCAACGAACTAATGGAACACTCACGGATGTCAAGGTAAATATAAACAGCCCGTCACCTCCAAAGGAGCATAAAGTCAGACTTTGTACAAATTTAGATATTTCTTTTTCTGGATTCTGCTTTCTAATGGTATATAAGATTAAGGGGTACTGAGTTCTGTAACGGAAATATAGACCGCAAATTTACTTGAAGTTGTAAAAGTAATTTTTTATGTTTCTCTTTGTACAGGTTGCCAAATACCAGAATTATTTCTACCAAGAACTTGACAACAAGATTAAGGTGTACAGCAAGGAGAACGACTCGTATGTTGAGGTCTCCGACTCCAACTCGACCTCTGTTTGTATGGGTCTCTGTGATGACTGTAAAAAGGTTGAAAAGGTACCAGTTGCGGAGATTTCCGGGGGAGACGTGTGGATAGGAGGTAAACGTGTATATAGTTTTCAATAACTTGTCCAAAAAAAACTTTATTTTAATTCTTTCTGGTAATGAAACCAAGGATTCCTCAAAAGTACCCTAAGCACTATAGCTCGAAAGCCTGAAGAAACCTGTAGAGAGAAGACAATGAGAAGAAATTACAGTTTTAGAGGTGGGAGGAAAAGCCCAGAAGAATATTCTGAGGAAAACCCACGGAATCAGGTAGGACTGAAAACCCAATCCACATATATTGGCCCAGGCGGGATTCGAACCCGGGTCACAGCGGTGGAAGGCGAGGAAAGTACCACTACGCCAACCTGACTCCCCTTTTTTTTTCAGACCTTTAAAATGTACTTCACGTGCTCTTCAACACATTCACAACTTTCTTTTCCTTAAAAGCTTCCAACTGTTTTTTTTTTTTTCTGTAGAATGGTTCCCTGTCCCCACATTATCAATTTCTATGAAAGGATGGAGGGAACCAGTCTGCACTGCAAGAACTTAATTATTTTCAGACCGCAAATAACTTGAATCTTTTAAAATAATAAATGCAATTTACAAAACGTGGGCAATTTTTTTTCTCTTTTAAGTTCAACGTTTCATTCAAAACTGAACATCTCTTGTAAAGCTAGAAAAATAGCAATTAAAAACCCTCTATTTTTGTGGTGAAATTGAAAATAGTGCAAACAGTACATCTTTAGGGAATTTTCACGACTTTGGCCAAACAAGACCCTTTAACAAAACTTTAATTTATGTGTGGGGAGTGTGGCCTAGTGATGCATGATCAGAGGGTCAGGGGTTCGAATCCGGCTGCTGGGCATATGTTGTGTCCTTGGGCAAGCCACTTCACCCCCACTTGCCCCTCTCCGCCCAGGAGTATAAAAAGGTCCCGGCATTAGCTGGGGAGTAACCTGCGATGGACTGGCATCCCATCCAGGGGGGTAGAAAAAATCTCAGATGTTTCATGCCACTGAAACCGGAGATAAAATCCTGTCTGATGGGCCACATTGGCTCGTGACAGACTTTACTTTTACTAAACTTATGTAATCATAAACACCCCCACAGGAAAAAACTATAACAATAATAGTAAATTAATAAATTTAAAAAAAAATAAGAATCCTTGCAAACAAAAAACATGATGCTCAAGGAAAAATGTTGGAAATGTAAAAAATTGAAATAAATAACATATGTAATGGTGCTCCTTCATTTCTCATTTCTTCACTGCTAAATTCATTTTTTTATTTTCTGCTTCCATGTGGGCATCTATACTGAACGCAGTTTTTTGGGGACCACACAACCTCTTTCAAAAAATTATATTTTGTTTGAGCCTTTTTTAAACAATTTGGGGTTTTTTTTACGTTGTACTTCATTTCAGGATTGTTTGAGCTTCACGAACCCTCCCCAGACCACCTCCAGTGTCAGGAGGCCCTCATTCCGTACAACGTCCAGCTACTGGAGGCGTTTCTGTATGCCGTGGAACAAGTCAACATGGATTCCTCCATACTGCCGGATCTCAAGCTGGGTGCCATTGGGTTCGACACTTGCGGAAGCGAAGACCGGGCTAGCAGGGAGGTGCTGAATTTCGTCAGCGGGACGGTGGAGTACAGATCGGGATACCTACAGACCCGTGCCTCAGTAAGATCAGCAGACTGAATCGTTAAGCCCCTCCCCCTAATCCGCTCTGGCCAATCACAGACGTGATTAATGGTGGATATGCGTGAACAAATCCTTCTGTGTTTTGTTGTATTTATTTTTTGTGTGGTAATAAGTGGCTAGGTCGTATTGAAGCGAAATACACATGTTGTATTCTGTGTACAGGGTGAGTCAAAAAAACAAAACCCATATGAAGTTTGTTCTGCTTGTAGTGAAGTTCTGCATGTAGCACTCTCAAAATCTAGGATATGAAAGCCCAATTCATAAGCCTTCTTTTAGTACAAGAATCATTCAAATCACTCATGTAATTTTCAAGTTACTGAATTTTAAGCACAACCACTGTTAAGAAGTTCTGTCCTCGGATCACAAAAATAAAAGTTCTGTCCACGGATTGCAAGAAGGTAAATGTCCTTTCAGCAAAACGAAAACAAATCACAAAGAGATATGTGTGAATAGTTTTTGTTTCGCTGAAAGAATGCACACCTTTCTTGTGGTCGTTTAAACGGTGGTTGTGTTTCAAATTCCGTAACTTAAAAAGTACATGAGTGATTTGAATGATTCTTGTACTAAAAGAAAGCTTATGAATTGGGCTTTCATATCCTAGATTTTGAAAGTGTTACATGCAGAACTTCACTAAAACAATAGTCCCGATATTTGGGTTTCGTTTTTTTTTACTCGCCCTGTATTTGTGTGTTTTGTTCGTCCCGACTGACTGACTGGCTGACTGACTCCCCGACTGTCTCCCCTGAGCCGGGCAGTGCTGTCATATAGGATAACCATTACACCCATGAGTGGGATAAATTGAACCAATTGCCCAGACCAGATGCACGAAAAGACTTCCAGTGTATAGCTATTCTGAATCATTTGAATAGAAATACGTGCACCCTTGGATCGGCATTACTAGGCCTGCCTTGTCTCGTTTAAAAATGAAGTAAAGTTTTAAAATGGTTACAATTTTTTTTTTGCGTCCGCAGGTTGTTGGCATAATAGGAGGTCAGACAAGCGGTACATCAGTGCAAGTCGCCGAAGCTCTGACACCTCTTGGAGTTAACCAAGTTAGTTTCGGTGCCACGACGACCGAGCTTGACGATTCCGACAAGTTCCCGTATTTCCTTCGCACGGTGCCGTCTGACGATAAGCAGGCCACGGCTATCGTGGCCTTGCTTGACACTATGAACTGGCTGTATGTGTCTGTCGTTTACTCCGACACTACGTACGGGACCGATCTCTGGAAAGGGGTCACCGAAAAATTGTCCGGGACTTCCGTTTGCGTCGCAATGAGCTTGAAGTTACTCGCGACATTCAGTGATGCGGATTATGATATGGTTGTGCGGCAGCTTCAACTGAACCCGTATGCCAAAACAGTACTGTTGTTGACGTCCGATATGGATGCCAGAAGCATTCTCGAAGCCACCGAAAGGAAGAACGTCACCGATCTCCAGTGGATAGGAACCGACGCTTGGGGCGACCGCGATTACGTCGTACAAAATGCGCAGGTGACGTCGCGAGGTGCGCTCATACTCCGATTCAAACAATCACCAATGATACAAGCCTTCAAAGACTACTTCACAAGTCGACAGTTGTACGGGAATCGTCGCAATCCGTGGTGGATGACGTACTGGGAAGACACATTCATGTGCAACAATTACGGTTCCACGAGGTATAACGTCTCGTGCCCATGGCAGCCAGATTTCGAGTCTGTCTACAAACAGGAAACGGAGGTGTCCTACATCTTGGATGCCGTGCAGCTCTTCGCCACCGGTCTTCATAGTGCCATGGTGAACGAATGCCCTGGAATAACCAGGTAAGATAAAGGGCACTTTGTCACCAAAGTGGATGAAGTGGGAATTTGGGAATTTGGTTTAACTACTCGCCAGTACTCGACTACTCCCGAGTAATTTCTTTGCGATTACTCGAGTGGAAAAATCCACTACTCTGCCCGGCCAAGAGTCCATAATATGAAGTTCCTCCCATTTCATTTTATTCTGAACTTGGATGTGCCCAAACAAATATTGTCTGGCGTCATCTGCAGTGAGTCCAAGAATCCCTCAGCTGTCTTGCCAAACTCTCTTCCCTTTTTGAAATGACCGATATGCTATGGTTTTCATCCAGAAAAATCTGCGATGATGTTGCTTCAAATCCGAGTATCTTACATCGTTACATTAAAGAAGCAACTGTCACAAGACGTGACGGATCAACTTTCAGACTGGATGAAGACGGCAACGGGGAGCCGTTCTTCGATGTGTTGCACATCGAAGCCAATGTGGTCAACGGCACTAGAGAGAAAAACTCCTACAGAAAGGTAAGTTTACACTTGATCTGGTAAAAACAATTTTAAGATGAAATTTTTCGTTGGGGAAATGTTTGCCCTTCACCGACGTATGATATAAGCACTATATGCTCAGATCTGGTAATGATTAAATGGTAGTATTTTGGGAAACGTTGCGAAATCAAAATTGGAAATACCTTCATAATTCCCAAAGAAATCGAATGAACACTTTCTCCAAAACATTCATCTACATCTATGAAGAACCTCATCAAAGCCTGTGCAGCAAATAGATGAGGTTCATGGGTTTGCAAAATATGGTGTTCAAATTGCAGTCGTGCATGAGATCTTTTTTTAACAATATGCCAAGTCTTATTTACATTTCTGTTAAAATTGTAATCTAGGAGAAATTTGAAAAATCTGCGAAACCAAGACAAACCAGAAAAGGACCCCCCCCCCAACCAAAATCACAAAATAGATGGAAAACAACTATTTTGGAAATATGTATTCCAACTTTCATCGTTATTGACATGATATTTGTTTTTTGTTTGCTTTTGTATCACCAAATCTTGTAAAGAAATTTGGCCATTCTACTTAACTGCTTGAAAAAAAATGTACTTCTGAAATAACATTTCTGTTCATGTGTTTTTTTTGTATTAGGTTGGAAACTGGACGCCAGGCGGATTGAATCTTGATGCAGTACAGGTTGCTTCTCCAACCAAATGCATCGGACGTTGCGCAGAGTGTCGGAGAGTCCAAGAAACCACTTTTGTCGATATCCCTGCCCCGCTACGTATCCTGGGCCTATTCGACTTACACGCGTCAGGGGATCACGTAGTTGAATGTGGCGAGCTGAGAGACACCGGACTAGTCAACCTAGAGGCGATGCTTTTTGCGATTGATAAGATCAACGCGGACCCCGCGATCCTGAATGGCATCACAGTGGGCGCGACCGCGTTCGACACGTGCGCCAGAGGGTCGCGCGGTGTGCGGGATTTGTCGTCTGTGTTCAGGGGGTCTTCTCTGTCAGGGCAGGATAGCGTCCAACAGACCTGGTCGTTGATTGGTGGCGTGATCGGCGGCGAACAGGACCAAGTCACTTTGGCCACTGCGTCGCTCACGAACCAGTACAAGTATGCACAGGTATGATACAAATTTCTGAAGAATGGTTATTGGCGTTCATATTAAATTCTGACTCACCTTAAAATATTTGTTTCCCCCAAAGTGCTAAATTTTTAGTACAAAGTTTTCTTAGATGATAAGAATCTGACCTTAATTTTATTGGACCAAAATCTTACTCAAATACTATTTTCTTATTTTAATGTTCTGATAAACAGGACACTCGCTAGCAACTGCCCAAAATAGTGTCATTATCTGTGCATCTAGTTCAGATAATCTGTGCACCAAAGGGTTACGATTCCTCTCACTTGTACGAATATTCCTTCTGACTTATAAGAATCTTAAGATCAAGTCAAAATTCTAGGGCCAAAAAGGCAGTTTTTCCCCCCTTTTCCTTTAAATTGATAAAGTAAAGTTAAATTGATAAAGTCAAGCATACCAGGAGTGATTACACAACAATAACTTTGCTAGCTTAAAGCACTCAGAACTTCAAACTCCTGTGTTTCTTTCCCTATGCTTGTACCAAGTTTTAAGATTTGTAAGTTTGTGTTATTGTTACTTTTTTAAATACAAAGATAAGCTACGGAGCTGGCATGACTGACGAGTCACTCGGTAATCTTCTGAGAGTAGGACCTACCATTGAGGATCAGATGCTGGCGGTCATCCAACTGTTGCAGCGTTATCAGTGGCAGTATGTTGGCCTGATCTCCTCTGCATCAGCGTACCGCGTGCAACGTGAGTAAACTTGAATCGTCTTTCTTTCCCTTTAAAGTTTATACTGCAAAATCACCATTTTTTTCCAGAATTGCATCTCTACATAACAGAAATAAATTAATTACCAAAAAAATCTGACACCAGTTTCGTTGAAAATTAAACAAAATTAAATGATATATAGAAAAAAATTGTTGGAGATAAATGTATTTCACGAACAATTCACAAATTTGTTTTCAATCTTCTTACATCAACTTTATTGTCATGTCTCAATACAGAGAGAAATGCTTTCGTCAGTGCGGCCGCTCGCTACGAAATTTGCATCGGGACACAGGAAGAAATTGCCACACAAAACGACATGCCAGCTCTTCTGCAACAGATCTCTACCGCCACAGGCCAAAACGTAGTCGTCTTATTCACAGACAAGGAGGATACATTGCAACTCCTTGAGACACTTGAAAGACAAAGCAACGTGCGTCATCTTACATGGTTGATCGCATTCGGTGGCCTTACCGACAACGGCTTATCTGGCATCTCATATCTCGGCGCATTTGCAATCGACAGCGTACCGAAAGCGGTCCCCGAGTTTGAAGGGTATTTCAATTCCCTGACAGCATCATCAGATCAACAGAATCCCTGGTTTCCGGAATTCCTGAGTCGAGCTTACAATTGCAGTTTAGACAACACTGGCTCAGCACCGTGCCAAAATTTCGAAAACGCCTCACTGCAAGTCACCCGCGAGAACTTTGCCCTTGCAGCGAACGTGATAAACGCTGTCTATTCCATTGCTCATGGCTTGCAAGACCTAAGAGACCATAACTGTGGAGCTACGCCAGGCTTGTGCGCAGCTTTTGTGGGATTGAGTGCCGATGAACTACAACAAGGAATAAGGGAAACTTCGTTCACTGGCCCGGACGGAAGCACGGTTGACTTTGAGAATGGTGCGTCGACGGAGGAATTTGCGATTTGGAACTACAAACAGATAAATAATGCCAATCAGTTTGTTAAGGTGAGATGCGTTCATATATCCATGCTTTTTCAATTACAATAGAATGCTGAAATAACAGACACCACTATATGCCAAACCTCCTTTAGCCCCCTAATCTATGACAGTAGTACCAACAAATTCCAAATTCCTGAAAACTGCATCCATATTGTCTATTTTGTCTCACCCAAACTACCTCACAACTACATTTGGAAGGGGAAAAAGACGCCCATAAGAATCGTGAAGAACAACCAAACCAATATCGAAATTGAATGGGTTCCCGCCGCCATAATAACAATGGCCACAACTATTACGGCATCGGAAACCAGTCTAAAACACTTGGCCAACGATGTTGACAACGAGCAAGATAACAAAAGTTGGCAAAATGACACGCAAACCGTTGACGATTTCAGTCAGTTACTCACAAAACTTATGTTTCTATTTCTGTGAGCATAATGTGGTATTTTTATTTTTACAATCGCATTTGTTAGGAAACCCTGAATTGGACCAATTATGACACTGATGCCAACTTGGTTTTACAAGTGGTTTTGAATTTGGTTTCAGGTTGGAACCTGGATGTCAGGGAACGTCTCCATCCAAGACAGCCAGGTGTCATTGTACGATCTTCAAGGCCAACTTGCCATGACGCCAGTGCTGTCTAAATGCCTTGCCAACGATCAATGCAGTGCCCATTGCCCCTTCATAGTCCCAGCTACAACGCCCTCTCCAACAAACCCTCCAACAAACCCCCCAACGAACCCCCCGACAAACCCTCCAACAAACCCACCAACAGACCCTCCAACAACCCAAAAACGCAGCGGCACCGCGAAACCGCTACGGATCATTTCACACCTAAAATCAAGCTGGTTCATAATACTCATGATCATTTCAGCCATAGGCATGTGCTGTGCGCTTATCATGATGGTCGTTTTCTTCGTCAACCGCAAGCACGCAGTCGCGCAGGCCATGTCCCCGTTCCTGAGCATCACGCTCTTGGTGGGGGTCGTCCTGGTGTATCTGTTAGTCCCGATTTACGCCGCGCCGCCCAGCAACGTGATTTGCGCCCTGCAGCGAGTGTGGCCCGGCATTGCCTTTGCCGTTGTCCACGCGACCGTTTTAATCATGGCGATTCACTTGTACTGGCAGTCAATGCAAGTCCATGCGGTTTCCGGTAACAAGCTGGATTTGAAAACATCGGGGTTGGTGACGTATTTTGTCATTCTGATGGCTATGGAGTGCGTGATCGTGGTGGAGTGGCTGATCTTGCAGCCTGCCGAAGTTGTCGAGAAGGCCGAGCTAGATAGCCCCGACGGAAACGGATCCCTGACGGCCATTTGTGCGTTTGGCGACCAGATGCCGGCATCCCTGTGCTATGTGTACGTGCTGCTCGTTCTGGCGTTCGTCATCATCCTTCCAGCCTGGAGAAAGAAGAATATGATCTCGTCAGTGGAGCTGATAACATTGCTGTTTATGAATGTGGGTAAGTTGGCGTCGCCTTGTGACATCTGAAGATTTGTGAATATTCTAATTTTTACAATTGTTTGCAAGATTGTACAGTTTTTTTCCTTTTTCCCTTCACCAACATAATTAGTACTGTCATAGGACTTGTGAGAACAATTCCCAGCTTTCTCGGGTGGGACTTGAACCCATGACCTCCTGGTTGCTAGTGCAGAGAGTTCACAAGGCATCACAAGTCCGTTACAAATCCACACAAGCCGACACACAGGGCCTCATCACAAGTCCATCACAAGTCCTCACAAGTCAATCACAAGTCCATCACAAGGCTTCACAAGTCCATCACAAGGCCTCACAAGTCCATCACAAGTCCTCACAAGTCAATCACAAGTCCTCACAAGTCCATCACAAGGCATCACAAGTCCATCACAAGGCCTCGCAAGGATTTGTGAAAGGATTTGTGATAAGCTTCAGACTGGATTTTATATGGAGTTGCAACTTGACTTCTGCGCCCTGAAGTAAAAATGTAAAAAAAAAAAGGTCCTATAAACCTAAGATATTAATCTCCATTTTTGCTCTTCGTTTGGTTCTGTAGGCAGCATGGCTCTCATCATCGTCTGGATACTGGTCGATCTTTTCGGATTTGAGAGCACGCGCCAACTAACCGTTGCCGTTATCGCAACCATCCAGGCCACACTCGTACTCTGTCTGTGCGTACCACGTGCCAAGAATGTTATCACCAAGCGTGGAACCTACAAGGATACTCCCAATGTTGAGCTTACCGGACAGATGTCTGTTCCTGGTAAGTCGATCCATCAAAGTGCAACAGCATGAAGATAAAGATGTACATGTACTGCTAGTGCGCATGCTCTTCAAATTTTAAGCTTTTCAATTTAAATGCTTTCTTTTAAAGAAAATGATAATTACTTTTTTTCCTAATTTGGGCATGAGCAACAATTTGGAAAACAAGTTAATAACACAGTAGTTGAAACGATTGCAATATTAGCTGCAGTCAACTCCCTTATAAAGATGTTCCCCATGCTATGTTTTAGTTTCATGTTGAAAAATAGATTTGTTAATTTTTTGGCAGTACAAAAGTTATTTACTTTCGAATGAGACATTGTAAAACAAAATTCATGAGAGTTTCGTTATGGAATTATTTCTTCACAAAATTCAAATAATTTGGCTGCCAGACAATATTTTGGCTCTCTCTGTGCGGGTTCATTTGAAAATTCACAAAATGAAAACCCATTTCAGAGGGGTTCAAATGCCCAAAATCGGAATAAAGTAGTTTTTTTTGTTATTGCCAAATTGAAAACTTGTTAGGAGAATAAAAATCCTTTTTTAAGAGCATGGGATATGTATCTTTGAATACAACTCCAACAGACCTAGCCAATATATCTTTTGAAATTTTGTATTAAAGTTGTGGCCTGCCTCAATTTATTGTACGCACATAGAAGCACAGTGTGGACCGAGGATTTATGTGGTAAAATATTTCTGGAGCACATTGGATTTGGGAGCGACACACAATCTTGCAAGAACATCGGAGGCAATTAAAGGGAATGTACAACATTTGCTTTTGCTGCAATTTTCAGAAATAAATGAATTTGGAGGATTAGTATGTTATAGCAAATATTGTTAAACTGACTTGTTTCATGTTTTGGGCTTGTAGATGCTGGAAAAACCAAGAAAAGCTATCGTGTTCTTGTAGTCTGGTTCCCTGACCCCACTTAAGATGAAATGAAGCAATTAATACACTTTGGGGAGTTGTAAGGTCAGAGAATCAGTCTAGCAGGCTTGTACCCCTTCACAGGTGTGTGATCAATTGCAAAGAAAAGTGAGAATAACTTAATATGAAAAATTAAGAACAGTTTTTGAAAAAAGCCAGTTTTCTCCAACGCTGGTCGGCTGACCAGCGTTGGAAAAATACAGTTTTTCTTGAAAATGTCAGCCCACCAGGAGCCACGATTTTAAAGGATGCTTTAGACTGTCAGTTCCTAACAATTCAGTAAGGTATTTCGTGTTAATTTGATCATTTCACTTTTTGATGTTGCAAATGTTGTTTTTTCCCTTTAACAGTACACAATAAATTATACAAATCAAAGTAATCTATCTCTCTTTCTGCCTGTACAGGAGATCCAGCGGATGACTTGTATGACGACGACATCAGTATGACTGGAAGCCAGGTACAACTCTGCGAGACATCGGCAACATTCAAAGCCTAAAAGGCCGACACTATTCCAAGCTTGGGCCAAAAAGGGGAAGTATTTGGGGGGATATTGTTCATTTGATGATATAAGCATGGCTTTTGGCATACGGTCAGAGTATATCATGATAAAGATATTTGGCTATAGGGCCATCGCAGATTTGTCCTTTGAAAAAAAGATTTGTCCTTTGACAAAATAAAAAAAAATGTGTCCTTTGAAAAAAAAGGACAAATCTGCTATTTTCCCTTTGCCTACCGCACCCTCCAATTTACTTGAATATTTGCCAAAAATGAATTCCTGATATTTGCCAAAATTGAATTGCTTTAAAAAAAAATATATTTTTCACTTTTGCCTTTTGCAAGGAAATAACTGAAATTGGGGAAACAAAGGGGTTTTAGTGACAATTTGATTTACAGCTTTAGTTTCGTGTACATTTTCTTGTAGAGTTTATAAACATAATTTTTCATTTTGGCTGTTTTTATTCAACCTTCCAAACTTGGTTCTTGTCCACAATGGAAACCTCCAAGTCTAATTCATTGTGGAAAAGGTTACAAAATCTGCTGTAATTAATTGTAATTAATTGTATTCAGTTTTCTGTAAAGCGAGCAAAAAATTTAACCACAATATTGGTGAAGGGATGAAGATTTTTTTAAACACAGCTGTTAAGTTTAGATAGCCAATAATATTTTTTTTACCTGGTTTAATTTGTGTGTATCTAATGTGCAGTCAAATGTTTTTAAAGATTGGATGTAGATGTATTTCATAAAAAGTCTAAAATCATGTATAAAACTAATAATTACGTATTCAATTTTAAGCTTTTTTGTAAGTACTTGTGAACAATTTAAACATATTTTAATTTGTCAGTGGGCGTCAAATGGCGAAGCTGTCTTCCCCGCATTGAATATTCAGACACCCCTAATTTTGAAGTTTTGGGGGAAAATATGAAAGTAAGTTAGAAATTAAAGTAATATGTTCGACTGATTTACTCCCAAGTTATCAATGTATAATTCCGTTTAACAAGCACCTCTGTCCTAAAATCAATTTAGATAGAACGTGCTTCAGGGACCTTTATTCAACTTCCCTGCAAGTTTCCAGCAATTTCATTCTTCAAGCATTTATTTATAAAAAAAAATGCAAGGGGTTGCTTTCGGTTTTACTAAAATTTAACATAAAACTAACTTTTCTGAAAACAAGTTAGAAATTGTGTTGGATGCAAGAAAGGCAAAGCCCTATGAGATATATTTTGATACTAATATAGTTTTTTTCATATATATTTTTGATATACCTTTTATATTTTATATACATTTGTCATATATACATGTATATCTGATTATATGCACTTTATACATTTGATATACGTCTTTCAGATATGTATGCAATTTATGGTCTACATGGAGTTTTAAAAGTCACTTTGGTGTCGGTCAGTCGCCGAAAAATAGACCAAAAATATTTTATAAAAATTGAGCAGATATGCTGTCGTCCGTAAATGCACTCTAAAAATTGTTTGTAGCAATTTGTAAAGTTGTTTATGAAAATTGTGTAAACGGCGGGGAAGATATGTGCAGTAATGTTAAAGTCACGTGGTATTTTGTGTGGTGCTTGGACGGTATCCAAAAGGAGGAAATGAAAATTGACGAAAATTATGGTGTTCCATATATGCCATCAGCGTCGCATTTTTCGCCAGAGCTTATTGTGCACTCGCACTTGTTTATATTGCGAACAATACAATGTATAACAATCACTGCTTAATATTAGAAAATTTTCTGTGAAAATGGTGATGATTCAGCTTTTAGGTAAACTAGTAAGTTGATGCTCTACTTTGTTCTGCAAAAAAATGAGATTTGTTTAATTTTCGATAGCCATGTACATGTACATGTACTTCATTTTGGCTGTGTTTAAGTTGGGATAGGTTTAGTCTCCTTCGTGTAGTTTTGTCAGCAAGTACTGGTGTATTCAAATACAGGTATTATGTATTCAGTTTTGCATAAATTGCGTAAATTTAACCATGGCATTGGTGAAGGAATGTTTATTTCGTAAGAAATAACTTTCAAGTTTTTAAAGCCAACTATATTGTTCAGCTGTTTTAATGTGTGTATACTGCGCAGTCAAATTTTGGTTTTTAAAGATCCGATGTACCTTATGGGATGTACTGTACGGCATAGAAGCAGATGACAGTTGGCAAAGTAGAAGCATTGTTGTTGAAAATTTCAAAATTGTTCAAAATGACACCTATCATTCGAAGTTTTGGGCAAACGTGAAATAAAGTGAGGAAGAGTAATATTTTGGACTGATTTCCCCTCAAATTTGCGATGCATTATCCCTATTACAGAGCACCTCTGTCCAAAATCCAGTAGGAATGTGATTTAGGGAACCTTATAGTAACTTCCCTGCAAGTTGGGGAAATTTCATTTTTCAACCAAAATTGAAAAAAAAAAAATTTCAAGGGGTTAGCCATATTTAGACTATTTTGGTTCCCCCCCCCCCCCATCAAAAATGTACTTGGTTCAATCCCTTGTTGATAAAAATGCAAGGCTAACCCCTTACGGTTATGAATTTGGACAACATTTTGTTTTTGCAAGGATGAAAATGTGTTTTTGCCTCTTTTTGATAAAAATGCAAGGCTAACCCCTTACTGTATTAAATTTTGGATAAAAATTTGTTTTCGCCACTTCCTGATAAAAATGCAAGGCTAACCCCTTACCGTTTTGAATTTTGGATACAATTTTGTTTTTGCCCCATTTTGATAAAAATTCAAGGCTAACCCCTTACCGTTTTAAATTTTGGATACAATTTTGTTTTTGCCCCTTTTTGATAAAAATTCAAGGCTAACCCCTTACCGTTTTCAATTTTGGATAAAAATTTGTTTTTGCCCATTTTTGATAAAAATGCAAGGCTAACCCCTTACCGTTTTGAACTTTTAATAAAGTTGGTTCGGTCCCTTGTTGATAAAAATACAAGGCTAACCCCCTTACCATTATTAATTTCGGATAAAAATGTGTTTTTGCCTCTTTCCCCTTTAATAGCACATCTGTCCAGTAATCGATTGGGAATGCGTTCTAGGGCCTTTAAGGCATCTTTCTAGCAACTTTCAAGAAATTTCATTTTTGGGCCAAAATTGGAATAAATGCAAGGGGTTAGCCTTACATTTTTAGTCAAAATCGACCAAAAATTGACTTTTCTCAAAACAAGGCAGAAATTCATCTGGATGCAAGAGGAACATTAATCAATACTCTTACACGCATAATTTTGAAGATTTGGACAAAAATCAGCAATTTTTGGAGAAAAAAAAGTTAATTTTTGAGCGAGTTTACCTTCATTTTTCGACGGAATTTCTCCTTTAATAGCACATCTGTCCAGTAATCGATTGGGAATGCGTTCTAGGGCCCTTAAGACATCTTTCTAGCAACTTTCAAGAAATTTCATTTTTGGGCCAAAATCGGAAAAAATGTAAGGGGTTAGCCTTACATATTTAGTCAAAATCGACCAAAAATTGACTTTTCTCAAAACAATGCAGAAATTCATCTGGATGCAAGAGGAACATCAATCGATACTCTTACCCGCATAATTTTGAAGATTTGGACAATAATCAGCAATTTTTGGAGAAAATAAATGAATTTTTGAGCAATTTTACCTTCATTTTTCGACGGAATTTCCCCTTTAATAGCACATCTGTCCAGTAATCGATTGGGAATGCGTTCTAGGGCCCTTAAGACATCTTCCTAGCAACTTTCAAGAAATTTCATTTTTGGGCCAAAATCGGAAAAAATGTAAGGGGTTAGCCTTACATTTTTAGTCAAAATCGACCAAAAATTGACTTTTCTCAAAACAATGCAGAAATTCATCTGGATGCAAGAGGAACATCAATCGATACTCTAACACGCATAATTTTGAAGATTTGGACAAAAATCAGCAATTTTTGGTGAAAATAAAGTGAATTTTTGAGCGATTTTACCTTCATTTTTCGACGGAATTTCCCCTTTAATAGCACATCTGTCCAGTAATCGATTGGGAATGCGTTCTAGGGCCCTTAAGACATCTTCCTAGCAACTTTCAAGAAATTTCATTTTTGGGCCAAAATCGGAAAAAATGTAAGGGGTTAGCCTTACATTTTTAGTCAAAATCGACCAAAAATTGACTTTTCTCAAAACAATGCAGAAATTCATCTGGATGCAAGAGGAACATCAATCGATACTCTAACACGCATAATTTTGAAGATTTGGACAAAAATCAGCAATTTTTGGTGAAAATAAAGTGAATTTTGAGCAATTTTACCTTCATTTTTCGACGGAATTTCCCCTTTAATAGCACATCTGTCCAGTAATCGATTGGGAATGCGTTCTAGGGCCCTTAAGACATCTTCCTAGCAACTTTCAAGAAATTTCATTTTTGGGCCAAAATCGGAAAAAATGTAAGGGGTTAGCCTTACATTTTTAGTCAAAATCGACCAAAAATTGACTTTTCTCAAAACAATGCAGAAATTCATCTGGATGCAAGAGGAACATCAATCGATACTCTAACACGCATAATTTTGAAGATTTGGACAAAAATCAGCAATATTTGGAGAAAAAAAGTTAATTTTTGAGCGATTTTACCTTCATCTTTCGACGGAATTTCCCCTTTAATAGCACATCTGTCCAGTAATCGATTGGGAATGCGTTCTAGGGCCCTTAAGACATCTTTCTAGCAACTTTCAAGAAATTTCATTTTTGGGCCAAAATTGGAAAAAAATGTAAGGGGTTAGCCTTACATTTTTAGTCAAAATCGACCAAAAATTGACTTTTCTCAAAACAATGCAGAAATTCATCTGGATGCAAGAGGAACATCAATCGATACTCTAACACGCATAATTTTGAAGATTTGGACAATAATCAGCAATTTTTGGAGAAAAAAAGTTAATTTTTGAGCAATTTTACCTTCATTTTTCGACGGAATTTCCCCTTTAATAGCATATCTGTCCAGTAATCGATTGGGAATGCGTTCTAGGGCCCTTAAGACATCTTCCTAGCAACTTTCAAGAAATTTCATTTTTGGGCCAAAATCGGAAAAAATGTAAGGGGTTAGCCTTACATTTTTAGTCAAAATCGACCAAATATTGACTTTTCTCAAAACAATGCAGAAATTCATCTGGATGCAAGAGGAACATCAATCGATACTCTAACACGCATAATTTTGAAGATTTGGACAAAAATCAGCAATTTTTGGTGAAAATAAAGTGAATTTTTGAGCAATTTTACCTTCATTTTTCGACGGAATTTCCCCTTTAATACCACATCTGTCCAGTAATCGATTGGGAATGCGTTCTAGGGCCCATAAGACATCTTCCTAGCAACTTTCAAGAAATTTCATTTTTGGGCCAAAATCGGAAAAAATGTAAGGGGTTAGCCTTACATTTTTAGTCAAAATCGACCAAAAATTGACTTTTCTCAAAACAATGCGGAAATTCATCTGGATGCAAGAGGAACATCAACCGATACTCTAACACGCATAATTTTGAAGATTTGGACAATAATCAGCAATTTTTGGAGAAAATAAATGAATTTTTGAGCTATTTTACCTTCATTTTTCGACGGAATTTCCCCTTTAATAGCACATCTGTCCAGTAATCGATTGGGAATGCGTTCTAGGGCCCTTAAGACATCTTTCTAGCAACTTTCAAGAAATTTCATTTTTGGGCCAAAATTGGAAAAAAATGTAAGGGGTTAGCCTTACATTTTTAGTCAAAATCGACCAAAAATTGACTTTTCTCAAAACAATGCAGAAATTCATCTGGATGCAAGAGGAACATCAATCGATACTCTAACACGCATAATTTTGAAGATTTGGACAAAAATCAGCAATTTTTGGAGAAAAAAAGTTAATTTTTGAGCAATTTTACCTTCATTTTTCGACGGAATTTCCCCTTTAATAGCATATCTGTCCAGTAATCGATTGGGAATGCGTTCTAGGGCCCTTAAGACATCTTCCTAGCAACTTTCAAGAAATTTCATTTTTGGGCCAAAATCGGAAAAAATGTAAGGGGTTAGCCTTACATTTTTAGTCAAAATCGACCAAAAATTGACTTTTCTCAAAACAATGCAGAAATTCATCTGGATGCAAGAGGAACATCAATCGATACTCTAACACGCATAATTTTGAAGATTTGGACAAAAATCAGCAATTTTTGGTGAAAATAAAGTGAATTTTTGAGCAATTTTACCTTCATTTTTCGACGGAATTTCCCCTTTAATAGCACATCTGTCCAGTAATCGATTGGGAATGCGTTCTAGGGCCCTTAAGACATCTTCCTAGCAACTTTCAAGAAATTTCATTTTTGGGCCAAAATCGGAAAAAATGTAAGGGGTTAGCCTTACATTTTTAGTCAAAATCGACCAAAAATTGACTTTTCTCAAAACAATGCAGAAATTCATCTGGATGCAAGAGGAACATCAATCGATACTCTAACACGCATAATTTTGAAGATTTGGACAAAAATCAGCAATATTTGGAGAAAAAAAGTTAATTTTTGAGCGATTTTACCTTCATTTTTCGACGGAATTTCCCCTTTAATAGCACATCTGTCCAGTAATCGATTGGGAATGCGTTCTAGGGCCCTTAAGACATCTTTCTAGCAACTTTCAAGAAATTTCATTTTTGGGCCAAAATTGGAAAAAAATGTAAGGGGTTAGCCTTACATTTTTAGTCAAAACCGACCAAAAATTGACTTTTCTCAAAACAATGCAGAAATTCATCTGGATGCAAGAGGAACATCAATCGATACTCTAACACGCATAATTTTGAAGATTTGGACAAAAATCAGCAATTTTTGGAGAAAAAAAGTTAATTTTTGAGCGATTTTACCTTCATTTTTCGACGGAATTTCCCCTTTAATAGCACATCTGTCCAGTAATCGATTGGGAATGCGTTCTAGGGCCCTTAAGACATCTTCCTAGCAACTTTCAAGAAATTTCATTTTTGGGCCAAAATTGGAAAAAATGTAAGGGGTTAGCCTTACATTTTTAGTCAAAATCGACCAAAAATTGACTTTTCTCAAAACAATGCAGAAATTCATCTGGATGCAAGAGGAACATCAATCGATGCTCTAACACGCATAATTTTGAAGATTTGGACAAAAATCAGCAATATTGGAGAAAAAAAGTTAATTTTTGAGCGATTTTACCTTCATTTTTCGACGGAATTTCCCCTTTAATAGCACATCTGTCCAGTAATCGATTGGGAATGCGTTCTAGGGCCCTTAAGACATCTTTCTAGCAACTTTCAAGAAATTTCATTTTTGGGCCAAAATTGGAAAAAAATGTAAGGGGTTAGCCTTACATTTTTAGTCAAAATCGACCAAAAATTGACTTTTCTCAAAACAAGGCAGAAATTCATCTGGATGCAAGAGGAACATTAATCCAAACTCTTACACGCATAATTTTGAAGATTTGGACAAAAATCAGCAATTTTTGGAGAAAATAAAGTGAATTTTTGAGCGATTGTACCTTCATTTTTCGACGGAATTTCTCCTTTAATAGCACATCTGTCCAGTAATCGATTGGGAATGCGTTCTAGGGCCCTTAAGACATCTTCCTAGCAACTTTCAAGAAATTTCATTTTTGGGCCAAAATCGGAAAAAATGTAAGGGGTTAGCCTTACATTTTTAGTCAAAATCGACCAAAAATTGACTTTTCTCAAAACAATGCAGAAATTCATCTGGATGCAAGAGGAACATCAATCGAAACTCTGACACGCATAATTTTGAAGATTTGGACAAAAATCAGCAATTTTTGGAGAAAATAAATGAATTTTTGAGCAATTTTACCTTCATTTTTCGATGGAATTTCCCCTTTAGTAGCACATCTGTCCAGTAATCGATTGGGAATGCGTTCTAGGGCCCTTAAGACATCTTCCTAGCAACTTTCAAGAAATTTCATTTTTGGGCCAAAATCGGAAAAAATGTAAGGGGTTAGCCTTACATTTTTAGTCAAAATCGACCAAAAATTGACTTTTCTCAAAACAATGCAGAAATTCATCTGGATGCAAGAGGAACATCAATCGATACTCTAACACGCATAATTTTGAAGATTTTGGCAAAAATCAGCAATTTTTTTTGGGGGGGGAAGTTAATTTTTGAGCGATTTTACCTTAATTTTTCGACAGAATTTCCCCTTTAATAGCACATCTGTCGAGTAATCGATTGGGAATGCGTTCTAGGGCCCTTAAGGCATCTTTCTAGCAACTTTCAAAAATTTTTAAAAGATTAAAATTTGTTTTTACCCTTTTTTCATAAAAATGCAAGGCTAACCCCTCACCGTTTAAAATTTTGGATAAAAATGTGTATTGGCCCCATTTTGATAAAAATGCAAGGCTAACCCCTTACCATTTTTAATTTTGGATAAAAATGTGTTTTGCCTCTTTTTGATGCAATTATCCTGATTATGTATCACTGGATACACGGACAGCTGACACGTTGAAGTTTCTGGCAAAAAAAATATTCAATTTAGTCAGGAAAGTTTGTATTTTTAACTGATATTCTTATATATTTTTTTTGCAAGAATATGTAGATGCAAATTATGACTTCAGTAAAGTACTACAACAGAGCATGGTTAGTTACTTAGAAATGAAACAATCATTCTTAGTTGACGACATTTTTTTACCACAGTATGCGTTTTTAATAACATCCTCGATCATCGTGTAATTTACATCAGATAATTACAGATATACAAGTTTTGACCACTGTACAGTACAATGATAACCAACGCACTGACCATAAGGATTATATACAGGTACAATTTAACACTTCATTTAACACCCCCACCCTTTTTTGTGTGTACTTTTCTGAATGTCTATAAATCCAGTACTACACAAAAATCAAAATAATTATGGCATCATGTTTGTAAACCATAAAATGCTTTAAAAAAAATTAAGATACGGTTACACACAGAAAAATTGCAGTTTAAAACACATTTATAATAATTCATCTGAGTCTTTGAAATTTATAGAATCTTTACTTCAAGGACCGTGGTGTGTAACCTTTGAAAGATATTTAGTTATTAAGGGTTTTTATTTTTACACAATTATGTTACAAATCAATCACTTGTTCTCCATCAAATGCTCTCTTGGAGTTACTACTAAAATTTGAAATCTGGATAAATAAACAATCACTTATTTTTCAGGAAACTGTCCATCCGCTGTGGGATTGTTGACGAATAATAAAAAGTGGACACATTTTTTGATAGAAAAGAAAAATTGTAGGTAACAAGAGCCTAATTTTTTCAGCTACAGAGCAACAGAATTTGAAGATTATTCTTAATCTGAAATATCAGGTTTTTTGCACTGCCATTCTGAAAGTATGAACCTTTGCACAAAGAAAGAATTTATCACTACTTTCCAGTCTAGAATTGTCTAAACAAAAGATACATCATAACTATCCTCCTTGCAATTTCTCTAAATAGAATTCTCTTCATAAACACACGTAACTTAATCACTATAGTTGACCTAAACTATTTCACGATTATTTTTCGGTAACATTCTTTTTTGTAAAAGCCAATATTTGGAAAGCTGCGGCACGTTGGAATAAATTTAGGTGACTTATACCTTTTTTTCCAGAGGTTAATTTGATTCCTAAACAATTTTTTGGATACCCATGGTTGTCATGGCAAATGATTTAAAAAAAAAAATGAAAACTTATGAAACCAAAGTATTGTACGATTCTAGCACGGCCGCCTTTGTTAACAATTTACAAATCATGTTTCTGTGGCTTTTGTATACTCTAAAAAATATAAATCAAAACAGTGTTTTATCGTACAGTTACACAACATTTGTTGAACCTAAATGAGCCCTACAACTTAATACTTGACAATTGCTTTCTTTTCTGAGCCTCAAATATTTTTTTTTTTGTGGACTGAACTAATTTCATCTAATATCAACAAAACAGTACGTGTGCAAAAACTAACATCATAAGCCAAATAATCTTCTTGGTTAAAACGATCACAATATCTAAAATTATCGACGACAAGAATTCAACATTGCACTGTGTGAACATCAATTTTACTGTAAAACTTTGCAGAATTAAACACAAGAGCAAACAAAACGTTACGTCGTTGACCATGGTATTCTGCAGCAGCGCATGATCATCAAAACAAAATCCTCCAATTCTTTCCAAGCCTCAAAATATCTCAAAATGTTTTCAGATGAAATTTCCCCAAGAATCTCTTGTAGTGTTAATTTTTAGTTTAAAAGTTATAAAGTTAAAGCTACAGTATTTAGTTTGTAGGTTTTTTTTAATCTTGTCGTTGTCCTTTCGTAGTACTTGACAGTTTTTAATTTTCGAAGACCTATCTACAATATAATTACAGGTCTAATGAACTGGAATTAGTGTTCAATTATAGCCAAGATTAATTTTTAAATGAATTTTTTTTCACATATTTTGAAATTTGTTAATTATTGCTTACAACTCATGGAATTTCTTGATTTTTAAAATATGTAAGAGATTTACCCAGTACTCAAACAAAGTCTTGATTTCAAATTCTGTGACTATTCTTGAAGCACAAAACTGTAAGATTTTCTGTACTAGCAATACGTTCACTGGGTTTTTTCCAGCTGTGACGTGCTCAACCAAAGTTAGAACTCAGGTAAAGTATAGATTTTAGAATCTGTCCCTGGTTTAAAAAAGAAAAAGAAAAAAAGGTTGCCCCAAACTCTCCAGGATATTTTTTTGGTGAGATACCGTGCTAAACACAGCAACATGCAACGCTTGTCAAAATGACACGACATGCCTGCTAAGTGAAGCAAGAACCATCAGGTCAAAAATCTCAAGCTAACATGCCAGAGTCTGTGGTCACCGAATGCAGCAGGATATGCGGCTGCGGCATTGTTCAATGGGACTAGCTCTCATTGTTTCAGAATCGGCCGTTTAGGCACTGGTGTTGATGGCTCGATGCAGCAAGGTCCCACAGACTTTTACACCTGTCGCAGCGTGTTGCTATCTGGCAGGGTCAGGGTTTAAGTTCGGGTTGTGCATCGTTTTTTAGCTATGTTCAGCTAATATGGTAGCCATAGTACCGCTGGTTACAACCAAGAGGTTTAAAAAAAAAGAGGTAAATTTTTTCACCTATTTCTGCTGATGGAGCTTTTAAGAGCTTCCCGTGGTTGAGGGCTCCGGCTGGGGGAGTATCTGGGCGACGATCGGCGATCCTTTCAAGATGGCCGGGTTGAGGAGGAACGGCACGGGGGAGCCTTGCTTGGCATCCTGACCCCCAGGGAGGGGGCCCAGAAAGGGCAGGGGCGGCTGCAGGATGATGTTGGGCTGACTGGTGACTGGGTTGGTGTCTTTGGCGCTGGGTGTGGTCGAGGGCGTGGTCGCGGGCGTGGTCACAGGTGCTGTTACCGCAGGAGGCGGGGCTTCCTTTACGGGCGTGGCATCCTGAGGTGGAGGTGTTGCACTTTTTCCTGTGACGACAAAAATATGTTTTCCTTGATTTACCGTAAATTAATAAACAGGCAAGTTTTTCTTTAAATAAAAAAATAGCTTACATCCATCATTGCGGGTTCATATAAAAGCGAAACACCCTGTTCAACTGCAAGGATATATTTGAAAGCTGCCCAAGATATTGAAAAAGACTGTTGTGGCATTTCAATATTATCTCACAGAATACATAAAAAAAATACCCCAAATTCTTTGATTTCCAAGTTTGAGTACAAGCAGCGACGTCATTTTCCCAATGACCTACCTTCAGGTTTTGCACTGACTGTTTTCTGTTCCTCTTCATTCGGGTTTCCGTCTCTCATCATTTCGTCTGGCGTCGGGGCCACGCTAGGGGCCGGCTCTTTGACCACAACTACGACATGAAGACATTAATGGAAAAGACATACAGACACTGAATGTATGTAAGAGAAGGGACACTGAAACAAAACACTCTAATGTAAAACACCTGTGGCACAAGTAATACTGCTTTATAAAAAAAACAGGTGCAACTTTGTAAATGAATTTTCTATAAACACAGCCAATTACTTACGTAGTTTCGTTTACGTTTCGACTAGTTTCACTAGTTGAAATTCTACCAGCCTGATGAATTTCTTTCATGAACAGGTGCAACAAATATCACCTCTGACCACCACACAAATCAAGTATGGGCAGAGTGTGTAGGTTTTTTGGCTAAATGCAGTTGCTTTGGGCGCATGTCTATAAAAGCAAACAAGAGTACCTAGCCAACCTACCTGGTTCGTGTGGTTTGAAGACCTCGTTCTTGAGCCCCGGCAAGAAGCAGTCGATCCTCTCCCAGGTGAAGACCCACAGCTGGCAGTTCTGGCCTCTCTCTGAGCCGGCCTCGTCTTGGAAGACCCCCGCCGTGTCCATGACTAGCAGCATGTTCTTCAAGGATTCGGGGATAGCTTCGTACTGCAGGGGAAAAAAAAACACCGAACAATTCAAAATTTGCAAAGTAATTCCTATACGAAATATGGGCCAATTTGGGTTTTTTAAGATGTCTCATTCAAAAAATGACTAACTTTTGAATTCCTGGAAAAAAAATAGTAAATAAATAAATAAAAATCTGTTTTCAGGCAGAAACTCAAATATGATACAGACGGTAAATATTTTACATAAACAACTATTATTAAACTGATGTTCAAGTCCAGCAAGTTAACTGAAATTTTAAAACATGGTTAGTAGGAATTGTAACTTAAATACATTGTTGCTTAGTAGTTGTAGAGGTAAGAAACAAACTGTATCACAGCATCAAATGATGGGAAAGTAAAGTAACTTACCAGTAGATCACTCTTATCAGCGTGCATGTACTTGTCCATGAAATCCAGAATGGTGAGCCACAGGGCGGTGAACGTAGACAGTGACAGAAGGGGCGTCAAATGCTGTAAGAATACCTGCAGGGGCAAAACAGAGGTACAGTTAGATTTGACTCAATCTCTGCAAATCATTAAAAATCCTAAAAGGTCACGGCAATCACATGTCCCAACTTTTTCCCTTTCAAAGTGTTGTAAGTTGCTGCGTCGCATTTTGGCAGGGCCATAGACATCATTATTAGGGCTGTCCTGAATATACAAAATATTCGAACATTCGATCATCACCCGAATATTCCAATAGCTTTTTGCCGCTTTGAATATTCGGAGAAAAAAAAATATGCGCGGCCACGTACACACAACTGTGATGTTACTTTATAATAAAGTTGCAGCAATTTATTGTCAGGTGCCAATTTTTTTGTCAATGGTAATTTTTTTGGGTGACCGCTGTTCATTGTTTCTATCCTTTTAACAAGTTAAAGCCTTTGACAGTTATAAAATACTCTCTGCAAAACACTGCATATTGATCCTCGCACACAAATTTTAACTTTAACATTAAGAAGTGCACTTTTCAGTAAACTCATCCAAAAAGGAACGTCAAATAGTTTTCATACACTAAGAGTAGAAAGTTACACGAAATGTTCCTAAGAAAAAAAATATATCTCCTGGACCCTTTAACCCATTAGCAACTGTACTACATTGTATTAAAATGTATTTATTACCTTACTGACTCTATAAAACCGAAGAACACTGGGGCAATTTGGGTCAGTACAGGGATAAAAAGGAAAGGTGGTTTTTGAGCGGTATGGGTACCAATGGGTTTAACCCACCTTGCAGAGCAGCGTAGCCGCCCTCATGCGGGTCTCCTCCAGCCCCACGGGGTCCTGGGGATGGATCTGGTCCAGCAGCTTGGCCAGCAGTGGGAACAGGACCTTGTTGAAGCAGGACTCCCACTCCACGGCCGACAGGGTCTGTAGGTCGTGGACTAGGAGGGCTCGCTGGAGGTAGGTCAGGGCTTGCATGCGGACCTGACGACGAACGTCACAGCACAGCCTGGCGATACCTGTACAGAAAAGGCACAAGTCATCATTGTGAATCAGGGGAGTCAGGTTGGCGTAGCGGTACTTTCCTCGCCTTCCACCGCTGTGACCCGGGTTCGAATCCCGCCTGGGCCAATATGTGGATTGGGTTTTCAGTCCCTGCCTGATTCCGTGGGTTTTCCCCAGAATATTCTTCTGGGCTTTTCCTCCCACTTCTAAAACTGTAACTTCTTCTCATTGTCTTCTCTCCACAGGTTTCTTCAGGCTTGCGAGCTACAGTGCCTAGGGCGCTTTTGAGGAATCCTTCGTTTCATTACCAGAAATGATTAATAATAATAATAATAGTGGGTATTGACATTCAATAGGAACGGTAGGTGCCATTGCATGACCACAGTGTACGGGCACACTGCTTGCACCCACTGGTTCTGTATGCAAGACTAATTTCCACCGGATTGCGCGCAAACCAGCAGGTTCTATGGATGGCTACCAAACATACAGCAGCAATGGTATACAAGTAAGCCTGTTCAAGAACTAGCATTACTAGGGTTTATTGTAAACCAAGTGTTGCCTTCCCTAATGTTTTTCAAAGTGTAGGACTTAAAATTACAGATGTGCCTATGGAAGCGTCTGCAGCCACTGCAGATAGCCGTAGTGTGCCTGCAAGTAATCAAGACCATTAGACGGTGCCTGAATGATTTTTACGGCTTTCAAAGGCCCATGTGTAATAGCTAGCCGTAGCCGCTAATTCTAATGCAGCCTGTTACCTTGCAGTAGTGGGCACCAGCATTTGATCCACAATGCACTGGCTCCGGCGTCGATCGTCGTCTGCGATCCGTCTTTCTTCTCCTCCTCGGCCCAGGAGCTGAAGATGGATGCTGCCCTCGTGTGGAGGGTGTGCATCAAGTCCAGCAACTGACGAGAAAAAAGAAGAATTTTAATTTTTTTAATTTAAACCTCTGTTGTGTCAAAAATTGGTGTCCAGAAATATGGCTAGGTTTATTGTCAACATGTCCCCCTGTGGACTGTTCCAGATTTGTCATTAGCCCCGCCCACTTTTGGTTCGTGTACATTTGTCATTGGTGCTTGTGACCAACTTTGACCGAGCTATCATGGTCACCTGACCAGATACTGTGATCTAATTGGTCAATGCAGAGTTTGATTGAGGGCTCCACTGTCAAAGACCTAGATAATAACACTAGACAAGAGATTCAGAATGGGCCTTAATCTTTTAAGTTTGCTGTTGAATAATTCAGTACTTTCCAATTTTCAACCAATCATAATCCACGTTCTACTTGACTCCACCAATCACCTAGCTCTATTGGCGGTGAGCAATACCTTGCTGATCATTCAACCAATCACTGGCTAAATTCAATTTGAATCCACCAATCAGCATCTATTCACACACACAGTGATATCCCAAATCATTCCACCAATCACAATCCATATTAGAGTTAAATCAACCAATCCTGATCATGCATTAAAACTGAGCAATACCTGCCCCATCCACTCATCCAATCAAAGCCCGTTTACAGTTTGAATCAACCAATCACCAACCTGTATAGACAGGGAGTGATATCCGCCGGGAGGTCCCTCGTCTTCTCCATCTTCATAGCCGTCGGCCATCTGGTAGATCTTCTCGGGAACAGAGTTGGTCTTGGGCATGCTCTTCTTGTTCCTCTGGTTCCGGGACATTCGGGAGTTTTTCCGGTCTTTTGGCGGCTCGGGTTTCTTTTGTCGATCATTTCTGAGTTTCCCTGTGAAAGTTACAAATTTGTCTTAATTACATGTTACAAGACATGTTTTATGGTTTAAAATATTTAGGGTGGGTGGAACAAAGTTTGAAAAAAAATCTATTTTTTGAGGATCAGATTTATAGATATTGTTTTGGAAATTTCTAAAACGAAAAATTTAATTAAGCCAATTGTGGATATCTGCAATAAAGAGAATTTGAAAAATGTAAGGAGATATCAGAAAAATGGGGAAAACAAGAAAAAGAAAATTAGGAAAAAAAGTTTAGATTTTTTTTGAAAATTAAATAAATATTATTGCTTCATTAAAAAAAATCTCCTTTGTTTTTGTTCTTTACCAAAAAAAGAAAAAAAAGATTTGGGGTTTCTGAAATCATCTTCAATCTAAAAAAACATGGGAGTGTGATCAGAATATTTAAAGAAAAAAGATGTAAACAAAATTATTTCCCTACTGTAAGTTAGAGGAATATGACTTCAGAAACTTTGAGACAATGATTTGAAGATTTTTGGGGGGGAAATTCCTGACTAAAAAGCTGTAAAACAATCCATCTAATGCACCTACCTCCATTGACTGTGGCCTCCACAAAGCTCCTGATGGCGTGGACGCAAGACTCAAAGTTGGAAGGCGTGACGTGGGCCGCGTCTCTGACCAGGAAGGCCAGGGACTCGCAGCATTTCATGAGGGCCTTGGTGTCGTGGTGGCTGAGGGTCTGATCCAGGGCGATCTCAAATTGGTTCTGGTGTTTGGGGACGTCTCGGGAATGGTTCTGGGTGTGGCGGACTGTGCTGTCATTGTTCACCTGGGGGAAGGGGGGGGGCAACAATCAGGATTTCCAGCACTTCATGAAGACAACATTTCCTTGAGTTTCCCCTGATATTTCCAAAAATCCATGTGGATATTTTAATTCTAACGAGGTTGCTGGGAAGTCAAGAGGTGGTTGCAGCAAAGCAACAAAGATCCTGAAAATGCAAAGGCGTCTTGTTGACAAGCGATGGCCTCCCTTCTCCCCTCATAACTATATTGCCAGCTATATTAGACACAACGTGGACACATGGCACAAGACGCCACACCCCAAACAAGCAAAAACCTTTCCCTTCAGAGTTACTGGCAAATGACCTGAATTTTCCGTACTTTTTGGTATTTTTCCCAAATTTCCTGAGGCTTTCAGATTTTTCTAACGCCAGGAATGAAGTCAAAGACAAAGCCGAAAAAATAGTTTCAAGACCCCCTATGACTCACCGAGATGACTCTATCGTCCGTCATGGTGGACACGTCCGGCTCACTGCTGGATCGGTGAGGCTGTTTATGCTTGAAGAGTTCACTGTCCGAGGTGTAGCCTTGATCCGAGGCACCGCTGACACTGCCTGTTGACATCTCACTGTCGGACTGGGTGCCTGCTGGACACAGGAAAAAAACAGCAAAATTCAACAACTTTAGGAATATTGCAGTTTTTATTTTTTTATATATCTGGCTGCCCTTTACTGTCTGATTATTAGACTGCCAAGATTTGTTTCTAAACATCACGTACAATTATCAAGAAATAAATAAGATTGCTTGCGTTTATTTATTTTATAAAATTTGTGTTCTTTATTTACTTTGTTACAATGGAAAAATTTTACAAAATGCCGACTCGTTAATAGTATTGATATTTTTAAGTGCTGTCACCGTAAAGAGCCAGTTAATTGACAAGATCATATGAATAGGTCACATTGGCAAAGTTTGTTATTGCTGAGAAACTAAATATTATTTTCAGAATTTAAATTTGTTGGCGATGTCTCTTTTCTTTAAACTAAAAGAAAAAAAAAAGAAATGTCTCTCTGAAATTATGATGATCTAGTCAAACATGTACAGAATTTTTTGGGGGGTCAAGTCTGACTAAAAGATATATGAACATTTTTGTTGACTTTTTTTAATCATTTGATAGTTGAAATTAATTATGTAGGAGGTTTACCAAAACAGATACAACATGATTTTTTGAAGGGTAAGCAGTGGCAAAGTAATTCCTCTATAATCAGGTTACATTGTATACATTTGTATACAACATTGTATACATTTGTATACAACATACCACTTGTAACAAATGCTATTGTATTTTGCCTACCCGTGTCTTGTATCTCTCGATCTCTCTTCGCGTCGCCCATGTGGACGCTAGGGGGTGCTGCTCCCGCACCCACGCACTCCAGCAGCGTGAAGAGGGTGTACCAGTCCTGGGAGGAGTGAATGTTGGCCGCGTTGGTGCGCAGGAGTTCGTGGAGACCATAGGCCACCTGACGACAGACGCGCTGCAGGACCGACTTCTTCATCAGGAGTAGCATCCGTAGAGATGTCAGAACCTGCAGACGAAGGCATTGATTAATTTCAGAAACCCTTTTACAGGTAGCTACTGGAAATGTGCAGTGAACCCCACCTAGGTGGATAACAGTGACAATCATTACACCTACCTAGGCGATGTCGTCCCTTCTCAGCAGGCGTATGGCTAGCCTGAGAATACCAACCACGGCTCTCTCAACTAGCAGGCTGTACTCTAATCAAAAACACAAGGTCTGAGGTTCGAGTCCCACCTAGACGTATCATGATCAACAATCCAGACACCTACCTGAGCAGCGATGTCGTCCTTCCTCAGCAGGCGTATGGCTAGCCTGAGGATACCGACCACAGCTCTCTCAACTAGCTGGCTGTACTCTAATCAAAAGCACAAGGTCTGAGGTTCGAGTCCCACCTAGCAAGTCATGATCAACAATCCAGACACCTACCTGAGCAGCGATGTCGTCCTTCCTCAGCAGGCGTATGGCCAGCCTGAGGATACCGACAACGGCTCTCTCAACTAGCAAGCTGTACTCTGTCGTTGAGACAATCAGACTGTAGAGATGATCACAGATGCCTTGCCATAGAGTGCCGACGCGATCCCTGCAAGAACAAGAACAACTGAATGGATCAAGATTTACACAATTAATGCTGACGGACCCAGGACTGTTATTACAAAGATATCTGTGTGGGGTGTCTCTGGCTGACAGGCTGTCAAGCGAGGAGCTGAGGAGGAGAGTGGGAGTGGAGGGGATCGGCATCGTATTGAGGAGGCACAGGCTGAGGTGGTTTGGTCATGTGGAGAGAAAGGAGGATGTCAACTGGGTCAAGAGGTGTACCAACGTAATTGTGGGTGGGCCCACACCCGTCGGCCGACCGCGCAAGACTTGGCAGAGCTCCCTGTCAGATGACATGCGACTGCTTGGAGTCAATGCGAGGGATGCGACGGACAGGGCCAAGTGGAGGAGAGCCATAGGGAGAAAGCAGGCCAACCCAGAACAGACTGGACAACGGCCTTAAAACCGACATGATGATCTGAGTAGTACCCCTTGTACAAAGACACTGACAAAACGGGGAACCTCCAAAATATGGCTAGATATCTCAGTTGGTAGAGCACCGGAACAGTAAACCGAAGGTCGCAGGTTCAAACCCCGCTCTAGTCAATTTGCGTATGGTGCGAAGTACCCTGACTTATTTTAGTATGAATGTGCACAAAGCCATTTCGACTTCACGTGAGCATCAAGTGTCGTCGGCAACGCATTCAAATGTCTCTCCCAGTGGTCTCCCCCAACTCTCCCTTTCTTACCGTTGAGGGGGTACTTGTGCACGGAGCCCATACTGCTTTGCATGGAGTGAAAGGAGCCTTTGTTTAGAGAAGGATATAAACAAAGTAACAATTCTTACCGATTTTCCAAGACCACCCTGATGAGCAGCTCGAGGTTGAAGACGGCCGCCTCTTCCTCATACTGTACCCCGAGGGAGTCAGCTGCCTGAGGGCCCTGGGAGGCAAACGTCAGCGACTTCATCAACTCTTGGAGGGACTCCTGCCGCAGGAATTTACTCTCTGTGATCAGGTGCTCCGGGTGACAGTCCTGAGACACAGTAAAGGAGGAAACGGAATTCTCGTCAAAGTTGGCAATTAAATTTAAGAAATTGTCGGAAGTCGGTGAAATTTTTCAAAACAAAAAACTAAAAAATCAGAATTTTAGTAAAGACATGAATATAACACTGTTGAAAATCAATTGAGTAAATTCCCATGTTAGCTGACACTGATGATCTCCTAAGACAGCAATATGCCCTCAGAAAGCAGTCCGTATAAGGTATATTGCAAGACAATATACCTTATACTGACCTTATACTGACTGCTCCTGGGGGAAATATTGCAGGGTAATATACCTAATAATTTTTGGTTATTTTAAATTCATTTATAAAGGGCTTACCTCTATACAGCTCCTGGCCTGTTCAATGGCCTCCTTGTCTTCATTGGTAGGCCCTTTCTGAGTGGATGTCTCAGCAGTCGTGAAGTAGGAGTAGAACGAACCAAACAAGGAAGAATCAGACCTAAGCAACGACAACCAAAATAAAAGAGACCACATTTTGATTCTGTACCTTCAAATATTTAAATGTTACATGTGGCACACTCCAGACAACCCAGGAGAAATCAAGCCACACTTCAGAGTATCTCCTAATAAGTGAAGCCACCTCCTAGATCCTAAGTCCTGTCATCAATCGTCTCAATTTGGAGAGGATGTAACATCCAACTCAGTGTCAAGAAAATAATTACAGCAATAACTATTAGGATCTCAAGGTTTACAAAGGGACCTCAGACCCAGTCAGTGTTTAGACTTCTCAGAATGGCTTACTTGACAGGCTGCATCTCCTCTATGATCTGGAAGACTCTGCCGCTAGGATCCAGTCTAGGATCTCACCTTCTCAAATTGAGAGGTTGCTACATGCAACTAGGTGTCAAGTACAGATGTTAAACCTATTAAGGTCTTTTAAGAGATCCTCTATTTTTCAAGGCATTAACTGGGTTCAGACATCCTAGAATGACTTACTTGACAGGCTGCATCTCCTCTCTGATCAGGGAGACCCTGCCGCTAGGATCCACAAAGTCCTGGACCTCTACCATCTCAATCGGGAGCAGCTTAGCCCGGTACAGCTGCAGCATGCAGTCCAAGAGGTTCTTCCATCCCTCGGCGAGGATGTCACCGTGCCGGTGGGCCAGGCCAAAGACCGTCTTGGCGGCAAGGTGGGCCTTGGCGTTGGACCCGAAGGCGATCGGAAGGTTCTCCGGGGTCTTAGAGAGGGAAAACAAATGCGGAATGCAACTGTAACTTAATGTAATGGTGACATTCCAAATGCAAATCAGGAATCAAATTGATGTAGAACAAAATCTAACTTGTAAGAAACTTGGTTGACACCACATAAAGTATATGTGTTCAAGATCGAAGGCAATCTGCAGGGAAGAAAATTATCAGCAGGTGTTGCAAAATGCTCATAATCCCATTAGTCCCTGTATTGCCCCAAAACATGTTTTCCCAATACTGCCATCAGATAGCCCCCTGCACTGGATTTATCCAGGAATGAATACCGTGTCGTACAACGTAGTACCGGTGATAAAAGTTACCTCCATGGAATTAAGGAGAGTGGTGAACTTGCAGAGGGAGATGACCAAGTTGTCGAACACATCGGTCAGTCCGTAATGGGCCGAGATCATTGCACATTTCCTGCAAGGAGTAAATTTAAACCTAAGACTAAACTGATTCCAATGCAAAAACAAATGCGGTAAAACGGAGGAGCACTGTGGTCCAATGGTTACAGCGTCCGACTAGTGTGTGCTTGCATTCGTGGGCAAGACACTTTTACAACAATTGCCTCTCTCAATGAAGGAGTATAAATGGGTACCTGTGAGGATTTAGACAGATTGCATTTTTCTGGATCTACTGCAGAAAACTTGAAGCACTTTGTGACTCTGGTATAAAGCCCTTTATAAGCACCATATTATTATTATTATTAAAATAGGGGAGTGTGGCCTAGTGGTTAGGGGTTGTGGCTCATGAGCAGAGGGTCAGGGGTTCAAATCCAGCTGCTCATCATATATTGTGTCCTTGGGCAAGCCACTTCACCCCCACTTGCCCCTCTCCACCAAGGAGTGTAAATGGGTACCGGCATTAGCTGGGGAGTAACCTAGGATGGACTGGCATCCCATCCAAGGAAACCGGAGATAAACGCTGGCCTGATGGGCCATATTAGCTCACTAAGACTCACATTAATGAGTTAATCAATTAAATCCCCTACCTGAAGCCAGCGATAGCCTTCTGCGTGATGGTATCATCCATGCCCTTGTCAAACACAAACGACAGTGCAGCCACCGTGGGTCCCCAGGCTAGTAAGAACATCTCCCGGTCCAGATCGCCGCACTGGGCATGGAGGAAGGTCCCCTCCTGGGTGGCTCCTCGCTTCAGCAAGACCCGCCAGAGATAGTTTTCTCTGACAAGACCTGTCTGCTCGGCTGGCATCACAATTTCCTCACTCCTAAAATTTACAACACGCCAAACGAATAACCCAAATCAGATTTGACAATAAATGCGGATAAATGCAGCAGATAAATGCACACAAGTCTATGAGAGAGGTAGTAACTGAATCTGTATTCAGACATTTTTCATGTAATCAAAAAACCAACTTTCATTCGCACAAAAGTTGGGCATACAAAAAACTAGAAACACTTCGCTGTCCAATCTTTTTAAGATTTGTGCTTACTTCAGAACAAGACATTTTCTTTAATTTTGCTGGTCTATGATTTTGCACGCATACGGCAAATTGTTTATCTGAAAAGGAAAAATCGTAAAATCTTCATGTGCACATGTGCAGTTAGAATACCGCACTGGCTGATGACGTTTCTCACAAAATATTTAGAAACGATTGACTGATATAGATGTGCAAAGAGCTGTTTGAAAAACTTCATCTTATCATTTTCTCCGTACACCTCACCGATAGAAGCTTAATAAAAGCAAACACAGAAACTGTGACAACAGATAACCTGAACTTACTTGATAGCACTGAATATTTCCTCCAGCACGGACTGGTCAAAGTCCGCACCGCCATTCACTTTGGTGAGATTCTTCTTGAATTGCTGAAAATTCAAGAAAATATGGAGAAAGGGTGTAGAAGATGACACGCTGTTTTCCAAACAGTAGCAACATCATCTATGTTACTATCACCCTCAGCAACAGTCAACATAATAGAAATAGTGCCCTACATGTAACATATCTGTCATGCCAGTCAATACAATGCTTATTACCCTCATCAACACACATAATGTATTTTCCCTCCAAAAAGGTTAATATATAATAAATCTATGCAATATACATTGGCAGTCAATATAAAATATATTGCCCTGAGCAGCAGTCAATATTGTGCATATTCCCTATGCAGAAATCAATATAATAAATATATCCCTCAGCAGGATTCTCTAATAGTCAAATGATAACTTTATTTATCACCCGGTTACCAACTTTCTTAGTGAAAAGTCCCTGTACTTGTGCCGCAACAGACTTTTCATTTTCAATAATTCTAAATCTTTAAAAGTGTGTGTTGGTCTAGCGTGGACTATATACTTACGTCAACGTTCATTGGAATGTTCTGCTTCTTGGCGTTGTGGTTGTGTTGGTCTACATTCAGCATGATGACTGCGTACGCCAACGTGAATGCAGCATCGTTATTGGCAAACGGCCGATTGTTGGCATTCTTTAAAAAAAAAAAAAACACCAAGATGTCAACATAAGAAAATAACAGTGAAAGTGTAACTCCACAGTCAAGTTGACATTCTGAGACAGAGAAGCTTCATACATTACTTTAAGTCTAGAAAATATGAGTTCATTATAACCATCACTCAAAATTATTAAAAATGTTAGGAATCTGGTACAGTCTACTTTAATAGCCTGTCCAAGTTCTATGGATATCTTTGTAAAAATCCACAACTTGACACCGTGCAAGAGACAAATAACTGTAGGACTTACATGCCAGTAGTCGGAGAAATGTTCCATGAGATGCTGGATGACGGGAGCTTCTCCAGGAAGTCTGAACGCTTCCAGGTACATCCGGAGTGCTTCGTCAATCCTGGTGCCCTCGAACCCAAACAACCTGTGGGCAGGTTGCGAAAAAGAAAAACCCAGTAATTATAACATCTTTCAGGACTTGTGACAGGCTTGTGAGGATTTGTGAGGACTTGTGATGGGCTTGTGAGGATTTGTGAGGACTTGTGAGGATTTGTGAGGACTTGTGAGGACTTGTGAGGACTTGTGAGGACTTGTGAGGACTTGTGAGGACTTGTGATGGGCTTGTGAGGATTTGTGAGGACTTGTGAGGACTTGTGAGGACTTGTGAGGACTGTGAGGACTTGTGAGGACTTGTGAGGACTTGTGATGGGCTTGTGAGGATTTGTGAGGACTTGTGAGGACTGTGAGGACTTGTGAGGACTTGTGAGGACTTGTGATGGGCTTGAGAGAACTTGTGAGGACTTGTGAGGATTTGTGAGGACTTGTGATGGATGTGTTAGGACTTGTGATGGACTTGTGATAGACTTGTGAGGACTTGTGATGGACTTGTGATGGACTTGTGAGGATTTGTGAGAACTTGAGAGAACTTGTGAGAACTTGGACAAACAGAAGGATTACACAAATTGCTCTACTCACTTCAAGAATGCTTCCAAGACTTTCTCGTTCTTCCTGCTGCTCAGGTACTCCCCGATCATCTTCTTGTCGCACCTGGGGTTCTCCTTGAGGAAGACGGCCACCTCGTGGGGCTCCAGGGGGGAGTGTAAGATGCCCTGCTCCATCAAGAAGGCAATGCCCTTGGAGGGCTTGATGTTGAACTGCTCCGTGCCGGCTTGGATCAACTGTCAAGAGAAGATTACGTGAAGGAGTTAAGGTCTAGCGAAGATATGCACTTGTCACAGGAATGATCTTGTGCATTTCTTAGATGGCTTGGTTTCTAATCCTTGTTATAATGAGGCAGACATTAGGTCAATGAAATAAACATAGCGCATTTGCTCATGGAAATATTTAGAAGATTTTGGTAAAGCAAAGGACAAGTAGAAAATATTTCACCATTAAAAGTGACTGATGACTTTTGGAAAACGAAGGTTGTTATTAAAAGTGATCTGTTTTTGAACCTTTTTGGTCTGTTTAATCTGCATCAGCTGCTCCAGGGATGGTAAGTTGTCCGAGGGAGCGAAGCGACTGACTCGTCGGTTGGGGCTCCCCTCGATGTGATCTTCAGAAGGCTTCAATTTGCCTGCAGAGCCAAGAAATAAGAACATTATCCACAATCGGAAATTTCACAAAGAGTTATTTTCGGCATTTTAAATTCCACGCTTCTGTCTGTATAGGAGTGCACTTTTTCTATACACAGTTTGTGAAACATGCTAGATTTTTTTCAGTAATGCGCTTTGAAAATGTGACTTTTGCATGGATACTACATCCGCTTTTTAAAAAATTGTGTTGAGAATACATCAGTCTACAATCCTGCAACTGTCTTTGACTCTGAGTGCATTCTCTTTACACAATCAAGGGAAAATGCACATTTAGTACATTTTGAGATTCTACTTTTAAACGAACATTATTCTGCTTTTTACAAAACTGGTGTCAAGAAGACATCAGTCTTCAAACTCATAAAGTCTTGGCACAGAAAATACTGCGCAGTCATTCAAAACTAACAACTCTTTTATGTTTAAAGCAATATTTGGGTTATTTAGGTATCACAATAATTACCATTGTCCACTTCTTTATCCCGGTTCATGGACATGACCTGTGCCATGGCATATCCCGTGGTGGGCAGCGTCACCCCCATCCCGCCCTGCCTGGCCCCGTCCTCGCCCCCTCCCTTCTCCTTCCCCTTGTCCCCCTCCTCGGTCTTCCCCGAGACGTCCTGGACATGGATGGTGACGGCCGATGTTGACTCGGACTTCTCCCGGTCCAGGTTGCCCTGGGCCACCATGGAGCTGAGGATGCGATGGTGGCAGTTGGTCTCGATGCCGTCGATGACGGCTAGGAGGGCGTCCAGGGACAGGAGGTGGGTGGTGTAGAGGGAGCCGGAGACTGGGAATGCATTCTGGAGTCAAGAAGTAGAAACCAAAATACGGGGTTGTCACGTAGAGTGATCGCTGTGAAATATGCAAGACAAGGGCTACAGGAAAAATTAAGTTTCAACCTTGGCACTGTACACTAGAAAAGTTGTCAAAATCTGCAGTATTGAGACCAGTTCAAAGTTCACACACAAATTAATATGAAGACATTCAAGGCAAAATTGGTTGGAGCTGAACGTTTTACAAATTTGCAGCATGTGAACTTTCTGTATGTTACAAATTTGTGTGCACATTTACTTTCTGGGTAAGCATGAACCAGCCATTTAAGTGCAACGGTACCAGGAAATTGTGCAATATCAAACTAAAATGTAGAAATATTGTTACAGTGTTAAAAAAATCACCAACAAAACGTTAATTCCATTACCCACACCACGTTAATAATTGGGTTTGTTTCTATTACTGACCTTGGATAGTAATTTAGTAAGATCTTCAAATAAATTACTGCAGTAGACGTCACAGTCGTAGTTCAGATACAGCTCTGTCACCATACAGGGTAGTCGCCACAGCTGTTAAGGGGATGATAAGAGGTTCATGCCAAATGTGAAAAGAGAAAGCATCTGGAAGTTTGTACTTGATATCATTATGTCAAAAAATAAAACTGAAGTACAAAGGTAAAATAATATACATACAGATATTTATATTATCTACTCTAGTAAAAGAAAATGCCAAACACAAACAATCCTTTTACAAATCAATTATTTTTTATTATCCATGTGTGACAATTTAAAAACTGTCTATCACAAATAATATGGAGGTTTTTGTCTAAACAAATTTGTGAAAAACATGTTTGAGTAAAATCAAAAATGTTATAGAAATGAAAACCGATACACAAATGTTTCCTCACGGATAATGGGTTCTAATATACAAGTTTAGTACAAAATTATGTCAGTAACATTATTCTATTTAAATAAGCTTTTGGCAAGAAGAAACTAAAGTTTGTTTTGATGTGTTAATTTTTATATGTAATTCAATGTATTTTTTTTAATGTATATTGTCTCACGTAATGTCTCTTTCAGACCTTGATCTAAAGTAAATTTAAATTGACAGGCTTATTTTTTACTAATTTAAAAAAAAAATTGTAAAAATCCTGACCAACCTGTACGATTGAATCCAGTGCCATCTCACGCTGCTCGTAAGGAATCCGGACCGATTCCGAGATGATGATCTCGGTCAGTTTGTGCAGGAACATCTCCAGCTGGAACTTGAGATGAGTCCTCATGGATTCAAACAGCATGAAGCAGACGCGGAGAGAGGCGGCAAAGAGGGACAACCTGTCAGCTTGCAGAAGCTGCCAAGGAAAAGAAAATAATATTGGATCGTCGTAATTGTTTTACTTAAAAAAGGTGCCTGTAATGACGCCAATTGTCTGGGTATAAACAGAAGAAATATCAGGTTCGTTGACGCAAAAAGTAACCTTTTACTTCACCCGTAAAATTAAATATCGTCAAACTGTAACTTATAAAATGTGAAGCGTTCTGGCAAAATGAGACGGAACTGGGCACAGGCCGTAGTGGGAAAAATATGCAAAAAAAAATAAAATTGGGGTGATTTTTTTTGATTTTCAGATTTATTGATATTTGTAATCTTTGATATATATACTACACATATTTTAATGCAACTGTATAAAAAAATTTGAATAAAAGTGTTTTTAAGGAAAAGCAATTGGCATCTTTCATTTTCACAACTTCAAAACTTGAAACTTAGTCCAAAAAAAAAAAATGTTCGGTCTCTGGTCAGACCAAAGTTTCGGAATTGACGCGGCGACGCGGCTTTTTTTTTTTTCTTCAAGCTTGGATTGTACAGACAAGGTGGGATACTATTTTGCTTTTTTGGTGTCCTCATGTACATTGGTGTCCTCCATAATTTGCCTTGGTGCTCTCGATCATTTGCCTTGGTGCAATTTCCCATTCCTTTGTGCTCTGTGGTAAAAAAAAAATGAGGAGGTGCGGCAATAGAGGGCGCTGTTGGAGCTACCGCGGAACATTTTGGAAAAAAAAAAGATTGACGCGCATGATTAAAATCGACGCGCGCGCTGACCAGAGACTGACTTTTTTTTTTTTTTGGCCTTAAAAGGCCTTTTTCTCAGTATTTTAATTTTTGACATGTCAATAAATGTGAACTTTGAACAGCCATAACTTGTCAAGAGGTTTCTTGTGCAAAATATTAGCATTTATTAATTTCAATTTAAAGAAACTTACAGCAAGAAGGTTTTTGCACATGTCGTCCTTGATGAGACTGAGCAGAGCAGAGAAGTGAGCGACATGATCGCATCCCGTCTCCAAGGCAACGGTCAGGAGGTTCAGACCCATGTGCATCATCAAATCTGTGTTATGCCTGCAGCAAAAAAAAAACCCACACATTTAAAACCTTTGTAATTGCAAAATCTCTGGACTCTGTACACACGCTTGTTCTTTCAATCGTTCTTAACATCAAGTGTTCATCGTATGTGTTTATTCTCAGGTAAAGTTTGGCAAATAGATGTCACTGAACTTACCTGTCATATGGGTTGATGAGCGAGATGAGAAATCTCATCAGTTCCCTGACACATGGTAGACCATAGGGGATAATGGGACCCGAGCCTGTCCAAAAACAAAACAAAAAAGTGTGAACAAAAACACACTGTTTGGAGTTGACTAATTTCTTAACAAAAACACACCTCTGTTAGCTGAAGACTAAACAGGTGGATCCTTTAAAGCTCTACTGTGCCCACTGGCAACAATACATCTGCCTCTAGTGCACAAGTACCCCCTCAATGGTAAGAAAGGGCAAGTTGGGGGAGACCACTGGGAGAGACACTCAAACGCATTGACGACGAATCCTGATTATGGAACTCGGAACATAAGACTCCAATTTGGCACCGCCTGCACTTTTGTGAGGATTGGAACTGAACTATCTCTGCCTACTCACCGTCTTTATGCCTATGGTGGGGTGTGAACCTGACGCCCTGCGGGTTGATGTATTCAGAGTCTTGGATGGAGGCACTGTCAGAATGCTCCGTGATGGACTCCGTGTCTTCTGTGCCGTCTACCAAGGAGTCTGATCTCTCTACATCTAGCATCTGATCATTCTCATCACCCTTCTATGAAAAGAAACAAAGATATCAAAGATATAAATTTTTCTGGTATCAAAGATTTACATAAATAATTAGATAAAATGTTAGTAATATTGCACAGTGCCTCAGCATTATGCATTCAATTCACATTCCTTTCAGGCTAAAATTGAGTAAATTCTTTCATTGTCCAAATCAACCGAATTACCAGTAATGAAAGTTTGAGTTCAGAGAGGACACGACAAGAGAATGATCAGACTCACCTTGTTCTCTGTCGGTTCCTCCTGTTGCTCTCCTTGCATGGAGATGACCTGACCCTGAGTCGGTGTGATGTCGCCCTCGGAAGGAGTCACGGCCGACAGCGATTCCTTCATGTCCACCCCGCTGTCCAGCGACGATGGTAGCCTCTGCTCGTCCACCTCCGAGGAGACGTTCAGCGTCGACGGAGGAGTGACTTGAGACTGGCTCGATTCTGAGGTGGTGGTGGAAGCAGAGGTTGCACTCGGAGATGCTGTCGTCGCGGCGACGGACGTTGCAACAGCTGCACCGGCGGCGTTTGCGTTGGCCGCTAGGGAGTTAGCTGCAACGTGAGGGGCTGGGGCTCCCGGCTGCATGGCGTTAATCTCTTCCGTGGGCGTGGTTGCCAGACGGTCTTTCTTGGCCCGGACTTTGGGAGAGGGGCGCGACTTGCGGCGGCGAGTTGCGTCGGTAATGCCCCCTGGTCGCATCTTCAGCTGGAAACAAAAGTAACGCAATTTTGAGGCTGTAGATAATATTTGATATTGAAAAGAACGTTAAAACAAATTGAATGAAATAGCTACATCAATCTTGAGTTTTTTTATTTATACACAATTACTGGCCGACCTAGGACGCAGTTGTTTATCAATCTTTCGCCTTCAGTCATACCTTTCTCATGGCTGAGAGTTTCTCCTCCTTGAACTGCGGCAATCGTGAGAACAGAAGCTGTACCATGTCAACTAGTGTGTGCTCAGCGGAGCGGCGTAGTAACTCTGAAACACAATTATAATTGTACATTTCAATAGTAATTTAATTTCTGACAGAGCTATTTCTTGTCTTGCTAAAAAAAGGAAACATTTAAAGGAAAATTTGTAGGATAGCCTGAATTCAAAAACAGGATTATTGTTGAATAATACAACACACAGGCATCAAATTACATGTTGAAATGCTTGATTGAGAATATATATTTAATCCTTACCAGCCAATGCCTAAAAGTATTAACTCTGTTTGATATACAATCTCCAGATTTCCAATATTTAGTCATCCAAATCCCATGTTCAGCTATCGCACTGCTATCTAAATATTCAACATAGTTTAAGTATAAATACTACTCTAAATGTACACATTCATTCATGATTAGTATTCTCAATAGTATGCAAAAAATATTTTCAATAGTGTAAGTGTTACTCAGTTACTCACCGCTGAGTCTCATCTCAAAGCAGATTCTGAAGCAGGACTGCATGATCTCACAGACGGACTCGTTGGAGAGATGAGCTCCTACTGGGGTCAGAAGTAACGTCCTGAGAACCTGTGACATCAAAGAAAATCCAAAAATTGGAAATCAGCACTGCAATCAGATCAAAGTTATTTATAATACTTTTCATTCCATCAAATTTGATCCCAGGTTTGTGCGACTGAAAATGTGCAAAAATCTCTGACAATCCAAAATTAGGTTAGTTCTGACGTTCGATCATCCCAATAAGTTAACCTCACTGGCGAATCAGCTATAAAGAAATAAATAACAGTTCAGTATCCGAAATGTCGAAAATCAAAGTTTGATCAAAACAGAAATAGGAAAAAATCTTCAAATGATTCTGAAATAATGATGAATACACAAGAAATATAGACTTTGAAATATTTTCAGCCTCTAATGCAAAAACGATTTGATAGTGGTTTTTTTTGCATGGCAAAATCAACAATAATAGTAAGTTTGTACATGTATGGCTTTACGATAGAGGACAGACACACAAAGGGAGAACAAAAGATCCTTTCAGTCCTCGAGCGTTGGGTCTTTTGTTGAAAACGGTCCTCGATCGTACGGTTATGTGCTTAGTCTATGGGAGAGTGTCATATTACAGGGACAAAGGGAAACACAAATCATTGTCCTCGGGCGTATACAAATTCACGAATGTGTGGGGTTGCATCATGTAACAAAGAAATCTCTTTTTTATGTTGGTGTGGTTCTCTTGTGTTTATGCAAAGTTTCAAGTCGATCTGATTGAAGATAATGTACAAATTGGAAAGAATGACAAAAGAAATTACCTGAAGAATCTTCATGAGAACCACCTCATCCGAGCCTGGATCCGTGCCAACAAACCTGGCATGGGTGACTGCATCGGCAATGTTCTCTATGCCTGACGTGGCACCTTCCACAGATGTGTCTGTTGGAATTAAGGAGACGTGAAATTTCAATCATTTGGGCCATTTCATTGGGAATAGTGAGCTAGACAACCTCAAAAAAAAAATTCACCCTCCTTCGGACATAAATTTAATTTAGCATGAAATCAAATTCAACTCCAAAAGAATGTTTAGTAGCTTTCAGCCTATATCGTTTTGTTTGCAATAGCAAGCAATAAAATAAGATAATTTTACATTTACCCCAAAAAAGAAACATCCATTTCGTCATTTTTAAATCTGATGTATACATTAAAACATCTGCGACCAGTACAAGGCAACAAATGTCTTCTTACCCAGCATTCCATAGGACAGGAACTTATTGATAGAGGACAGAGCGAGGCCTGTGATTGGTCCAGTGGTGTCCTCTGAGCGGATGACATCAAGGAACGGACACAGGAAGACGTTGGGCTCAATCTCCGTTATATCTGGAAAAGTACCAAAAAAAAATCACATTTATATAAAAAAAACCTTTAGATATTTTAAGTACCGCAAACTACATGTACATCCAGTAGCTCTTGTCACTTGGAGTTTGCTGTTACTTGCAAATGCATTTCTTTACCCAAATATCTTGTGTATAAAATTAGACAATATTAACATGGCAATTTTAAAATATTTATAGACAGGCATGCAACTGGGAATTTAGAAAAAAATTACAAAATTATAAACCACACAAGGCTTTATAAAGTATTTTTGTAAATTTGTAATAGCATTCATGAGAATTAAAAAAAAAACGAGGAAATCAGCAGATCCGAGGAAAAGTTGCATGCCTGTATAGACCTATAAATGTGTTGCACGTATCTCAGAGACAGTTCTTTGTGATTTTAATCTAGTGACAATGAATACACAAAAGGCTTACTTATGCCTATCCACGCAATATAAACCACTGCCCTCTAACTCCGCCATAACGCATACGGTCTATTTGTCTGTGTGTATTCAAACTTTTTAGAATACACTTATTTTTTTCATAAGATGAAATAAAACAGTGAAAACCCAACCAAACACGAACAAATGTTACATGAATAATTCCACGGTCAAGTCCTAATGAGTTTACCCACCGCGCCATAGTGCTGTCTGCCAGCCTTTAAGGTTAACAGTCCTTTAATGTCATCCATTAATAATGACAGATCGCCCTGCTTCACATGACAAATTACTCCTATTACCGTGGTTATGCTCCCTACGCTTTGCCTAACGCCCTGGATGTGTTCGTTCACATTCAAACTGGAATCAAGCTTAAGCAGCTTACATGTACATGTATGCAAGTTTACAGAATGGAAATTGTCCACAATTACAAGAAATTGAAGAGAAATCTATTTCATTTTGAGTGTTGGCAAGATTATCATTGATTTATCGTCAGTTTCTTTTTTGTTATGTTGATGATACGTAGTTGGAGCAACAAAGACATGTTTTACAAGGTTCTAAACTATTGTACTTGCCCTGAAATGTCAATCGTATGACATAATTTGAACCCTGTTTTGTCTAAAACATAAATATCTGCAAAGACCTTTGAATGTTGTGCCAGTCATAGCCACGACAAACCGTTATTGCATGTATCATTCAATTCAAATGAGAAATTTCTTGTACATTTTCCAACAGTTAACCAATTAATGCCAGAAGACAAGTAAACACGATTGGCAATTTATATTGATGGGTTAAATTGTCATGCTTTCCTCAAGTCTCTGGCGGTGGACATGTACATGTATATGTCAGTGGTTCCTATCACCATGGAGGTCATTGTAGCAAATATCGCTCTGTGGAGGGGCCTCAGAAATATATGAAATTACAGAGATAAGTGCTGTACAAATATCGTGCAAATGACTCTCAAGAGTTGATATTTGTGGTGTTTGACTTAATTTTCAAATTTTGCAGATATGTCTTTTTCAAAAATGGTGCTTTTTCAGCCAAATATAAAGGGGTTAAAATCACGTTCCCGGAAAAAAATAGGGAAGTCACTTTCCCAGAAAAAAAGTAGGGCTGTGTGGAATATGCTGAATATTCGAATGGCGTATAAATATCTAAATATGTAAGCGGTCGGGAGAAGATGTTTACAACCTCTCAAATATCAGCTAGCCACATGTACATGTACATGATGTTCTTGATTGTTTTTTTTCTACAGGCGCATGCAAATCATGATCGGTAGCCCTGTCCATTCCTGACCAGTACATGCAATTTTGGCTGGTGCATGTACGTGTTGTTTCGCCTTCCGAATATTCAAATATTGGGGGGAAAATGTCATAAACAGGTCTCAAACTTCCCCAGTTGTAGGCGTTGATCACTGAAATGCGAACGGATGTCAACAAATCCCAAGCCTTACGGGCCTCAGAAGAACCCCCCCCCCCCATCCCCCACCCACACACAACTGAAAGGTGCTGACATTTTGCTGACGATGATGCTTAACACTTCAGTATTGTGAGTGGGCCCACGATCCATTATTCAACCACAGGGATTTACTCTCAAGTATGACAATTTCAGACCGGGTGTCATCGTACCGATCAGTTTTCCATTATTTTTTAATGCTTTTTACCCCCCCCCCCCCTTTTCCTTTTTTTTAAGTAGTGGCTAAAGGTTTTGTAAATTAATAGAAATTGAAACCTCTACTGGACTTTAAGATAAAGATTTTACATATGTGCATATTTTTTTTGAAATTTTACAGTCACAATCAAAATCGTTTTAATAATTTTCATAATTTTTACAAAATCTGGTATAAAATGAGATCATCTTTAATATGTTCTTACAAAAAATACAACAAACTTTCTATCTAAATGTAATTACACGCACTGTAATCATATTTTAATGTCCCTCAGATTTGTGATCTTTAAATAAGCGCCTCTGGGGGAAAACCAAGTGGCAAACAATATCAGAAATGTTTACCCGAGACGGATTCAGTCAACTGGAAATATTTGTAATAACACAGCCGTTCACAGCCCTACCCCTCGTGAATAAATAATAAGATGATAATTAATGCGATGTTGACCAGCTGTGTGTTCTGTGAAGTGTAGGTCAATATCAATACATGAGCGCAGCACATCTCGCTTATTTACATTGTAGCAATTTTATTTGTTGTATCAAGTATAAAAAAAACATATTCCTTGATATGTGTACTTTTCATTTCATTCTTCAAAGAGTTCTAGTTGGAAAAGCAAAAAACACATCACCAATGCACAATCCATGTGTCAAGTAATTTTGTATGATCATCTATAATTTGGATCCAAAAAAATGACTTCTCTTACTTCCGAGGAGAACATAATTAAGGCACAGGTTGCAATAACATGCACTTAACACGGCTCTTTGATAAACACACGATGATCACAAGACATTAGGTGTTTGATTGCTTCCATATGGAGCGATGATGCCCCTGTTCATTGTCAGCATCTTGGACGCGTGACGTATGCAATATGAGAACGTGCACATGGACGGTACGTGCGTAGTACATGTGCATTTTAGCAGTCAGTTCCTTAGAGGATGTAATAACGTAAATGCCGGCATGCTTGCATCCCCAAGCAAGATTCACGGCTCTTTTGTCAGCTCGGGAATGGCATATATGCACAGGCACGTACCGGTGTTGAGTTTGTCCGGAGGTTTACGACTGTGTAACGTCGTTTTATGATTTCATATATCTTAAAGAGGCTTAATATCTTATTTCTGACATTTTCTATAGAGTTTTTTTATCAGAAAGACCTTGGGCTTTCTCTTCTGTTTGCTTTAAATACTGTGAATTATTGATTTGTTTTGTTTGATCTTGGAGTTCTACGCAGACAACAGGAGCTTTTGTTGTAATTGCTACATGTTTTGTCCTGTTCTGTTTTGTTTGTTTTTTCGATTTTTGATTTTCTATTTTTTATTAATTTAATTAATTTACTTATTATTTTTATGGGGAGGGGGAGCTGTTTTTCTTTTGTCTTTTTTTTTTTAAATTGTGTCCTAGCAGGTTCCACATGTTTTGCTCATCAAGGTGCTTGATAAATGCGCACATGGACATTTTGTGACATTTCATCTTGTTTGTCCAAACTGGAAAATGCCACAAATGCAACTGAATGATTGACACACAAAGCTTGACAACAGCCAATTCTGTTGAATGTATTTTTTTTTCTGTTAAATTTTCTCTTTTACAGAAACTGTAAATGCAGCTTTAGCACTCTTTCCCGGCCAAGCAGATCTTGAAACTTACAGGAAACCAGAAAGAAAATATAAGTTTTAGAATAAAAAAAAGAGATACATTTCTAGATAACAGAGTGTTTTAGAAAGGCATGCATTTAGGTGGGAGTTGAAAAGCCATCCACCGTAGCAATGCTAATTGTGGATCACCGGAGATGGAAGATGAGAAAATACAATTTAACTCAAGAGACCGTGCCTTTAATTCACGAGTTCGCATGAGGGTCCTTCATATCTAAGATGCGCAGTTTATTTGTTATGAATAATTAAACACTGTTTTTCTACTACAAGTATCTCCAGGGAAGGAATGCTTCTAAATCTTTTGATTGAAGAAAATGTGAATCAGTCCGAAGTGGTTGGGGTGAAATTGATGCGGGAATTGAATCTGTTGGGAAATCACTGCAAGGGGTTGAGGATGAATATTTGGAGTCGAATGACGCAGATCTCTGGAGTACAGGTGCAATGAATATCAGGTTGTACAGGTGCATGTAGATAGATATCTGAGGCATTGAATGACTTGAATAATATTTCACGTTTGTTCATTTGTTTGGTATTTTTACAAAGACAGCTGCTTTCTGGGGTACTAAGCGCGGTCCCAGCAGACTCATGTACTTTTCACGTTGACACAAAAATCACAAGTTTGGACCGGGAAACAATTTCTGGCCGCCTAAGTCCACTGATTTTCCATTTCAAAAATGTCCAATTTCTATTTCAATAAAATTGTAAAACTGGCGTGAAAATCCAATTCCCACTGCGTTCCTGCTGAAAAAGACTGAACATTTTGCTTTTCTACAGAAGTGTGAAAAAGAAATTAAATAAACGAAACTTCCCAATGCTATATCAAAGTTAGTTGATTCTAATGTTAAACACCTCTTTTTTTGTGTATACAGTGAAGAATTTTTTTTTTTAACTGAATAAAATATTAGAAGGTCAATTCTGTTAACTTCATTCAGTGCCATTATGGTCTGATGTGTACTAGTCTACCGAAAACATATTTGCAATCATTAGGCCTATAGTGTGATTAATCTGAGACACGTTTGAAAAATGCTACATGCCAGCAACACAACATCTGGAAAATGACCATTGAATGAATTGCTGTAAATGTACTGAGCTAGTGAAGTTAAAGGGAATGCACATCATTGGCTTTCGCTGTAATTTTCAGAAATTAACTAGTTGAGGGGTTAGTAGATCAAAATATTGTTACACTGACATGTTTGAAGTGTTGTGTCCGAAAATGCTGGAAACACCAAGAAAAACAAAAATGTTCAAATAGTCTGGTTCCCTGACTCCACTAAAGATGAAATGGTTCAATTTATAGATGCCGGAAAATGTAAGGTAAAGGAACCAGTCTAGCTGGCCTGCACCCGTTCATGAACATGTAACCAATAGCAAACACAATTTGGACTGAAACAAATGGTAAATTTGGAGCAGTAGTTGAAAAATAGTTAGGTTTTTCCAACGGTGGTCGGCCGACCACTGTTGGAAATGTATACAAAAATACCATTTTCTTGAAAATGACTTCACACCAGGTACCATAATTTTACAGGATGCTTTAGACTGTCATTTACCAACATACTAGTAAGGTTTTTCGTAAAAACTTGGTAGTTTTATTTTTCGATGTTTGCAAATGTTGTATTTTCCCTTTAACACACAACCGCTATGCATGTATGGGTACACCGGAAAACTACATGTACATATAGGTCACATATGGGCAAATTCATTGATAAGTTTGTACGAACTTTTTTACTTTTTTTCACGGAGGGTGTTAAAACTCGGTCAACCATATGTCACGGTTTCCTGTATCAACAATACACGATCAATAACCGGACTAACGGCACAATCAGCGAAAGTGTAGAGATGTGTGAACGGAAACACAACGCAACCACTAGATGTGAGAAGGAAATCACAATTCAAAAATTCCCACAATTTTTTTTTTCTCAGTGAAAACACGAATCTGTTACATCTTTCAATGAATGCAGTACTAGCAAATCTGACAGAAACTTCTCAGACAAATAATTGTAATTGTTATATCGTGTGCTTGGGTACTGTCATTTCACTGGTCTAGAACGGCCATGTGTCCAGTCTGTAAAAATAACCAACTACTTCATATACACTACATTCCATATATTAAATGAACCTCATATATACTGCTTTCCATATAACCTCATACAGTGTCATATACAATGTGCTGCATACAATTGGGCGTGTGCATTTGGCAGGGCGTATGCATTTGGCGGCGGCTTGCCCCGCGCGCGCGCGTGTAGGGCTTTCCCGCGTGCTCGCAACTGACAACTGCAACAGCTCAGTCTCACGTTCCGCAGGAAAGCATGCAGTTATCAACGGTTAAAACTCATTGATTTCATTTATTCTGGCATAAATAGTTACAACCACTTATCGTTTTGACTTATTGGGTGCTATGCACCCCTCAGGTGTTAATAACGGCATATCCCACATATCAGCAGTCAACAATAATTGTTAAGTATTCACATACCCTTACAATGTACAGTATGTATCAGGCTAAGTCTAAAGTACAGTAAAAGCCAACAGAAGTACAATGGAAATTGTTCAGCTTCACTGTATTAAATACATCATGTAACCTCAAATTTGACCCTCATACATAAATGGCATTCATGAACATATTTCAGCATATATTTAGAGCCTATGGAGGAGTATTCAATCAACCATGAACATTCAACAAAACAAGTTTGCATAGAAGTGTAGGAGTGGCATATTTAGTTTGAATTAATTTGTTGAAGGGCAAAACTCAAAATTGAATTTACATCACCCCGATGCAAATTCCACCTTAGGAAGAGTTTAGGAACAACATATTCAGTTTATTACAGAATTTTCTGGAACTTTATGTCCATGCTTTTTGCACGTGGCACCCCAACAAATTGAAATTTGACCCTTCTCAGCATATCAGTCAGTAGTGTTCCAATGTGCAATGCAATGTCATAAGCTGAGACTTGTGGTTCCAGCACGACTAGTTTTTATCCAAAATTTCTTTTATTTTTTATATTTTTTTTTTAACTTCCCCTCATGCTGCCACAATTTACGGATATTGTCATTCATTTAGTGTCCGAAGCATGACATTTTTCCTGTCCCTGTTACCTTGGTACTTTGTAATTTGCCATTCAGGTGTCCTGAAGAATGGCTTCAATTTGTTGCCCTAGTCCTGATGATTTAAAAATCACAGGCGGTCAGAAAAAAGGCACATCTGGATTTTTTTAGGCGTGCGATTTTTCAAGGCGTGTGATATTTTTAGGCATGTGACCGAACTGGAACTGAACAGTCAGGCATATTTTTTTTTTATAATATTCATCTTGGTTCACAGAGGAGCCATTTTAAGAGCTCACTGATGTATAATTATGCTTTAAATGTATGCCGAGGTGATGTACCACACAATACCGAGGGATTGCGATTATTCGCACTTCTCTGGAAGCTTTTAGGCGTGCGATGACGTGGGGATGCGATCGCACTCCCCAAATCAGAAGAGCTTTTGTTGGGTCAGTAGTTTGCTATTCACAATCACTTTTGGGGAATGACTGCATTACGAATTGAATCCAGAATTTTAAAAACATACATGTCAGATGTAGCAGGGACAGGAAAAAAAGTGGACCCCCACATTAGAATGACTCACATATCATCCTCTCTGCTCCCCACCACACCCCGCCCACAATCCCACCCCACCCCGCCCACAATTCCCCCTCCTCCTCCACCCCCCCCCCCCCCCTCCCCACCCCCACCTCTCACTCAAGCCCAACAGTGACAAGACATACCTGAGATGGAGTTCAACGTTTCCTTTAGACGGGAGAAGCCTCCTAACAACGGGTCTTGCTCTTCCTCCTGTAAAAAGAAACAAGAATCATCTTGAATTAAATAAGCAGAAACGCAAGCAAGGAACAAATGAAGAAAAAGTTAATTTATGACATGTTTTTCATTACTATTGCTTTGAAAAATTCACTTGGGTTGTCAAATATGATATTAGTTACCACATGTTAAAAGCGTTTTTTTTTGGGGGGGGGGGGGTTGAGGGAGGGGGGGTGTTGTGAACACATGGAAAAGATCTTGGACTCCTAAGGCCAAAAAAAAATCTCCAGTTTCTGGTATGGAGCTTGCCCAAAAAGTGGTGCGGCGACGCGGCTTTTTTTTTTTTTTAACCTGATTTTTTTGCTTCAAATGTCGGCTGATGACTTTAAATGGTGCCCGACTAAACTTAGTGCAAATATAGGGGAGTCCAGAGAGGCCACATTAAGCTTATTCTCGACCATAACCCAATCTAAAAACGCGTTAAAATTGTGCAGCAGCAGGATTCCAGTCAAACCAGTGAGTTTGGCGGTTTTGAGACATCATCTTTCATTGAAAAAAAAACTTTTTCATTTTGCCGACGCGCATGGCTACGGCGACGCACGCGCATACAAGAAACCGGAGACTTTTTTTTTTTGGCCTAAAGGTGTGGCAAATAGAAATAAAATTTCAAGGTGGCTTTTGTTTGAAATGAAAAAGATAACTTTAAGGATTCATTTGCACAGGTTTGTAGAAATCAGGTTGTTTTTACATCTAGGATTTAGAATTAGGTCAACAAAATGCAAGGCAACTCCTAAAACTCTTATTGCATATATACTTTTTTATTTTGATCTGAAAAACCAATACATCAGTACAAAAAAAATTTCAAAACTGTAACGAGAATTTACCTGGGCCAGATGAGATGTCCATCTGGAGCTGCGCCTCATTGCCGTGGCAACCAACAACATCTCCCCTTGGACGATGTAGACCCCATTGGTGGGAGGATGTATTTTGGGTACTGTTGACATGGTAACCCTTGAGATTGCAGACAACTCTTCTGAACCGTCAAGAACTACTTGTAGATTTCCGTTTCAGACAATCGAAGATGTTCGTCAACGAGATCAAGTTTTATCAAAATATTTTCTTGGACTTATTTATTTACAGTGGGTCTTTATCATACATCGGAGTTCTGTGATCATTAATCCATGTTGTATCTGGAAAAGAAAACACCGGTGAAGAAAATTTGAATATCCAGGATTAAACCTGAGAATTGGGAACCAAATTTTAAGTTCTCAAATTCTGTGTGGAGGCCGGTGGAATGCGATACTTTATGTTTTGTGTACTGGTTGTTAGCTACATGTAGTTTTAGTTGGTTGTAATTATCCATTTTGGGGGGGAATATGGGAGTTTTGTATATCACTCAAGATCAGTCCACTTAATATGTGCCCTAATTATTTAAAAACCTCATATTGTTTGATCAAGTCACAGACAGTCCAGAATTTCTTCCACTTCCCCTGCCATGCACTCTATGCAGACTACATGTAGTTAAAAAAAACAGTCAGATCACATTTGTGTAAACAGTCAAATTCCATCAACAGACAAAAGAGGTAACTGGTAGGTACAGCTGCCATATCAATCACCTCCAGTCAAAATTAGCAAGGGAATTCTTCACTGTTAAAACAGTCACTTGATTGATTTTGACTGCTGTGCCAGTCAGAGAGGAACGGCGTACATGTAAGGCCAAAAAAAAAATTCGGTCTCTGGTCAGACCAAAGTTCCGGAATTGATGCGGCGACGCGGGTTTTTTTTTTTTTTTGCTTTTTTTTTTCTTTTTTCAAGCTTGGATTGTACAGACAAGGTGGGTAATATTTTGCTTTTGTTGTGTCCTCATATACATTGGGGTCCTCCATAATTTGCCTTGGTGCCCTTCATCATTTGCCTTGGTGCAAGTTCCCCATTTCTTGGTACAAAAATTTAAGGAGGTGCAGCAATAGAGGGCGCTGCTGTAGCTACCACGGACAATTTGAAAAAAAAAGAAGGTTGACGCGCATGATTAAAATCGACACGAGCGCTGACCAGAGACCGACTAATTTTTTGGGGGGGCCTAATTCCAATTTTACAAATAACTCCAATTTACACTGATAACCCACAGTCTTGACCAGTTCAGTACAATGTACATAGAGGAATCAGGACAGCACTTTTCCCGTCTTGAATACGGTCAGATTTGACTTCAAGTAAAATTAAGACACTGGTCACTTACATTTCAAAATGTTGAACCATAAATCCTTTTTTATTTCACCTTGAATCCCAAAAAGATCAGACTGACTGGTAGGAGAGACAATGGCATTTGTATTCAATGCATCATTAATTCTTGGCGTTTGAGAGCACTTTTCAGATGAGTGACTTTTACAATTTAAACTGCATGTACATGTATTATCAATGTACATTGTGCTACTGCGTTCACTGCTGTATTACACAAGGTATACAATTGTTTGTATTTCATCTTTCCACACTTTGTTTCAATGGTATTCACTTTCTGACTGAATGCGTCTTTATTCCTCATGAATCCAACACTGTTCTGAAACCAAGCTAGGATATTAATTAAGCTAGAAAGAATGTTGCAACCTGACGCCAGCTTTTTTCTTCATATATCATCTCAATGAAGGTTAGTCATTGCAAAAATGATGATAAGACATGAATCTTATTTCTAATGACATAAGGCCAAAAAAATAATAGTTCGGTTTCTGATTATCCTACCTACCCTATTTTGACAGCCCCTACCCTAATTTCTGGGGGGAAATGAGGGAAAAAACCTGAAAATCATCAATTACTACCTTCTACCTTTGAAAGTTTGACTAAATGCAGACACCGCCATATAATAGTAAAAACAAACATTGCCAAAAAAATAATTTCCCTACCTACCTACCCTGTTTGCAAATGCCATGTAATCAGAAGCAGCACTCTTGGAAAGATTTCCATATAAGTTCACTAATTTTCCTCTGTATTGACTAACAAGCCCCAGATAGCAATTTCATGTCATCAAAGTCAATTTGAGCAGTGAGAAAATACAAGCATTTTCTTAGAAAACACTTAGAATTTTCCAGTCCAATCTCATAGGGTTTGTACACAGGGTGTTACTGTTGAGTGAACTTCGTATATGGAAATCTTTCCTGAACATGCACTCTGGTTCTAGTTCCTGTTGAGCATGTTGAGTAGGCAGGTACTGAGGTAGGTTACTAATTTCACGTTGAGATGACTCTAATTTCTAAATTTATTTGTACACACTACACAGCCAAAGAAGTGGCATCTGGATACTACATTTTTTCTTACACAAACCTAACCCCATAAATGATGTATATTTTTTGTGTAATTTTATGTTGGAATTTAGATTCGCTAGTAACGTGTGCAAAATGAACGTGGAAATTACACAAAATATAGACGTCTAGGAAGATTCCCATATCTGGCCATCACTTGTCACCCTGTGCACAAACCCTCTGAGACTGGTCTGAAAATGTCCAAGTGTTTTCTCAGTAACTACTTCAATATTTTCCCAGCCAATTTTGACTTGTTTTAATCATTTTCTAATGGATGATAAGTCACTGTCAACATGCTGAACATGATGAAACTAAAGGAAAATTAATGATGGCCAGATATGGGAATCTTTCCCATGTTCCAAGTGTGGCCTTTATTTACGGAGGTAGTCCAGTAAATAGGCCACATTTATGGGGCTAACACAAACCGACAAACCTAGTCCTACGCCTCTTTCTTAAGCACGATACCGCCCACTGGCGTAACGAGCGATCTGCGGCCGACCACAAATTCGCTGCCTTGTGGAGACTCACACACAATAGTGAACAAAACATTGTAAAGGTCTCCACAGGGCAATTTCTATAGATGAATAGGTCTCCACAAGGTTTTCACGAAATAGATATATGGGTTTTACTCAAAAACTAGGAATTTTCAAGGTATGTTTATTTGTCGCAAATGGAAGAGTTTTAGAAAAGGGATATTAATTCCAAATTTCAGCCCAGGAAACTTATTCTGGTTAAAATAAGAGCATTTTGAAAATTCACCTTCAAAATTGAACACTTTACTACACGGGAACAAAGAAATGTCTCCACAAGGATACAAATTTTGGAATGTGTGGCGCGGTGTGTGTGCCTGATGAGCCCGAGCCTAGCCGGCCTAGGCCGGCTGTGTCCGCTATTTGTACCACTACCGGTAAATAACGATTCTAAATAACACAGGGAAAAATCACACGGGAAGTGAATAAATGTATTATATTTTAACAACAATACATCTGTACTCGTTATACTCACACCTTGTCTTCTTCGCCTCTTCAAGAAAATGGGAGTTCCGCTTTAAAAAGGGAAGAAAACCACTAGCAGATTTTTGACGTTCAGCGAGTGAATACGTCGATAGATCCAGCACAGAAATTGCATCGTAGATGTGAATGACGTGGTGCGCATGTCCACGACATATGCACAATAGACAGAATCCAATTCTATTTTCCGTTCTGTAAAATTATATGAAGTCAGGGTAGCTGACGAAATAAGCTGACGTTGGAAATCACTGGCACTCTGTCGATTAACTTAGTAAATAGCATTATGTAATACGATTACCAACGCGAAAAATGCGCTTTTCGTTAGTTTTACTTTGGTTTTTAGAAACGATAGAGGTCGCTATTAACATTTAGCATCAAACTCTCATACATGAAAGCTAGATGAGCAATGTTTTGCGTTTCGTTTCTTTATGTTTTTCAAGTCGAATTTTTTACGTCAAATTTTATAATTTTCCTAGTTTTCTTACTCTACACAAAAACCTTGATAATATTTCCAACGGGTACCTGTTTAACATCAGAGTATGGAATATGTGAAGCCACGCCCCTCCCCAAAGTACAACCCCGCCTTGTGCGTCCCTGTAAAGTTTCTCAAGTGTGCAACTTTTATCCAATGCGCGTGTACCTTGCATCTAGCGTTCTAGGAGAGCACCACTCAAATCTTAAGGCACAAACGTAACCCCAAGGATATTCAGGTTTTCTCAAAATACCTTGACTCCTAAACGAACTCAGCAGGATTTTTTTCTTCAGAACAAAACTGGGGGAAGCCCTTCGGTTGGGGGGGGGGGGGGGGTTGCGAGTCTTTTTCCCATCCCCGCGATTTAATACAATATATACACCCTAGCCCTGCAGGTATTCCTTGTTCGGTTCAATGGTTCAGTAGTTCCCAGTGTTCCACTTTAGTGGACACACTCTCACGCATGCGCAAAACAAACCAAAACGTAAAAGCCACTCCTTAACTGTGATTCTCACGGAGCATGACAAACGTCTCACGACCTCAAGTAACCTCAATGGGTTATCTTTGCGCAGAGGCGATATCGTAACCAATGAGGTCCATCCGAGGTGCGATTATTGCTAGTTGAAAACTTATCCCAATACCCCGCAATGACGACGTGAAATACCGTCGGCTTATGCAATTTTTGATGGTCTCTAAGGAGACCCAATAATTAAAACAAAAAATAGGTGGAAGTGATATAACTCATTGATACATCGGGCGAGGGAGGCACAACCCCCTCCCCACCTTATGCCCGCTCTCTCCAGAGTTTCGAATATGTTCTAAACTTCTATAGGGGTTAATGCCATTTTGGGTACCCCTTAACAATCCCCAATTTGCACCCCCAAGAATTCAATTGTGAGCTAATTACAAATGAGACATACTTGTAGTTATACATAACTTCGATACCTGATATGAAATATAAATAGCAAACAAATTTAGCTTTAACTTTTTCGATAATTTAATGACAGTATAGCACCTGTATCAAATATAGGAGACGGACAACTTGTCTGTAAACTTTTAATTTTTTTTATTCAAATACATCTTCAGAGCAATCAAATTCAAACAAACATTAGGCGATAAGGTTTTAATGAACACATTTATATTTCAGTATTGTTTTGTCTCAAAACAACAATTGATCCATCAGATTCTCTGGTAACAGACAGACCAAGTTCATATTATGATAAAATTAGTATTTGATGAAATGTTTGTCATTTTCACATTTAAAAATTTTGATATTTTTGTCTCACTATACTTCACCACTTCTGATATCTGCACAAATATGAGGATGAAACAGAAGAAATATAACTATATTTACATTGTTATTTGCATATTTCTCATCCAAAACAATGAATTAAAAAGCTAGCCATTCAAGAGAATACATAAAAATCACTGACCTATCAGAAACTATTTCAGATAATTGGCAAGAGCATTTTGGCATGGCATTCATGTTTCAGTTTGAATTACTCAAGTTGGGTTACGTCACCATGTGACAACATGGATGTCATTAAACTGCCTCCCAGAATGTTCTCCTCCAAAGATGACGATGCTGCTCTCCCCGATCCTCGCCGCTGTGTGCCCCGCCCTCCTCGGCCACTCCCCTTTCATCTCGGGCACCAGCCACGCCCCATTCCGTCCATCGTGGAGGTAAAGTTCGTTGACCCCATCCAGCAAACCCCTGACGGACTTCCCTTGGATGAAACCTCCATAGATGGCAACAACGCCATGGACATCCACAGCGCTGTGGTAACTTCGCCCTGGGGGTACTTCGACCCTTTTCCCATTTTTCAGCACTTCTTCAGGAAAACTCGAAGAATACACTGGTGCCAAGGGGTGCTCTACCTTGCAAACAATGTGCTCAGTCTCATGTCTTTGCCTTCCTCCGTACACAAAAGCATATCTTGTTGATACGCTTGGAACAAAAGTTAAACTGTGCCCGGCTCGGGATATTGTGCTTCCTGGGAAAGTGGACCACTTGAGCGTCCGAGTGTCTAGGTAGTCGATGTTGCATCCATATTTGGCATGAGTTCCTGTCTCTCCTCGGCCCACTACGAGGATCGTGTGGTCATCGAGGACAGTTGATGCATGACTGGAGTGGGTATCTACGGCTGACATTATGGGCGTGCAGTCTGTCCACTGCCACGTAGCTAGATCCAGACTGTGAAGGAAATTGCATCGCCTCTTGCCTGTTGCATAAAATAAGTGAACAAAAAATTATGTCATGAAATTCACACAACTTTATTTAAAACTATGTTATTTTAAGGCAATTTGCAGTTTTAGTGTGTGCCATCTGTTTCATGAAAATTGTCATGAGAATAAAAGAGGGACAATTACAAATCTTTGCATTTAGCGGTTTTCCCTAATTTAAAGTGTTTTTATTCTTTTGGTTCTAAAATGTTCAAAAGACTGGTTGGAAAGAATTTTGCATCCACTTTTTTTCATCATACAATGAAGGTCAGTCATTGCAAAAACTTTGAAAAGACCTTGGACTTAGAAACATTTAGAATTTTGTTGGAAAATTCTTCAAAAATACACTCGACTCTCCATGTCCGTAGACTTTGTACACAACCAAAAAAAGTGGCGTCTGAATACTAGTTTTTACGAAATTCTTTCCGATTGGTATTCTTAATCATGCTAATGTTGTTCTCATTTTTTGCACCTGTCCAGCCTCCAAAAATCCACAGTTTTCCTTGTATAACATCCATCGAATGATGGCACCTCGGTCCAGGCCCTTCCCCCGATGTCTCGGGTTGTGACCAGGTCATTCCCACCGTGTCCAACACCCAAAAGTCGCCCAGGCATTTGTCGTACTTGCTGTCGCCGTTTCCTCCGTGGACGAAAAACTTGCCGTCCCAAAACGCGCTTGCGTGGTTCGTTCGGGACGGGAGAACAACACCTGAAATATCTACCTTGGTGCACTGCAGTACCATCTCTGATTTTGGAGATTTAGTGCTTTAGGTCTAATATTGATCGAATAATCTTTTCATGGTTTCGACTTCGACATCCACTTTCCGTTTGTTGTTGTTTACATGTCGCCAGTGCTGAGGAGTCTAGTTCCTTGCCCCACGAAAGTTGATGTGGAAATCAGTACTAGAGTTATGACCATTGATCTCCATATGGAGATCAATGGTTATGACGATGCCACCTGTCTATTCACCGTCAACTATTGGGGGCGCTCGTTACAATTATCTGACATCTAGATTCTTTCGGATTCAGTTGGTTCGCTTTCGCAAAAGTAGCCTTGAAATAGCTTTTCCCCTTTTTGAGAAATCGAACAATAGTTGAGGGAAATTGTAAGGGTTTAAGAAGTGGCGTAAATCTGTGCCTGGAATCTACGGCCGAGGAAATACAAGGCTAAAAGCGCAGGGCCAGTGGGGGGGGGGGGGGGGGGGGGGGGGGGGGGGGGGGGGGCTGGACACAACCAGGGCCCGGGGGTGCTGTCCATGATACAAATTGAACAGTAATACAAATTTAGCTTAAATTTAGATATGTGCGTCTTATGTATTACATACGCGCCAGCTTTTGTATGTATACATTGTTTCTCTGTTTTTCAATGCTATTTAGACTAGTTGTGAAGTTCGCCGAAAAAAATACCTCAAAATTCGCCTTTTTTGTTTCTCACCACAATACGTAAGTGGGGGGAGGGGTGTGATCCAATAGCCCACCCGGGTCAAAAAGTTTGAGTGTGTGGGGGAGGGGAAATTATGTACGCACCTGGTTAACAAAAGGATAAGGGCCGGATCGTTCGTCGAACCGTGAATGTGACCACCTAAGGCCAAAAAAATATATATATATTCGGTCTCTGGTCAGACCAAAGTTCCGGAATTGACACGGGGACGCGGTGGGGTTTTTGTTTTTTTTGGCTTTTTTTCTTCTTCTTCAAGCTTGGATTGTACAGACATGGTGGGGTACTATTTTGCTTTTTTTTGGTGTCCTCATGTACACTGGTGTCCTCCACTGGTGTCGATCATTTGCCTTGGTGCAATTTCCCATTCCTTGGTGCTCTTTGGTAAAAACAAAATTGAGGAGGAGCGGCAATAGAGGGCGCTGTTGGAGCTACCGCGGAACATTTTGGGGAAAAAAAGATTGACGCGCATGATTAAAATCGACGCGCGCGCTGACCAGAGACCGACTTATTAATTTTTTTTTGCCCTAAAAGTTTATCAATATTTTCCTACCGCCATGGTCGGTATTCATTACAACAAAATATAAACAGTGACAAAGCTAAATTTGTGTTATTCTTTTTGTCTTTTACTATTTATTGCAATCTACACTACCCTTTATTGTCATAGCTGTTGCTCAATTTTCACATTATGTAGCATATTCAAGTAGAAAGCAAATTTCCAACTTTACAAAGATAACCGTATTTGGCTTACATATTTACCGATGCCTTTTAAAATGAAATATTTTTTACTGTAATGGATAAAGTTGCACTTTCTAACTATAACATCACGAAATATATAGCCATGCAATGTTTTATTGTGCAAAATTCAGCCTCAATGTAAGAATAAATGTTTATACATCATTTTACATTATACTTTGCTTTTGTTTTTATTCTAAAAATGAAACAATGATTATGTCCCAGACTCAATGCAAAGTTCAAAAAGGTGTTTGTTTACGCTTCGCCAAGTAAGCCGCCATTTTTTTGTCGGCAGCTAGTCGGGCACGTAGTGCCTTCAGCTTTGGGTACTTGGCCACGAAGTTCGGCTCGTCCTTGAAAGGCATCCAATCGATGTCCGCGAAGAACATGACGTCTGCCAGAGAGATCTGGAATCAAGTTGAGGTAAATTGATTTGTTATATCAGTTCACGGGGGAAATAGATTAAATGATATTAAAGACAAACCCCGCCATGCTCTTTAAAAAATGATATTTTTTCTTTCCTAACGATTTTCATTTGTATGCTTTGTTTTTAACGTTAAACAAATTCATACAATGGTAATTAGCTCTAATAGCCTCGGTTTCAGTTCTAATAAAATCCCATACCTTGTCACCGACAAAGAATCCATCTCCTCCTTTGTTCTTCTTTAGTTGTTCCTCGAGTTTGGCCAGTATTGGGGGCGATGTCTCACCGATGAACTTCTTAACGTTTGCAGCCTAAAAACAGTTGTTGTTTTTTTGAGAAAAAAAACCACGAGCTTGTGAAAGAACTTCGGCAGCTGAATTTAACTTTTTGACACGTTTGGTATGTGGCATGCAGCAAACACACCGATCCTTTTGTATTTATACGTCGTTTTAACCATGTTGTAAACATGGAACCTTTAATTTTGAGATTAAAATAATAAAGTCACTATTTTGAAAATATGTTGCGATAAACGTGATATGTAAACTATTTTTTCAACAAAAATTATCTCAGTTGTTAGAGCGCCCCCTTTCGGTCAAAATTGGCCTATTCTGTCTTTGGAGTATATTTCCCTTCCTCCATGGTATATAATGAATATTTATAATTAAAGCAAATCCTCATAAGAAAATTATCAAAAACAAAGCTCCCGACAAATGAAAATGCTATGATCTAGAGGAAAGTTTACCTTGACGGCTTCGTCTTTCTCAAACAAGATTGTTTCCGCAAAAGGCTTCTTGAGGTCAAACATGAGCTCTCCGACTACGTCGATGAGGGCGCTCTCCCAGTTACTGGCACCGTACAGCTCTGGAGAACGACAGCCATACAACAACAACAAAAAGAGCAAAAGGGATAAAAGAGTGTCATGTGACAGTTTGGGTGAGAAAAATGGCAGGGGGGAGGTGGATGGTGCGCTATAGGCCCCTTATTGTAAAAATAAAACACATCTTCTACAAATGAAATTCCGCTGTAAAGCTTCTTGAGAACTTGTTAAAAAGTCGGAAGCATCTGCTTTAAATAATAATTCATTGCCACAATTTGCATTATTATTATTCATCTTCTACTCAGAGTTTTAATAATCATGTCACCAAAACCAACAAGAATCAAACTATAACTTACTCAACTCTCTTGCAACATAGTACAAAATTGCTCTGGTCTGGGGTAGTACTTTGCCATCGGTCTCCAACATTGGCATTTGGCCGAATGGTGTCTCTGTCGAAAAAAATACATACCGATACAGTTGCATCTGTGAATTGCTATAAATAATATGAATTGTTAATTTGACATTAATCCAATTAAATTGAATAGAGATAGTTAGTTTTGCCATAGGTACAGGTCATTTTGTTTTTGCCTATACATAAATTTTGCGTTACCAGAAAAAAAATGTCCTTTCACTTTACACCAATCATACAATGCTCTCCACAGGAAATACGAGGCTCTGATTTCTTTTTAAACTCCGAAGTGATTCCTGAACATAAAAATATGGATACTGAATTAACTCTTTACTTCTTATACAAGAATGCCTACTTTTCGTACATGTGTATTTTCTAGCCCAACTTGCATACTACATAATCAATGGACGTATTGGTAGCCGAGATCATACATAACCTTTCAGTTTCACGACTCTTCTAGGTCAACCGTCCTTAAGCTTAAATTTGGTCAACTTATATCATTCAAAAGCGACTATATGATGCCTTTTGGAAATTAATATGCAGGCAACGCATATTATTATCATTAGCAGAAGAAAGTCTGGTATTTGTTGTCATGCATGTTGTTTAGTGTATCCATCGAGGTAGGAATATAGCACACTGTTGTTGACACTCCTCCAACTGCACGATTACAAGTCGTATCTAGTAATTGTCGAGTCATTGGTCATTTTCCATTATTGGCTTCCACTCGCCGTACAGTGTTTGCAAGTAAGCTCAGCGATTACATAATCGATTGTTGACCCAACTCCAGTACTATTGATGGACAAAAAGCAGAATCAATGGTTCCCGGAATGACACAGCAAAAAAAAAAAGAACCTGCTTACAAAACACTGGACCCAATTTACTTGGTGGAGAAGCCAAAGAAATGCAACTGCGTGACTTCCCCGATTACCGATTCAACTTAAAAGTCCATGTTTGACGACAAACCCTGCGGAACATCCATACTGGAATTTGTATCCTTGTGGAGTCATTTCTTTGCTCTGGTGTACTAAAGTTTTCGAGTTTGAAAGTGTGGTTTCAAAATGCTCATATTTTAACCAGCATTAATTTCCTGGGCTGAAATTCGAACTTAATATCCCTTACATAAAATACTTCAATTTGCGACGAATCAACACCTTGGAAATTCCTGGTTTTCGAGTAAAATCCAAATATCTATTTCGTGATAAAAAAAAACCTTGCGGAGACGTTTTCACCTATAGAAATTGCTCTGTGAAGACGTTTACAATCTTTTGTTCCCTATTATTATACCCATGTCTCATCCACAAGGCACCGTGTAACAGGTCGTCTTGTTGATGCGTGTACGTGTCTGTGTTCACACACGCGTACAAAAGATGGTTGACAGATGACACTATTGAAAATATCAATCGAAATAAAATTCCATCATAACTTAAAGGTTTTCTTTTATTTTGACATTTTTTTGGAATAAAATGACTGGAAATATGTTACTGTACCTTAATTGTGTCCTCTAAAACTACCGCTCTGTGAATTATGAAAACGTTTATCTCCTTTAAAAAAATAGTTAGAACACTGCTCAAATTCTACTGAAGTGTGTTATCTTACTAAATATTCTAAAGAAAAAAAGGTAATTATTGAGAACTCCTTAATTGTTTACCAAATGACAGGTCTAGTTTTGAATTTCTTTCATGTTTTAAGTGTTACTTACTCGCTTTCATGGCAGGCCAGTCCGCCGACTGTACCCGCACATCCTCAAACGGGACCCCGGCAACTGTGAAGAGCATTCTGATTGGCTCTGCGCGGCCACGAAGGTCGAAGTAGGTGAGTTTGTAAGAAGGCATCGTGATTGTGGCGATTCTCAAAAATTGCACTAGAAACAAAATTAGATGGACCAGCTCTCTCGCTCACCGCTGAAGTTGAAGTGAGTTCACCAGAACATCGGCCCCTGTTTTTATTTTACTAATTTTATTACGTAATACCTTGTCTAGTCTCTCTTGTCTGTAGGCTTATCACTCCTTTAATATGTATAATGTCCCATAGACATATGCCGTATAGTGTATTGTTACTGAATTACACATTGCTATGAATTATGCATGAGCTAACCTGGGTAACATGAGTTGGCGAATTTGGGGCTTTAGATATTTTGCCAAGTCATTGTAGGATTCGAAGGAAAAAAAGTTTTCCACAAATATTCCAATCACGTGAAGAAACTCGGCTGTGAAGATCGTGTACCTTTTTTTTCCTAAATGTCATGGATCGTCAAAGTATTTTTATTTTCAAACAAATTTTCATTTTTAAACAAGTTATCTATACCTGGGTAAAACGAGTTGGCAAAACGGGGCTTAGATATTTTGTCAAGTCGTTGGAGGAGTCGAAGGAAAGTTTTCGTCTCCGCAAAGATTCCCATCACGTGAAGGAACTCGGCTTTGAAGATGGTGAACCTTTTGCTAAATGTCATGGAGCGTCATTTTATTTTATTTTTCAAACGAATAAACACCTCTCTCATCTGACAACGCAAATTTACGCCCTCAGGCCTGTATTGGAAAATATCGCCCTAGATAAAGTCACGGCGCAGTCGTAGATAGTAAAATTATTATAATAATACCTTTTTAAAAGTTTCATTCCTCTGTAATAGTTACAGTGATGGGGGATGCAATGAGGACAGATTGTAGACGTGCAGACATCATAAAATACACAATTGGAGACTTTTGTAGTGTGGATGTAAAACTTGATTTTACTTGACTTTTTATGCAACAATATTATCATAAATGTCTTACTCAATTTCCCCATGTGATGCTTATTGCAATTGCTAGCATTACCCTCCACTTTCGTCTGTTTCTGTAACCCCTGCCTCTCCCTAGCTTAATACTGCATTGTCGTCTAAAAATGTCAATATTTGATACCAAAAAGTGGCCTTCCATTTAAGCTGTATTCCCATGGACCAATTTCAAATATAGCTTAGCAGAAAACATGTTACAAATTTACAAGCATGAAGAACCAATGTCTATTCCAATATACATCTAATGACATTTTGGTCAGCAAGCTGCTTGTGGTATAAGCGACATTTGTCAATGCTTAACATCTTCATGAGATGGGACACTGAAAACTGACAATTACATTTCAGTGACTTTGCGCTTGGCCAAGTAGGGCGCCAGTTTCTCGCTAGCAGCCACGCGGGCCTGCCACGCCTTCAGCTTAGGGTACTTGTCCAGCGCTGCAGCGTCATACTGCACGACATACTCGAATGAGTTGAAGACTTGGATGTCGGCTAAGCTGATCTGCAATACAAAACAAATATGATGAACAAACACGAGTTGGACAAAGATCAAATGATGAATATGCATTAATAATGCGTTCGTTGCTATTGGTTCCCATTAATGATTCCGAGTTGTGATGAAGATCAAATGATGAATATGCATTAATAATACGTTCGTTGCTATTGGTTCCCATTAATGATTCCGAGTTGTGATAAAGATCAAAATGATGAATATGCAATAATAATGCGTTCGTTGCTATTGGTTCCCATTAATGATTCCGAGTTGTGATGAAGATCAAATGATGAATATGCATTAATAATACGTTCGTTGCTATTGGTTCCCATTAATGATTCCGAGTTGCGATTCCGTCCTGTATAGACTAAAAATCCACCTTTTTCATCGCCTTCAAAAGTTCAGGTTCCAAAAATTGATTCAAGCTTCTGGGTGAAATAAATATCAGCAATGACTGCCAACAACACAACACTCACATTGCTTCATGACCTATATTTGTGTTCTTAAAATAACCCGTGACACAATCATGGAAGATCCACAAAGCATTTTGCTGGTCTGCAAAGTGTTGCTAGGAATATGTTCTGGGTCGGTGGTTCTTTTAAAAAAAAATACCGAAGTTGGGAAATCATCTTATGGAAGCCACACCCACCTTGTCACCGACGAAGAAACCGTCTCCTCCTTTGTTCTTCTTGAGGGCCCCCTCCAGCCTCTCAAGACCCACAGGCAGCGCTTCGTCGAACTTCGTTTTAAATTCAGCCTGGGAAAGAATAAGACAAATGGGGTCAAGTTTAAAAGGAAAATATACATGAACCATAAGGAAGACTTGCAAGTAAGAATACTTCGCAAGGTTGCGTTTTAGCACTTTGTTCCAATTCAGTTGGAGGTGGGACAATTTTCAATTTACTTTCCCAAAGAAACGTCAGGCCCTGCACGAGGTAGTAAGAGGAATTGTTAATGACCCAGGTCAAATTTGTTTCACCGCGCAACTGATACGCGGTGTAGTTAATGGTAAATGTTATTTCTCCATGAATTTTCGTAGGTCTCTATACAATATACCCACCTTTTTTGCTTCGTCTTTTTCGAACCGGTATGAGCTGAATTGTTTCATCATGTCAGACAGGAGCTCGCCGACCATGTCGATGGCGGCACTCTCCCAGTTGTCGGCACCGTACAGCTCTGAGAGACGCAATTAAAACAAATCACATTTTTTTCAAATTGATTTTAATTTTGATCTTCGCGGTCGAACTTTGCATGGAAAATATTTTTAAAAAAATCAACTGTTTTATTGTTATCCAAGCATGATCTAAAGTTGTTGCTCCAACGGTTGTCGGCTGCAACTTTATTCTTTAATCAATACACGATCCTTGCTTAACACGTACTTTGTGATTGAAACAAAAGAACAATTACTGATCTTTCAAAACTTACTGAATTCTCTTGCGAGGTAGTAGTAGATGGCCTTAGACTGGGCAAGCATTTTACCGTCCACTTCGAGCAGGGGGAGCTGGCCGTAAGGTGTCGCTGTTCAACAACAAAAGACAAATCAATATCTCCAAATAAAGTCAGTATATTCGGCTGGAAAACGCGGCCTTTTAATTACCCTAAGTATCGAAACACAGTGAACATGTTCATTTTGAAGTATTTATCTATAAAACAAAAATCACTTGAAGTTTTATTCCCATTACAACATTATTACAATGATGCACAATGTTGCGTTGGGTTTCCATGGAAGCAAAGTTGGGCTCCAATATTGGCGAGAAGACTTTTTACTAATTGGTATATAAGGGGTATATAATTATATGTCAACAATACAAGCACAAGTTGCATTAAGCGTCTACCGTTAGTTCTGGAAAGTTCCACGAGCCACGTATGATTACGTAATCGCTTGTTGACTCGGACAAGCCGCTGGAGATAATACATTTAACATTATGAATGAAGGGAGACGTGTTTCTTAAATCCACAGAGGTATGCGTTAATCCTATGAGCAAGGCCAACCCTACAATTTTACAATTGTATTGAATATCAATCCATTCCATTGCAATGTAGTAGGCAAAACGGGTTGCATTGCCTTTTTATAGCATTTTTGGAGGGGTATACTTTCGATGATCTTTTGGTGATCGTCAACTTTCTATCTATTCAATGGGAGCGTAGAATTTCTGAGTGTCTGCACTATACGACCATACGACTGAGTTGGAAGCTTAGTGCAAGGGTTGGACTTCCAATAACCCCGCAATGCCATGGTTTTAACGCCGTCTCATCTCAAATCATTCGCGGTATTCTCTACGTACGTCAACATTCTAAAGTTTTGGGTGCAACAGGAAAAAAATATGAAAGATACGACGCAATATGATATAATATAGGGTTAATGACTTCAGGGTGAATCCAAAAAGTTTCCACGGCTGGGGTTATTACACTACCCATCAGCCTCACGTTTTGATGATACTTTTCAAAGAAAACTGAGCCTTACTTGGTTTGACTGCTGGCCATGTTTCTGATGTTAGCCGGACATCCTCGAATTTCTCTCCAGCGAGCACGAACAGCATGCGTGCCGTCTCGGCAAGGCCGCGGATGTCGAAGTAGGTGAGTTTGTAAGACGGCATGATGACGAGCGGATGCGAGCTCCCGAGTGATGGACCGTGCTGGACGTTGATCTCAAGATGAAATGTCTTACAATGCTCCTTGCTCTACGGCACAGTGTACGACTGTTCACCCGATATAATCCACGTTTCGTTTGTTACGTAACTTTCTGTGTAGTAAAAGGACTCTATTTGTCATCCTCTCACAACGCCCACTCGCACAAAGTGCACCATACGTCTAATGAGCCCGGCTCAGTATTAGGGCCAACATGATGCTTGACATGGTACCAACGTAGAGCAAATATTTATTTTACAAAGTCGAAAGGGTTTAACCGGTTTGGGTTTGATTAAGCCACGTTGGCAGCGCAGGTTAGCGCATATATTAGATTGTGTAGTCATTTTAATCACACTGTCTGAAAAAGGGACCACACACCCTGCCCGCGAGCAAGGTAGGCCCTACTACCTTTCGCCACAAAACTCAGTGAAATATCTATTCCCGAGTAACTCCATGGTCTATGGTTCATGTTAGGCCAACAAAAGTGCCCCTCTCGCGGTTATAAATAGGCCCCCTCGAGATGAAAACAAACTGCCCTTGAAATGCACACGTATGAAAGCATATGATCGCGCCACCGGCGCTATAAAATTGTCTCCATCGTGTAATGCAAAACTGCCCCTCAAAACACAAGTACCCCTCCCGCAATAACAAAATTGTGCCCCTCTCGTGATTGGAAATTGGCCAGCAAAAACAATAGTGCTCCTCTCGCGATAACTTCTCGAGATGGAAAACTGTCCCTCGAAAGCACAATTATCTATAGTTAAAATTGTGCCCCCTCTCAAGAGGGAAAACTGGCCCCTAGGCCTATATAATAGTAGTGCTCTTCACGCAAATAAAATGGTCAAAAGCAGCATTCCCCTATCGCGATAAAAAAGGTCTAATGACTTCATAAGTAGGTAAAAGAAACACAAAGACCAAGGACGACGTATTCATAATTTGTTCCAGGTCATACAGGTTTATAGCGAAATGAACGCGACCATTATTATTCTCCTCCACTTTCACACAGACGGAAGGTGCCCCTTTCTCTGAGCAAGTGCCCCTTTTTGGTGTCCCCCCCCCCCTTCCCAGTTTGAAAGCGTTCCGCCACCCCTAATAACAGTGCTCCATGAGTCATACGGCGCCCCAAGTGACAGCGTGCATGGAATATACTGAAAATCACGATACTGGCATTTAACTCTTTACATAAAACATGCCCTTCATCACATGATGAAATATTAAATACCCTTCACTAGAAGGGGGACTTTTCTTGTGCGTGGTATCCACGCGACGAAATAACATTTCCAACGCACTAATTTGTACATTTGCAAACATGTTTTTTTTCCCCGGATTATTCAACAGAAAACACAATCAATCAAAAGTAAGCTATCATCTCAGTTTTAATATAAATCCTTTTCATGCGAGTTCAAAAAAGTAACGTAATTCTCAGTCTGCTTACGTGATCATAACACCGGAGAAATGTATGCAATGAAATACCTTTGAAATACACATTAACTAAATTAACTAATTATAAAACGATGAGTTTTCCATCTTAAATCTTTCTTAAATATTTACATGAATAAAAGCAGAAGAATAACGAAAAGTCCATCTACCTCATCAGGAGGCAAAATAAATTCTACAAATTACACTTATCTAGATTGTCGCTTTTTGAAATCTGTAATCAGACCTACATGCAAAGTTTGTTGAATACGACGATGAATATCTGAAATCTTCAGTATTAAAATATAGCTCTAACAAAGAACGATCTATAGGCACCATGAATTCATGAAAAGCCTTGTTTTATTTAATTTTCAAAATTAGTTGCGCACATTGAGATCAACACATGAAGTTTCATCTTCCCAATCTGCAAACATTAAACCTTTGGGTTGTTTTGTAATCAAAATGATTAAAAGTTGGCAAATTGTTATTAAATTACCTGACGTAATCAAGTCTACAATTGTGTTTAAACTTTACGAAACTGCAGTCTAGGTTCATAAGGCAAAAAAAAAGTCTCCGGTTTCTGGTATGCGCACGCGTCGCCGTAGCCATGCGCGTCGGCAAAATGAAAAAGGTTTTTTTTTTTCAATGAAAGATGATGTCTCAAAACCGCCAAACTCACTGGTTTGACTGGAATCCTGCTGCTGCACAATTTTAACGTGTTTTTAGATTGGGTTATGGTCGAGAATAAGCTTTATGTGGCCTCTCTCGACTCCCATATATTTGCACTAAGTTTAGTCGGGCACCATTTGCAGTCATCAGCCGAAATTTGAAGCAAAAAAAATCAGCTAAAAAAAAAAAAAAACCCGCGTCGCCGCACCACTTTTTGGGCAAGCTCCATACCAGAAACCGGAGACTTTTTGGGGGGGCCTAAAAGATGGTTGTGCAAGTCATTGAAGTTACATCTAGCGATGGCTATGGAAAGCCAGAGCCGTACAAAAATGGCTAAAAAAGCAGCTGAAGATATTAAATCAGGGCATATGTTGATACATTAACCATCTGTAGGATAAATTAATAAGATAATACACCTGTATTAAACTGGATTAACAAAAAGAAGTATATTTCAGGAGTGATTTCCTGCAAATAAAATAAGAATATGCAAGCTGATTTACAAATTTCAATTACAAGTCTTTACAGAATTTGTAAAAATATATTTCAAGTATTGAACTCTAATCATTTGAGCAGAAATGAATACACTTGATCTTCATGAAGAAATCTCTGTAAAATACCTTTCTTTCAAACAGTTTGAATTGACTTATTGCTATTCACAATGTCCAAACTCAAGATATACATCACAAGACAAGTGGCGTAATAACTGGGTCCAATTTGCAGGGGGTGGTGCGCTGAGGGTAGGTTACCCGTTGTGCCCTCTCCATATGCAATGTCTGATATATCTCAGCATTAAAAAAATGCAAATTTTATGCGACCCTGCATGCCAGCAAGGGCGGATCCAGAACACAATTTTTAATTAATTTTTTTTTTGGGGGGGGGGGAATTATTTGGTCCCCCAAAACGTGGGTCCAAAAAATTATGGCGTGGGGTTCAGGGCCCGCTCAACCAAAAAAATTTTTTTGATTCTAAATGCTCTGCGGTGTGATATGAGGCAATTAAATTTTCTGACCACTTTAACCAAATTGGGGGGGGGGGGGGGGGGATGGATCCCGTTGCCCCCCCCCCCCCGGGAAACGCCCTTGCGCGCCAGTCAATCAGAATCACGTGGACGTCATTTCGATCAGAAATTTGGCCGCTAAGCTGTTGATTGGTTAATATGGCTGACATGTTTTTGTAAAACAACAATGGGTTACATAAGACCCGATACAAGGTGCCCACTGAATGGTCAGAATCTCGAGGTCATGACGCGGTCCTGTTTTGCAAAATTAATCGCCGAATCTGCTCGCATATATCATAGACCTTTGCTGTGCAAGGGGATATTCCACAGAATACACTTGGAGAGGCCTCATTTAACTTGGGATGGAGGCCTTCAAACTATGGAAGCTCTCTTTTGCATCCTCAAAATTCTGAAAGGGATCACAAGGGAGTGGCCCCTGGAACCCCTCCCCCTTTTTTTCACCTCATTACACAAACGAGCATCATCATCACCGCTATACTATAAAGCACAAAAAGTAGGTGTGTATGTGTTCACAAATGGACCTATCCAGTAAGCTCCACCCCTTGGTATTCTGACCAATCACAGCCGCGATTTATGTATGACGTGCGAGCACAAAAGTCCGACATGCGTGCACGTGCGTATGATGCGCGCGGCAGGAAAATGCAGAGTGGCATTGGAGAGGAGCACGTGTTAATTTGCCCACGTGCGCAGTGGGCGGGGCTTACTGGATCGGTCCATTGTTCACGAGTTGTTCACGAAAAGTAGCCGTGGCAAAGCCTGGTAGCCGTGTTATCAAATAATCAAGCAATGTAATTGTTATCAGTCCAATAGCGGTAAAGTCACCAGTGTGGAATTATCAAATAATCAAGCAAGGTAATTGTTATCAGTCCAATAGTCCAGTATGGAAACAAGAAGTGACAAAGCACAGCCGTTGTCGCAAATCTTTTGATTGCCTACATTTGAGACTAGACTTTGCCAAACAACTCTGGCATCAAGTCCACGTTTCAAAAGTCCATTAACCCATTCAGTTCCATTCGAAAAATTACAAACTCTTAGTTGATAATGTGTACACGTTCACATATCGCGAGGTATCTGTACTGCTAGCTGGAGAAACGCCGACTTGAATCAGGACAAGTTTTCTGATATTTTACATCTAGTTTAAGTACAAAAATAACAGAAAAGACTGGCCTTAATGGTCACATAAACCGCACCAATTTGTGGTAGATCTAACCTGTCCTCACAGATCAGGAACACACTTTCAATGATATTTTGGAACCAAGATCCCTCAAAACATTCTTTAGAATCTTTTTTACTTTTCATCTAACTTCATATTAGGCGAAGTAAAAAAAAAAACATGTTTAGCGTCCCCGCCCGCTTCCTTTTTAGAGGCCGCCTCCTTTTTTTTTTTTTTTTTTTTTTTTTTTTTAAAGACAAAAATTGATAAATTTTAACGATCTCTGACGAAAGAAATCGTATTTTTAGACTTTTATACCGTGTATAAAGCTGTGGAAATAGTCAATGAGTCCAAGTGGCGGCCATTTTGAAAAAAGCTGGTAACCATCTTGAAAAATAGCCCGGCCGCGTTGTCTTGAAAAATGTGTCGGGCGGCCATTTTGGAAAAAAAAAAAAAAAAAAAAAGGGCCTCCTCCTTCCTTTTTGTCAAAGAGGCAGGACGCGTAACATGTTTTTTTTTTATTTTGCCTTATATGTTACAGTCCATCTTAACTATCAACTGAAAAGCACTTACCAGCTAAAGGAATACAGAAAAACCCACATCGTGTTTATGATACTGCTTCACATCTGAAAAAAATGTAACTTTTTAGAAATCATGTGGATTGTTCTACTGTGTGTCTCGCTGAATTTTGTCTTAAGTTTGTATCACACATTGAATTTGAGCCTGATGTGTTTCACTACCAGCGCGAGTCGGCTAATATCCAACTAGGCTTATACAGAAATGCTTACAGATGATGTGACCTTATTCGCTTATCAGCAAAACTGATGCAAAAGGGGTTTCTGTATTGTTGTACTACAGGGCGGTGCAAAAAGAAGGAAACCCACTTTTTGACAGCAATTTTCACTTACTTGTTGAGCATATTTCAAAATTCAATTCAATGGTATTAACATATTATCTTTAAACATAAGTGACGAAAAAAATGATTGCAAATGCATATTTTGTCTCTTGAGATATGGTAGTTTAAAAATGTCATGTGCCAAACCTATTTGTCCACGGACGGCTTTATTCCATCCGCTCAACTGAGCTCCAGAGCTCCATTGAAGACAAAAACACTACACTGAACTTAAACTTGGACAACAGTGAGTTTGGTGACTTGTATTCAAATTAGCATAATAACACTATTCTTGCGATTGTATGGTTGAAGAGCTATACTTCACTAGATTATAAAAAAAAAACAGTTCAAATAAGTTAAGTAGGTAGGTTAAAATTCCTGTCAAAAGTGGGTTTCCTTCTTTTTGCACCACCCTGTACATAGTAAAGCAATACTTATGTATCAGAATTAACAGTGACGCACAAGGCGAACACGTCCGATACTTTTGTCCAAAAAATGTTGGCATAGCACAACCACAACACAGTTTTGTCAACAAACGTCACATCATCTGTAATTGATAATTATTCAGTGAGTGATTTCTCTAATGAATACAACCAGTTTTAGGAGTTGTTGGGCGGGCACCTCGACGTCCCATCTTAGAATTCCGTCTTTGGGCGGACCTCTAGCCACTTGGCGATGTTCGGTCGTTCCATGACCCGATTGCGGTGAGCGACCAAGGTCGGGAAGTCGTCCAAGGCTTTTTCATTGGCATGCAGGTACCAGTCTCCGCCAATCAGCATGCAGAAATCCGCCAAGGATATCTGAAAAAAAACAACATAGGTTAGGCCAAAACAAAAAAATAGTCGGTCTCTGGTCAGACCGAAGTTCCGGAATCCATGTGGCGACGCGGTGTGTGTGTGTTTTTTTGTTGGTTGCCTTTATTTTTCAAGCTTGTATTGTACAGACAAAGTGGGTACTATTTTGCTTTTTTGTGTCCTCATTATACATTGGTGTCCTCCATAATTTGCCTTGGTGCCCTTTATCATTTGCTTTGGTGCAATTTTCCCATTCCTTGGTGCTCCTTGGTACAAACATTTGAGGAGGCGCGGCAATAGAGGGTTGTAGCTTCCGTGTTAAATTGAAGAAAAAAAAAAGGTTGACGCGCATGATTAAAATCAACGCGCGCCCTGACCAGAGACCGAGTATTTTTTTTTTGGCCTTAAACATTAAAGGTGGGTGAAGATTTTATTACAATTATTACTTATTACCAGTTTTCAAAGAATCCACAGAAGTGCCAAACGCGCGCTGAAGATAACGAGCTCAAACTCAGTGGCATAACTCTGTGCCGGGGACTGGGGGGGGGGGGGGTTGGATGGGGGATGGCAAACATCAAAAAAATGGGGGGGGGGGGGGCTGGACACCACATGACACTAGGGGCGCTGTTCATGATACAGATGTACATCTTATGTATACTTACGCCCCTTATCCTTACATCAAAACAAGATGAGTGTCGATGATGAAAAAAATGATCAGTTTTGAGGCTGGAAAAATAACCCATAATAAAAACTGTGGTGAAAACCCATGGAATATGGAGTTGGAGTGAAATCCAGTCCACGTGGCAACCTTTATAGGATTTGAACCCGGTACATGGAGTTGAAACAAAGTACCACGTCACTGACCTGACTCCCCAGTTCCCATTATTTAGGGTAATGCATCCTTCAAAATTTGTTTCTGAGGGCAAACCCTTAATGTAGGTAAAGGTACCCATAGCCATTATTGGCCGTAGGGGCAGTGGGATGTTAGAGGTCCACTGTGTCTTGGGCGCGGTATATGAGTGGCGGTGCCCAGTCCTCTCCTCTCGCCGTCTTACCTTCCTTGAACAAATCAGGTACCCATTTTACTGTTGGGTTGTCAGAGAGAGTTTTCCAGTTTTTGGTCCGAATGGGATTCGAACCGCCAACCTTCCACTCCGTAGCTCCACAATCTAACCACTCGGCTACGAGGCCCCTCTTTGCATTTCACAAAGAGCAATCTATCATCCGAACATGATCACCTAGGCTTTTCAAGTATGGCTGCTCCTGAAAATCTTTTCGAAGATTTTTGATGAAAAAAAAAATCCAGGGTAAATGTACCTTGTTTTCAACGAAGTAATCCTGCTCCCCGAGAAGCTTGACAAGCCGCTTCACACTAGTGGGTCCCTGGCCCTCCTCCGAGAAATATTCAGTCTTTTTCTTTTCCTAAAAGAAGAGCAGAAAAACAGACTGTTACACTTTATACATGTACTTCATAACCAGTCATTAGGATTATAATTCCACACCTATAGCATCCAAGATGAGGGAAGAAATGCTGAACATTTGATCTGTAAGCACTTGTATTAGATTCTCCTTGATGAATTCATACAACCATACATGTCTGGGGCGATTTGGGGCGGTACAGGGAGTTAAAGGGAATATACAACATTTGCAAACATCGAAAAATAAAACTACCAAGTTTTTGCGAAATACCTTAATAGGATGTTGGTAAATGACAGTCTAAAGCATCCTGTAAAATTATGGCACCTGGTATACTGTCATTTTCAAGAAAAGTGGTATTTTTGTATCAATTTCCAACGCTGATCGGCTGATCAGCGTTGGAAACAACTGGCTTTTTTTCAAATACTGGCCCCAATTGACCATTGCACTTGTTTGCAATCAATTACAAACCTATGAACGGGTACGAACCAGCTAGACTGGTTCCCTGACCTTACAATTCCCCAATGTATGTAAACTGCTCTGTTTCGTCTTATATGGAGTCAGGGAACCAGACTACAGGAAAATGATCGTTTTTCTTGGTTTTTATAGCATTTTCGAACCCAAAACCTCCAAAAAGTCAGTGTAACTATATTTGCTTTATATTTCCAACCCCCCAATTCCATCCATTTCTGAAAATTACAGCAAAAGCAAATGATGTATATTCCCTTTAAAGGCAAGGCGGTTTGGGGTGTTACAGCAACTAATGTGTTGAATTTATGAAATAATTGAATACAGATTTCGGGAACCGGGTACCCAGTTGAAAAAGAACACACCAAAACACAGATACCTGTTAAAGAAACCTAACCCCAAAATTCAAATCTCAGAAACTTGCTGTTCATGAGATGGTTATAAAGGTCCGCACAATAATACTACCACATCTGTGTGTCAATACAGCAGGACACAGCGAGCTTATAGCTTTAGGGTGTAATTACTGCAACATTTCATAAACATGAAATATGTTTAGTTTTCCCACGTAGCCTGGTTTTCATTTTTAAAATCCCCCAGAAATTACATTCAAAACCTTTTTTTGTCATTGTCTGAGAAGTTACTAAGTCGTTTGTAACGTTGGTTACGGGAACTGGATCCCATAATCTGGAACCGGTTTCTGACGTCAGCGGCCGCGTACTCAGGTACCCGGTTCCGATGCACAGCCCTAATTGTGACACTAAGCCTGCAGTACAGAAGGAAGGGGAATACCGAGAAGAAAGAGATGCATTTTAAATTGAGATCACAATTTCAGCCTTCTTGCCTTGATGGCCTCATCCGGTTCTATCATAAACCGCCTCAGTCCTTGCAACAGATCGTCGATGGTTTCGGTTACAACGTCAACGCATGCGGTCTCGTAGCTGGAAGAGCCGTAGAAACCTACATGAGAACAAATGAAAGAGAACAGGGTTTGTCTAAGATGACAAGAGGAGAGACAGTTTTCAATTCAATAAGGAGAGGGGGTCAGTCACAAAAGGAAACATTATTTGGTGTAAAAATACGTCAGCAAAATTTCAAAAGTACACGTAGAAACTCAAATGTTGGCACCAGATTGACCGCAAGTAAACATGATAGAAATGAGGATAGCTATGCCCCCCCCCAGATTTTTGATTGATCTCAACTAAGCCGGACATTTTAACAATGCACAATACCTACCAAACTCTCTAGCCAGGTAGCGACAGAAGGCTTTGCTCTGAGGAATACAACGGTCATCGACCTCTAGCATTGGCAGCTGGCCAAGCGGCGTGGCTACAAACAAAATACGTCATGAGAAAGTTACCTAATAATAACATTGAATACAGGACTGAAGTTCCCTTGGAAAGAATGTTGAATCCTGACACTACTTTCGAAGCAGAAAAAAAGACAATTTGTTTGCTTATCTTGCACCTCAGAGAGTGTACTTTCATGTGAGAACTGTTAAGGAATATGTTGACAAAGTCTTTAAGAGAGATTTGTAGGCGAATGTGTGGCCAACTTAGTGAATTTTTACATGTCACTGCATGTTGAAGCCCTCAACCTACGGGTGACATGTACAAATTCACTAAGTTGGCCACACATTCGCCTACAAATCTCCTTAAAGACTTTATCAACATACTCCTTACAGTTCTCACATGAAAGTATACTCTCTGAGGAACAAGATAAGCGAAAAAAAATGTTTATTTTTCTGTTTCGAAAGTAGCGTCAGGTTGCAACATTTTTTCCATGTTGGATTATACTTTACAACTAAAACACCCCATATTTGTTTTCTTCCCGCCCACAAAAATCTGCCTTCCACTCCCAGGCCAGGCATTAATTGTGAAGCGCTTTGAGACCTTTAGTATAAAGTGCTATATAAGCACTATATTATTATTATTATTCCAGCGCAATGATTCTGTACCCCTAGAACTATGGGTATTAGTCGTAATACCCATAGTTCTGGGGGTAATGATTCTGTAGGCTACACAAAATATAATACTAGTCGTGAAAATGTTCTCAGTAAATCTCACCAATATAAATGTTACTCACTCCCAAAATCATGTTTTTCTGCATAGTTATTATGACCGATTATCACTGAGATTATATATGGTGAAAGAGTGTCCAGATATTACATTCTACCCTGGTATTTCTCTAATTAAACGAATGTAAAACCTCACTTGGTTTCACATCTGGCCACTGTTCTCGTTCAATGCGAACGTCTTCGTACTCGACTCCTTTCTCGGCGAACATCAGCCGGGCCAACTCGGCCAGACCTCTGGCGTTGAAGTACGTCAGCTTGTACGTCGGCATGCTTAGATTTTGAGACCCTTTTGCACTGCTGAACTAGGAAATGTGAGGTAATTTTGCGAACTGAAACTGCACAAAAGTTTTAAGCACTCTTGAACTTCAACCTTAGCATACTTAGGCTTGTAATTTGTATGTAATTTTGTACATGTACAAAATATGTATGTAAAGCAATGCAGGTGCACACTTCCTACACTTGCTGCAGGTGGTTACCAGTTAAGTAAATGGTACCCAATTAGTTACAAAGACTAAACATGCCTCTAGTCGCACGTACGTACCGATACCGGCATTTAAACAGGAACACAAGTTTGTGCAAGATTTTGTGGTAAAAATAACCCCTGTGATCCCCTTATGACCAAAAAAATCTTGCAGGTCAGAGATAAACTGAATAGTCTGTTTTGAGAATGGGTAGTAAGGCGCTGTGCCTATGTAGTGGGGGAATGACTTTCCAACAAACTTTCCTTTTTAATATTCCCCCCCCCATAACCTAGAATTATGAAATCGGTCATGTTTGTAGCCTATTTTGTTGTCGAATTATTACCCCAAAAAAAGCATGCACAGAAACGCCATCACCGTGGAAATATGCGCCCACGCCCTTTCAATGTTTGCTTAAACATTAATAACTTACGCAAAAAGACATAAAAGCATTTCAATGTTTGCAATACACTTACATCATGCGTAAAAAACCCGGCTACGTATTACAGTTCGTGACAGGGCAAACACGATTACGTAATCGCACATAACATGCGCTTGGGCGGTACTTAGCGCACCGGTTGTAGTCGAGGTACGTACGGATGAACACTGTTTTTTTCTTCAAGAAAGTGCAAAGTTTGAAACAATTCGTCTATTGCCTTCTTGAATGTTGTGTGTTGTCTGTCCGGGGTCATTTTTGGTGGTGGTGGTGGTGGTGGTGGGGGTGGAGGTAGGGATGCGAGACGGCGATAGGAAGAATAGTAACGTTATTTCGAGCAACTAAACAAGGCTCCGTCTAGTTGCAATCGATAATCATTGGTTCAATTAATTTTTGACATCATGAACAACAGCACTTGACTGTCCTATAACTCTCCGAATATCGAGAATTTAGCAAAAAAAATATTTAGGACTCTTCAGTCACGGTCGACGACTAGCTTATAGTAATTTATTTATGTATGTACGTACCTCCAGAATCTTTACACCGCTTTTTTTCTCAAGTTGCACACAATCGGGACACACAAAAATTGACTCGTGATTGCGGCCGCGCACAAAAATTACAAACGAAATCTGAGCAGGGTTTTACTATGTCGCTACCAACAAATTATCCACGAGTCGGCCATATTGAATTGAAAACGAGGTAAACGCTTCATTTTTGGAATGTGTGAGTCGAAATGAAAGCAATGTTCATCACAAATTCATACCAGTTTTGGCTCTGATGAAAAATGTAAAATTGTGATAGGCTTGGAACGCACTCCAATCACAAAATAGTCTGGAACCATCCCATTCTACAATTTAAAATGTATATAATAGATTCAGGCAACACGATCGAAAATGGCCTCCTCGTTAATAAAAAAAAAATGTGGTAAATATTCTAAATACCATGCTCGCATTTTTTCTTCTGCGATTGGGCACAATAGACTCTGCTGACAGTTACCGCTTTGAAGCTTCGAAGCTGATACAAAGTTGACCAAGGCATTATCCAAACGAATACTGCAAATAAAAACTCTAGAGAACACAATCTTCTGGGGAAACAGTGCTAATACATAATTTTAATTAAGACGTAATTATCATGTGTTTACTCACCTCATCAATTAGTATAGCCTCATCACAGAGAAACTTTAATTGCATTGATAAATATCACCTTTACGTACGAACTGTGCGTTAGGAATTTGACATTATAAAATTGGATGTGTACATGTACATGTATATAGGTAAAATCTTCACAATTACATGTATTTCTAAATTGCTTCAACCGTTTAGCGCACTGCAAGTACACAATAACCAAAACTGTTTAAGAAATAAAAAGCCCAGCTATTCTGATTGGATAAGAGCTGGTCATGTTATCGTGACTGAAAACAAATGAACAAACTATACAGGCATGCAACTGGGAAATCACAAAAAAGAAGAAAATTCAAATTTGTCCCAGATTTTGTACAGTGTTTTTCTATTTTCAATGGCACACATGGGAAGTAAAAAAAGAGGAAATCAGCTGATCCGAGGAAAAGTTGCATGCCTGACTATAAAGGTGTGGCTTATTCAGCCTAATTTGAATATGCATGATTAACATATTTCTACACCAATCAAAGAACAACAGGCTGATAATGACAGACTTGAATGACACGTGCAGGCTCTTTCAATCAATATGGAAGAGGCCACAGGAATATCAATTTTGTGCAGTGCTAGGGAAAGTACATAATTTATCCGAAACTTAAAAGTTTACATTTACTTTGATACAAGAGAAAAAAGGACAGTCGTTGACAAAGAATGTAGTGTGGTTAACTGTCATTCTATTTTCAATGTTTGGACGAAGAATTATAAATCGTACCAGAATTTGTCATAAAACATATTTGAATAAGAAAAAGCAATCTGATTTCCATAAAAAATAACATGAGTACATACAGTGAGTCAAAAAAAATATATATTTCATATTTAAAAAAATATTTAGCACAAAAAATAATAATGACTGGAAAGCCAATTTCACAAGCTACTTTTAGATGAAAAAAAAATACTGAAATTGTTTAATCCGTTCAAAGAATACCACCATTTAAATACAATGACCCTGAAACCTTTTTCATCCAAAAATGTGATTGCAAGAATCATCGTCACAATTGTCTTCAAACATCACCAGCGATAAAACCTCAGTTTAAAAGTTACATATATTCAACAAAGTCTTTTTGAAGGTATTCTGTGTCATTGTCTTTGTTGTTGCAAACAGTCAGAATACACAATGAATTGCTTTTTTGGACGAAACAGGTTTTAGGGTCATTGCGTTTAAATGGTGATATTCTTTAAACAGATTGAGCAATTTCAGTATTTTTTCCATCTAAAAGTTGCTTATGAAATTGGCCAATAATTATCATTTTTGGTGCTACATATTTCTTTAAATATGAAATATATCTTTTGGGGTTTGGGTTCCGCTTCTTTTGACTAGCCCTGTATCAAGTAAAACCATGAACATTCTGTCATTTAAGACGGAAAAAAAACCTATTGCAGACATATCACATAAACAGTTCAAAGTTGTATCAGTTCACACAAGAATTAAGTCACCTCCATTGTACTGGCCATAATTATATCTTACCTAAACAATGCAACAGATAATTAAATTATACATACAACCACGATAAAATACTTTTTTCAAATACAATTATGCAAAACTCTAATGATCAAACAATGGTAAGCAAAATATCCGTGCACTCAAATAAATTGTGAAAAAAATGAACCAAGCATTTTAATCCTCCGATGTAATACACAGGCCCAGCCTACCTGAAACATTTTTCTTTTATATAATATGCAACACATGGATTTTGGTAATTTATTTACTTTTACAGGGATGGTAAGCGGAGTCTGAGATTTTTGTCTGAAATCTGAGGTATGAAAGAAGAGGAGACACACACATTAAATACTGCCAATATGTTATTTACAATTTGAAATAAAAGCCTGCAATTGGGCAATTGCAGGATTTATTTCTCCAACACAGAATATCACTTGGACGGTTGAGATCGTCTCGAAATTGAAATTTTAGCTCCCTCGAAAAGAAGACACACAAAACTGATTGAATATTTTTCTGATTGACGTTTAGATTAATTAAAGACTTTCTCCCGCAATATTTTTGCCTGGCGTAGCAATCAAACGCCCCAAATCCAACACTTGTCTGCAATCCGAAGGTGCCTATTTAGGATGGCATATCAAGCCCCACATAACATTAATGTGGCTTGGGCCTAGAGTACTGAACCCTTCAATATTACATTTTTATAAACTATAAAAGTGACTAAAGAAATTGACCGAAGCGGGGTTGGAACCTGCGACCTCCGGAATACCGTACCGATGCTCTACCAACTGAGCTATCCAGCCCCGTGTTGGCTAGTCAGAAGCTGTAAACCTGTATACGCCATGCAGCAAAGGACTACGCCCAAAATCACGATACTACAGCAACATTAGCAATGGCTGCCAACCTGGGAAATAGCAAACGGGGGTCACTCACTGAGAATACAGCTTGTACCTAGTCAATTTCCATTCATGTTGCATATGACGATTTCTTACATTTTGTGGGTGATTCGGGAATGAGGGTTGTACTTCTGGCATGACCAAAGTACTTTCTGTGCGCCTGGGCATGAAAGTGAAGAGACACTACCAATGTGGGGGTTAAAGGTATAGTCCATCATTTGTAATTTGTGCATTTTGTTCGTTTGAAGCAACAAAAGTGCTCAAGATCTAGAAGGGTGCTGAACAACTAACCTGATGAAGTTTCAGCTCAGCTTTAGCTGTATATTTCGAAGAAAACAACATTCTAGGATCTCGATTTCAAATCAAAAGTTGCGGAATCATGTTTTGAATTGGGCCTGAATTCAGCGTCTGAGACACGTTCTCACTGAGCCGATTGCAGCTACGCGATGGCGCGCTCTGATCCGATGAATTATAGCAACCGCGCGTGCGTGTGAGTAGTGCCAATGCTTGCGCGCGTTTCGCCGAATAACAAAACACACTACTAATATGAATTTCCTACGGTGCTTCTTAAGAAGCACCTTTGGAAAGGCCTTCTTTTGTTGATTTCTTCAAAATGACAGCTTGCCAGAAAGAATAATTTCACAGGGAGTTAGTCCCCTTACTAACTTTCAACCAAGTATGTTTTTCAACAATAATTACGCCATTTACTTTTTGGATAGCTGCAAATGATGGACTCTGGCTTTAAGGATGTGACCTGCTTTCTACAAGTGAAGATGAATGAACCACTCGAGCGCTGCTTACTGGCTTACTAAATCACTCAGTCACTCAGCTTGTGGCAGGTTCTTTGGTATGCTGGTTCGAATCCAGTACAGCAGCTGCTATTTACAGAAGTAAAACCACCATTAAAACACCATACACAGCAGTCACCCAATTTTAAAAACAAATTGTATTCAGAAACAATTAGAATGTACTACACATGATCCACATGAACCTAATGCAATAAAATACTATATTGGTTATCGTCTCGGTGCATTCCGAGGAATACAAACTGGCGTCCAGGGAAGCAGATAGGTCATAAGTTTGCCTGGTCATGTGACCTCACAAACATGTCGCTATCCACTTTGCATTTTCTAGGGTCGACGGGTAGCTTGCCACGCACCATTTTAAAAATCATTGACAATTATATTTAATTGTGGAAATGGACAGCTTCTCTATTAATTTCAATACTTTTTGGTTTATATTAGCCGTGAACATATTTCTACAGGAGACTCACATTTTGGATCGCAGTAAGACTATTGCTTTTTAACAATTAGATAATGCCTGAAAATTTGGTACACACCATGGATCACCTTAATGGCTATGGCTTGCAGTAATACATGCGTGTCTATGGGAAGTGGATTTAGCCGCTTCCATAGGCAAATGTATAACTAGTAGCCGTAGCCACGTAATTTGGACGTAGCCGTAGACCGTGTCCGTATCACCTGGCTATGGCCAGCAATTACACAGGAGTCTATGGGATGTGGCAGCAGCCACTAGCCAGTGGCTTCCATAGGTGGGTGTGTTATTTCCGGCCATAAGCCAAGACTTGATTCAGACACGGCCCAGTCTGTATAACATCCCATGAGACTTCTCAGGCGTGGACGCCATTAGTGACGGTCTTCAGGTCCTCTGTGCTGTAGCAGGCATCCCAGAATGACTTTGCCACATCAGCCACGATGCTACGATCTGGAATACTCTGGGAGCTCCCATAGATCGACGCCTGTTGGGAAATAAAGTTTTTCAGTTGGATTGAAAAACCCAATTATACACTACTACGTTTCGTAGAGTTTCTAAGCACAGAAATCTTCTAAGCGTGGAAAATGTTTGCTTAGCAAATACAGGATACCAGTCAAACTGCCATGGAATGTGAATAGGATTACAATTGCTTCCCAGCTGATTCATGCTTAGCACGTAAATTTACCAAGCAATTTTCCTGCTCCTCTGAAGTGGGGCCCCATGGCCAACTAAATCAAGAGTAGATGCTTTGTGCGGGACACACTGTAGGCAAGTGATGGTTTGAGCGCAATTAAATTTCATCTGAATCTGCCCAAGGCCGCAGCGTCTTCGTGTGAGCAGCAGGTGTGTGACGGCAATGCGTTTGAGTCCCTCCTAAATCTCTCTGTAACTGTTGGGGGGGGGGAGTACTTTACTATCGGTGCGACGGAGAGCAATTGCATTACATAGCAATCAGACTCGTCGCAAGATATACAATGTCAGAGAAGACAATGAAAAGTTCCTCCTTTTCAAACTATGAAAATGTCTTCTTTTTATGGAAAGAACACAAAAATGAGGAGTTCTTACCGAGCCCTGGCATTTCGCTGTTGGGTCGTTCAACAACTCGGCAGTGAGATTCTTGACGTCCTTGACAAACTCCTCAGCCACGCCATGGAAGGTGTGTCGCAGGGTCACGCACATGTGGAAACTGCGGGGAAAAAAATGGAATGCATAAACCAAGTGAGAAATAATCTCAGTTTTCATCATCTAAAAATGTCAACAAAAAAAGTCCGGAAAAAAATCAGCTAAAAGCAGTTTCACAGAGTAACATCATTAGAAAATTAAACCGATAAGTCACTGTATCACCCCAAACTGCCCTGCCTGTTACTCCACGTAACGCCCCAAACTGCCTGAGCAAGCTATGGTTTTATGTGCTCATTAGGGAATAAATACAATGTAATACAATGTAATACAATGTAATACAATGTTATACAATGTTATACAATGTAGTACAATGTAGTACAGATACTAATGGGTTAAACACAATTGTAGAGCTTGTTAAAGCTTTATGAATGAATAGAATGAATATAGACAGGTCAAACAACTGCTCTACAGGATCATTTTCATGTACCCCAAAAGTAACCTGCTGAATTACCAGCAAAAATCTTACTTGGATTAAAGATCGTACTGGTACTAAACACTCCCTAAAATTGTTCCGTCTGATTTGCTGTCATTTAGAACAAATCAATGTATGTAGGTGATTTTCACTGATCAGTTAGTTGACTGAGCGTTGGAATAAAGAGTTATAATGATGAAATCGTGCTCCATGATCCAAAGGTTGTGCACGTTTTTTTGTTTTACTGTTTTCTGCAAAAGTGTAGTATCCACTGAGCTTAAACTTCAACAGGTTAGTTTTTGAACATTCTTCTTTTTGATTTTGAGTGGTGTTATATTTGGAAATGAACAAAATGCATGAACAGCAAATGTCGTAAACTGCTCAACTTTTAAGTTCTTGATAATCCAACAATCTGTCCAAGACTTACCTCGGAGGGAACTGTAAGTTATTCAGGCTCCAGCCCTTTTTGGTCAGTCCACCAAACAGACGATAGATGTCAAAGTCGTTGGATCCCAGTGCGATCACGCTGACTTTGGGATCACCAATTACAAAGATACCTTTGATTTTCTTCAGTCTATAAAAAAAAAAAAAAAGGAATTTTGTTGGAAAGTAAACCCTCTCTGTATTTTAAACTGCTTCGTCTTTTATAAATAAATAATACAACTTACATTCATATTTAACAAATTTACTATCAAATTTCAAGTTGCTTACGACTTGAACAAGTTAAACATCAAAAGGATCATCTTCATACAGTAGTTGTAATTTTTATCAACTTTCTAAGATAAATTTAGATGCACTTTTTATCCAAAGAGTACATGTGGAGAACCAGCCTGTAAGTTAAATTAAATTATCAGAGTCTGCCAAGTAGAAATAACTTTTACTTTTTTCCCAAGATCATATTTTTAACTAACGTTAACATTATAACAGAAATTTAACTCAAACATTATACTAAATGATGAGAGCACACTTCTTCAAACAGTGGCATAAAAAATACTGATAATATTTCAATCACAAGTTCAAGTCGGAGGTTTAAGAAGTCAAATAATTGTGTTGTCTTACTCTGTCAGCATATTCCTAGTTGTCTGGATGATCTTCCGTGTACTGTCGATGTAGCCAGCCTCTCCCATATGGACCATGGTGGCCCAACAGGCTGCAATGATAGCGCCAGGACGACTGCCTGAAAAGGAGGACCGACAAATATTGAATACAAGTCAGACCAACAATGATCACTGATCGGTTACCCCTCCCAGCTCTGAATGGACTCGACAGTTTAAAAGCAAGAGTTTGGGGAGTGATCAGGTAGAACAGTTCTTTGCATGGACGTTGCCAGGATTTTTTTCTAGAGGGGGGAACAATTTTTTTTGCCAAAAAATGCTTGTATTTCTCAACACATTCTCGATTTATTAGTTTTAGAGGGGGGCAGGGACATTTTGCCCCCCCCCCCCAACTCATTACATTTACACCACTTTGTCTTTGCGCCTCTTTCTTTTTTTCTTATTTTTTCTTCCTTTTTTTTTTTTTTGCTTTTCCCTTGCCCCCCCCCCCCCACCTCACGATGCCCATGGTTCTTTGACCACTGATTGGGTAGTCATGGGGCTAGACGTTGTTATGGTTTGATACGCAATAACCTGCCGCCGCAATAACCAGCCGCTGCGATAACCTGCCGCTGCGTGAGGGCGTTATCACGAACAACCACTATCACCCACGAGCCCGTCAGGAACAACGTCTAGGGAAATTTGTATCGGTTGTGTAATGTGCCAACCTGTTTGGCATAATATATGCAGCGTGCATTCAAAACACTACATTGTAGTTCCGAACCAAAGACTTAAATTGCTTCCAGTAGTATAAAAGATGCAGCAAGACTTTTGTGCAACTTCATTGGTCAGCTCTTTTGTGGTGTGTAGTTCGGGACTGAAAATGGACCATAATTGCCTGCAGAAGTCGCGCATGCGTACTAGTTTCCCCCACTTTTCAGAAGGAGATTTTACAAATTTTCCTAGACGTTGTTCCTGACGGGTTCGTGGGTGATATTGGTTGGTCGTGATAACGCCCTCTTGTGGCCGACGGCGGGCTATCACATATCAAACCATAACAACGTCTAGCCCCATGACTATTGATTGGGCTACCTTCGAACAGTAAACCGCTAAATAAATAAAATCACGTCATCACAAGTCATCCATTTACAAGTCAAAGGAATTCCTTTGTTATCATTCATCGGTCCTGTGACTCGAGCCAGAATTTTACCTACCTGCTATGGATGGTGATGCATAGATGCCACCCTGCCAGTCAGGAGCAACAAAGAACTGACGACGACGCAACTCCATGTTACTGTAGAGAATCACCGAGGAGCCTTTCGGGGCAAATCCATACTGGGAAAAAAAATGAGATCTATCAAAAACGATGATTTCACAAACCAATCAATCAATATTTATTGACTGATTTTGGTACCCCTGCTTTATCAGATTCCGAACGCAGCAAGCAAGAGGTCGTGGATTTGAGTCCCACCTGAGTAAGCTTGTGGATTTTTTTAGCAAACTCTTGGACAGCAGTGAGTATGGATTGCTTTTAAAATAAGTTTTAAGTCGGTGAAGAACATCTCTCACTTTTAAACCAATAAATCTTACCATTGTCCACTAGGCACCTAGATTTGTCAAAGGCAGGGTTCCAATCAAACACACACAAAAAACAGACATGCTCGGTCAAATTTTGCTTGAAATACACACTATGTTAGAATAGGAAGTTGGAACTCCACATAAGGAGACAACCACATGGGTGGGGTTGTTTAAGCTTTGAATTTAGTCTGGAACCTCCCCCCTCCCCCTCCCCTCCCCCCAAAAAGCTTGTTTAATACCTTGTGGGTGTCTGCAGATATGCTGGTGACTCCTTTCAATCGGAAATCAAACAGAGGTACAGGGAAGCCAGCTTTATCCATGAATGGGATCAGGAATCCGCCCAGACAGGCGTCAGTGTGGACTGGGATGTCATACTTCTCTCCAAGCTAGGAGAAAAAAGAAATCAACATCTGGGGTAGACCTCAAATAATACTTTTACTCCTTCGCCGATGTAAGTTCATAAAATTATATCGTGAAGGGCAAGACCTAATATTACGTTTACACTTCCCTGACACAAATTACACCGTATACAGATAATGATGACAGTGACCTGCTGCTACATCAGGGGCCTATTTCATAGAGCTGCTTAAGCACAAAATTTGCTTAAGCACAAAAACGTCTTGCTTAATAAAATCAGGTTACCGGTCAAAACTCCATGCGATTGTTATGCTTAGTAAACAACAGCTAAATACCAGTCACAAGCAATGTACATCACATGGAGTTTTGGCCGGTAACCTAATTTTGCTAAGCAATGTTTTTTCGTGCTTAAGCAAATTTTCTTCTTAAGCAGCTCTATGAAATTGGGCCCAGATTGGAACTGGCCGGCCAGCCCTGGCAATTTCGGTGGTTAAGACACCAGCACTTGTGAGCAGGAGATTAGGGGTTCGAACCCTGACAAGACAAACCTGTGATTTTTCTTTTCTTTTCTCAAAAAAGCTCTGGGACAATACTGAGAATAAAATAGAGAAAAAAGTTCACTTAGGGCAAAACCTAATATTTAATTTACAGTTGACGCTCCAGCAAGGTGAATCGAATGCTCCAAATTGTAGTGAGTTTTATCATTATTTGGTCCAAATTTACCTCAATTTTGCGTCAGCAATATTTGCACTGGACAATGTCATACACACATATATGGAATTGCTCAAGTAAAAAGACAGATGCTGTTGTACTGCACAAAGGTTCTGTTACCTGAGAAACTATTTATTTCAATGGTTGAAAGACATGACTCTCACCTTGGCTATTGCCTCAATATCGTCAAAGACTCCGAAAGGAAATGAAGGCGCTGATCCTACGAGCATACAGGTTCTGCTGCTGATCGCTCGCTTCATCGCCTGAGGAAATTTTTTTAAAAATGCTGCTTATATAGTGCTTTCCACCAAAGGTAGGTCTCAAAAGCGCTTCAAAATTATTACCCCTGTTCATTAGGCCATGAGACCATTTTACTGCGACCCAGATCTGTGTAATATAGTCTCTATCCTCACAGGTAGCAACTTCTACTCCTGGCTGGAGAGAGGCTATTGTAGTAAAGTGTCTTGCTTAAGAACACAAGCACCATGTTCGCACATGGGTCAAGCACCATAACCATTGAAGAACTGGACTTATCTCTCAGAATATAATCAAAAATCATAATTTTGCTGTATTTTCTGAATAAAATAAAAGCAAGTCATAAAATAAACAAAACAAAATTTAAGGAGTCTGTAAGTATGGTATCCAGACTCACCTTGACATTAACTGTTTGGGTTTTCTTATCCAGTGGGATGTGGACCAGCCTCATGCGGAAGTAGTGAGCAGCCTTGTCAAAGGCTGCGTGCACACTAACTGGGGCTAGGCTGAAAAAGAAAAAGTTAAAAATATATCAAACCTCAATAATAATGACATTTTTGAGTTAAAAAACACTTTGCTTTAATAAAAGTTGCAATTATAACGGGAAGGAGATGTGAGCAAAATGACTGAAGCAGGATTGAAGGATTGTCAGACTTTATTCATGTTCGTAAGATTCTCTTCAATTTGAACCCTGTTTTGGAATGTGGGATTTTTTGGATATTTCTTGAGCCCTGTGTGGCCTAGTAGATTGATTTTTTTTCTTCTGAAATCCAAACCCCAGCAGAGATAAATCACTTATTGTTTGCCTGTGATTCATTCCTAAAATCAACACAGGAAGTACCAGATTAGGTCAACCTTAACAATGGGATGTACCAGTGTTTCCTGTACTTTCCAAATGACAATTTCACTGTTTTCAAAACACTGACAAATATTTGACTTTAAATACATGTAGTTAAAAACGTTTACAGGAAAATGTATTTTTGGGATAAAAAAAAGAGGGCAAACAAATGAACAATGCAGGAGCAAGTTCTGATCAAGCACGCACTCAAGACAATAGAACAGCAAAGATACTACAGTTATGAATTTATGTTTTTCTTTTTATGGGGGGGGGGGGGGGTTATTTCTCCCTTGTGTTTACGTACATTTCTGGAAATTCTATTCCTCTTTCCCTGGCTCGTTCCCTGCATGCCAGACATGCCATCAAGATACTTTCTGTTCCTCCTGAAGTCATCTTGGATCCAAAAAAAAAAAAAGAGAAAACAATTTGTAAAAATCTATCAAAATATTTATAACAAGCTCTTCAATATACACAGCGGATATATCGGATGGGGTCAAATTGTGAAATGGACTGCTCCGGATTTGGACATAAGCCCCGCCCATCTTCAGTTTAACTGAGCAACTGTGGTCACCTGACCAAAAGTCATGATCTGATTGGTCAATGTGCACTGGGTTGATTGACAGGCAGGAAGGGGTCATTCACAACCGATAGTCAAATGGATATTGGGAAATAACTGAAAGTACATGTAGTATCTAAATCATGTGTCATGAAAAATATTCATAATCTGTCACTGAAATAACATGGAATATTCAGATTGAATGATAAATAATTAAAAATGGCCCCTGAACAGGTACAACAATACAGCTCCCCATGAATCTGATTCGCCGTTGAACATGGATAAACACATGTGTATCTAGTCACTGAAATTACATGAGATATTCAAATAGTAAAACTGAAATGGCCCCTTAACAGGTATAACTTACAGCTCCACATGAATCTGGCCCTCCATTGAACATGGATAAGCACATGGCGACAACTTCTCCCTCCATGCGTCGCACGCTGGGGAACACGTCGGGGTGAAGTGGGTTGCTCCAGGCAAAATCTTTATATACCTTCAAAAAAAGAATGAAAAACACTAAAACTTCTTGTATCTTTGCCTCACATGAACAACCTCTTTTGATGGTTCTTCATTTTTTAATTTATTTTTTAATTATTAACTGTTATTTTTTTTCTGTAAAATGGCATTTTAATCAAAGACAATGACTTATAGCAAACTGTAATGGTCTTTGTAAATTATCAGGAAGATTGAATAAAAATTTATCCTGAACAATTTCCTGTCAGGAAGTAAAATCTTCAACACTCATCCTGTGGATCCTTCAATACTCTCAATTTCTTTACTCTCATTGTACAGTATGTGCAAATTTCCTACTCAAAATAAACGCATTTGTGAAAGTGCAAGATCCAAAATAAATTTGAAACCATCTCTTTTCAAAACACTTTTAGCATAGATGGGTTATTTTGGTGAAGAAATTTTACATCACATGAAATACAGGTGAAATGACAACGAACTTTAGACCACTTGGCGTATGGTCCATTTGTGCAACCTTTTACCGACAAAGATATGACAAGAAAAACAATGATGTTTTTTCTTCCTTCAGAAATGTTTATTTTTGGAACACTTGAACTTTGACCCTTGGTGTATGGCATACATGGTGGTTTCCCAACATGCAGAACTAGTCCTATACATACAATATGCTGGTATGGTGTTTATTTTGAAGTAGAATCTAAAAAGGAAAGACGACACAATAAACTGTTTCAATTTCACGTCACGTCTTTTTACACGATTCTTTTTTCTGCTAGTACTTGCCGTTTCACAGACAATGTTAAATCTGAATGACCAGCTAGCTTATTCGTTTGCTTTCAAAATATTACGCTTCAACTGTACAAATCTTGTTTTACTCTCGAGCATTAAAACTCTATATTGTTAAATACGCTTAAGGATAAGCATAGTTTTCTTATCTGATTAACAATACTTTTCAAGGGTAATTGTTACGCAACTTCAGGAAAATGGCCCAGTTTAAGTTTTATTAGCATCACTATCTTTAAAATGCAAAATCCGTATTTGAAATCCGTAAATTAAAATACCAAACTTCTCCTACAGATATTTATTTAGTTATTTCACCGCTGTGGCAACTGGTGTAGAAACATATCAACATAAAGGATGAGTAAAAAAAAAAAACGGAACCGAAACCACAAAAAAATACATTTCATATTTTAAAAATTATGTAGCACCAAAAATAATAATGACTGGAATTGCTTTTCTTTTTGGACGAAAGAGGTTTTGTGTTTAAATGGTGATATTCTTTGAACGGATTGAGCAATTTCAGTAATTTTTTTTCATCTAGAAGTAGCTTATGAGATTGGTTTTCCAGTTATTATTATTTTTGGTACTCCTTTTTTTTTTTCAATATGAAATATTATTTTGGGGGTTTGGGTTCCGCTTTTATGACTCACCCTGTACATGTCCATCAAATTATTAACAATCCGAGTTGTGAAATTACAGTTACAAAACAATAAATCTTACCTTTGCGCAAAGAGACGACAGTTCCTCGGTTCCCCCGTAGACACAGCCAGAAACTTTGCCTTTCCTCCAGTCAATCTCATCTGAACAACAGGAACCAGATGTGAAATCGTCAACAGATGTTCGTAAAACACTGATTACGACATCATCATCATCACCATCATCACTCCCATATCACCAAAATCCCCATTGTCCTTCTGTTCATCTACAACGTCATGCCCATCACAGCGTCACCACCTCCTACAAGTATTTCCACCCATACCAATCTCTCCCACTCACCACCATCTTTACCATTATCAACCCCTTCTCATCATCACAAGCATCAAACTCACCACCGTCACCACCAAAACATCTATCATTTACCCTCTTTAAAATGTGTTTGTCTCAGATTTTGCGTGTCCCGCGTCCATTTGTACATCATATAATTGGACAATATTTCACAAGCTGTGTTGACGTGATTTTACCGCGATAGGTTAATAATTCAGGCCTGCTGCGTTGACGCGATTCTACCGCGATAGGTTAACGATTCAGGCCTGCTCACTTCACAACTACATCGCCAAGAAAGATACTTGAGCCAGTCATTGGTTACAACTTCCAAAACGTGCCCCAGACCTACCCATAGCATGGTAGCTGTTCTTGATCCTCCTGAGCACACTGCTCTCCGCCATCCCTTTCTTGGGGAGGGATCTCAAGTACATCTCTCCGGCTTTCATGCAATTCAAGCTGTGAAATACGGCCTCCTTGGATTTGACTATCTCTTTCTGGATCTGGAATGAAATTGAAAAAAATCACAGTTTCAACACAGATGATGAGAAAATTTGAACGATTCTAGCTGTGAAACCTGGACCACTTATTTTGTTTGATGCTGTGCTGTATTATCAAAGCCACTGTACTTCTCCGCCCTTAAAGAAATTATGAACTCAAGAGCTTGAATCATAATTTAGTCAATTTTTTTTTTCTCACAGAAAATTTCTACGGAGAAATAAAAAAAAATGATGCAAACTGGTTACCGACTGGATTGGCCTGAAACATATGAATCAAGTAGAGGGCCTGAGGTTTCGATTTTAGAAGGATTTTTCTCAAAGGCCAAAAATTGAATCTTTTCACCTGAGGCAATTGGTCAATTTTCTTTTTTTTAATTGAGTCATTTAAAAATTCATGTATTTTGGTTTTTTGTGGCCTTTTGTTGCTGTCATTTTTGTTAATACATGTAGTATGTTGGAGAACTGTATGGGGGGGGGGGTGTGCCAAGGAATTGGAACTTTTGAACATACTTTTTGTTTGATGAACGGCAGGCTGCGGAAAGTCTTGAAGAATGACATCTTGACTCGCTCAGGTATCGCTGCAAATGTTGAAAAAATTAATCCAATAAATGATTTTTTTTATTACTTTTAGGATAAATGTTTAGATTTAGAAAAAAAGAAAAATATAAGAAGTATGTCATTCAAAGTGTCGATAAATAATTATGTATTAGCACAAGGGTTGAATAATATCAAAAAAAAATTATTGTCATTTGAAAAATACACAACTCTAAGACAAGAAAATCTTTTGCCAAAATTTGACACGTTCTCGTCATTTTTTGTTTAATATGTGGAGTTTGACATTGACCGGACTCAGACGTGTGATTGTTTTTTACGAATCAATGCCAGACGGGTTCAGGCCGTCATCTGCGGGTAGCACACCCTTATATTTCCGGCCTCGCCATCCGACGTGAACTGGTTAAAAAAAAGCCTAAATAAATCGACAGAAAGTGACTCTGTGCTCACTGAGTAGAGGGTGTCTCATCCAATTGTACAGCCACGCTAAAACAATCGTGACACCAATTGAGACTGCAATCAGTTGCCATGGTTCTACATTGGAGCAAACGTCGTTGATCTTCACGCGGGCATCGTTCAGGTGCAGCTTGGCGACCTCCTAAAAGAAAATGAAAAACTTTAATTTTAAAATGTGTACAGTTTTTCCATTTCCAGGTTTTGCTGGGAAGGTAGAGACAACTTTTGACAATATGTTAGGGATTCAAGTAGACCTACATGCAACTCAACAGTGGGCTCATTAAGCCATATCAAAGGACTAGCCCCATTCTTTGGCCACTTTGCTGGACTCCCTCCAAAAATATGGCCACAGCATTCAGTCTCGCAAAAATTTTCACAATTTTGTTGAAATGGAGGTTTGTCCTTCGGGGCCTTTTCACATGTTGTTACTCTCTCATGTTGTTGTCTTACCTGTATGCATTCTTTAGCTGTGTAGTCGGCTGTTGTAGAATGTTTTCTTTGCATGAAAATGACGAGAAATATGTCCACTTTGTCCAATGCACCAACAAAGTTTAAACATGATGATGGATATCTCTGTTTACTAGTCTGGTGCCCTCCGTGCATAACGGATGTTTTACTGCCTAAGTAATTATACTTCGAGGACCAAGACTGGCCTATGCTAGTCTTGGTCCTATACTTTAACAATAACTGAAAATATGGCAGTCGTCAGGTTCAACCTTTTTTTGGTGCGACGGACAAAGTGGACATATTTCTCCTCATTTTTCACGCAAACGAAACATTCTACAACAGCCGACTACATGGCTAAAGAATGCATACAGGTAAGATAACAGGAGGGAGTTACAATATGTGAAATGGCTCCGCAAGAAAAAAATCCATTTATCAAAAATTGTGAAGACTGGTGAGTGGCCCGATGAACGGAGAGGAGGGAGTCCAGCAAAGTGGCCACAGAATGGGGATAACAAAGGATGTGCCACCTTCTTGTTCTGAAAGAAGAAAAACAGAAAGAAATCAGACAACTTCAACATAACACTTTATAGCACTGTCTCCATATTTTATATGTTTGTATCTGTTACCTTGTCTACACTCACTACTCACCGCATATTCCCAGAATTGCTCTTCAATATTTGCTGTTGAGAAACTGCCCGATTCACTGTCTCCCATTGTTTTTTGACAACGCCGGCGCGGCCAAAACAGTCCAAGAATACTGAAGTAAACTAAAGCACAAATTCCTGAGATAAAACTAACTCAAAGTGGTAATTGCCAGTAACATCGATCACGGTATTGCAAAATGATTTCAATGACCTTAATTCGTCATAATTGCACGCTGTGCTGGCAGTCGGCACACAATAAATTTCTACAGAAAATACGAATACAATTGCTTTTGCGGATATATTGCTTTCGCAACCAATGGCCCATGACCCCAACGCACTTCGCCATGTAGGTCAATAAACTTTTCTAAAGCGGGTACCCAGACGGTATGTAGAAGTTATCAATGTGTTTTGTCACTTTTACAAAGGTATCAGACGAGGAATTCCATTTGTAACGTAAGAGGGCGCTATGTCAAACAGATGGACCCAAAAAAACCATCCACAGACATATTATGTCTGTGAAAAAAAACCCACCGGGTGCAGACCAATAAGTACCTTAGTGGTAAGTCCACTTCCCAAAAGTATTGAAAATACTCACAACTCTCCGAGGTGTTCGAGCAAATATCAAATTAAGGCTTAGTTCATCATCTTTCATTTTCTGTTCAATTTTTGTTCTACTATCCCATGACTTTTGGGAGAAAAGTCCATCCAAAGATCATGATCACCCCTAAAAGCAGTCCTGAAGCCCATGGATATAATTTTAGGGACACATACTCTCCATTGCAAATTTTTAGGGCCTAAATTCATCCAAATTTCACACATATACGAGCTTGCAGTCGTCTGCATGGCTTCCAACCGTCCTTTTTTTTTTTTTTTTTACAAATCCTCAAGTTCACGGCCCTCAAAATACTCTATGTGTTCTTATTCCTCCATGATATAAATACGGGAATTTTTTTTTTTACCGATTTACTGCTCTGCATCGCTCCATGGAGGAAGGAATAGACCCCTCCATCTCCGTTTTATTTTTAAGACTGCCTAATTAAGAATAATCCATATCTACCAGCAGAAATACTTTTAAATCTTTCTTTTAAATCATCGAACTCCATTTGGGCAGAAATAAGTTTCGCTCCGTCCCCTTCCGCTTTGCTGAAACTGCTTATTTTTAGGGGATCTTGGGAAAGTCCTACTGGAGAAACTTCTTTTTTAGTGGAGTGTTCCTTCCTAAATAATGTCTGCCTTTGTTAAATCAGAGTTTTAATTTCTTTTTTTTTCAAGCCAGGATGCGCCTCTAAATATGCCTGAGGCAGTAATAAAGCACGAAGGTAGCTGAGTTCCCACACCAACTGAGTTTGAAGCTTTGTTTGGATGGCGCCCTCTTTTGCTGAGTCCTGAGATTTGTTTCTTCACTTCTTCCCATACTAACTGCGCACGACGCCCTCAAGTTCAACAATACCGTTAAACTCGGCTCAAACTGACAAATAAGTGAACAGCTGAATGATTGTGTAATTTGCGTCGAATGTGGGTTAAATACTGCCGTTGTTTTTCTTTAAAGCTTAGGGATCAACTCTGATTTCTTCAGTGTGAAACAAATATAAGTGGAGAGACTAAGCCAGTCTAGTCTTGGGATGGGATGGGGGGAGCAAACTAGTCTCACGTTGAAGCCAGCTGTCGGTGTCAATCTTTACCACGTCAACCCCGGCATGCATCATGACTAGACTTGATTCGCGTCTAACCCCATGCCTGGTCCTTGACAACTTCGCTACTTTTTGTCACTAGTAACTGACGACTATCAGCTGTGAGAAATCTTAGAAACAGATCTTTTAGCGCAACATAAAAACACACAGAAGTTTTAAAATGAACTTGTGCACCCTAAAGTATCCATATAAGCGTCTCGAACAAAGACTAGTTGTGCACACACAGTAAGAGACCGCACCGTACCGGATGACCTACGTAAGCAGCTTGCTTCCAGTGACTCTGACAGTTCACTGTGCCCCGTATAAAATAGCTACAGGCACTGCACGGGTCCCAGTTGGCATATAAGTTGCCGATTGCAGCAGCGCTTTAGCAAGTGCCGTATGCATGTACCCCCTCCCATCCCGCTAGCTAAGGACTCGTCCCCTTTTATGTTAAGTCCTACCACAGACCCCTTGGATCTTTCTAGCAATCTTGGTGAGTTGGCACTCGACTCCTCTGCCCATTCATGTTTGTTCTTTTTAGTGAACCAGGCGAATCACCAGATCAACGTGTATATACTCCGATCCCATGTAACCCGGCTCCGAGGATTTACGCGTGCACCGAGGAATCAATATCATCTTGACCAACACCGAACGCAAGCCAAGACTCCAACAAGAGAAGCAACAACTAGACCGTACGCGGTATACTCGGTGGAGGATTTAAAAATTATGTCTGCTTTCTCTTGGTGATAAAAGGAACCACAGTCGACTGGTGGAAGGTGCTAAGCTGCTTTCAGAGTGAAGCCAACTAAGGACAAACACTTGATACCTGTGTCAATTGCCATGCAACTGGGAGACCGGTTTGATTGACAGTCAGCAAAGATTGTGTTTGGCATCTTCATGGCTTTTCGTTGAAAACAACTCGACGCTTTTAATCCCAAGGACACACACGCCAGAAAGTAACGCAAGTCAATCTGGAGCCATCGCAGTATTTTTGTCGAAGTGTACTCGTGAAAAGACAAGCTCTCGTCTGCACTTGTTCCAGAGACCAAAAATAATCACAAGACTCGCGCTGCTTGGATGTTCTTAATGCTCTGCCAATGCCATTCACTATAGCTCATCACTGGTGTTATGTGCACAGGCTAGTGACGGGCGCCCTGTCTGCTAACTCCGATCACGATACGTCAGTCAGTTGCAGGACAAGCAGAGATAAACAGCATCACATTCCACGAGTGCATCGTAAAACTTCACAGTTTGGCAACGCGACTGAGGCTTCAGTCACTCAGCATCTGAAGCTCCGATACCAGTTTCTATTCTGTGTTCTGTATTCCTCAAGTGTGAAGCTTGCAGTTTGAAACCTGTGTCCGTCCATTCCTTGGCCTGAAAAAATTATCAGCGAATCTCCTTGCTCGTAAATCATCTAATTATTCCTTCGGACCTGCCTTGTCAGTCAGTCAACATCTTCTGATCATCAGAAAATTATCATGGGTCCAGTGACACTAAACCATCATCTTCATCGGACGTTCGTCTTGTCCCTGTGTCTACTTCCATGCTTACTCCTCACGGTGCATGTTCAGTCAAGCTGCGCTCACGATCTTAAGGATGGGATGAAGTTATCTCGTCACCACAACAAGATGCAAGATGAGGGCGATCCGCATGTCTACTGGCGATCCACCGTCACTGAGGAGTTTGCAGATCCCTGCAAAGCTGGTGAGAATTCCAATATTGTGATTTCCAATTTATTAAGTAGATTGTTATCACCATGATCACTCTCACTTTATCAACCATAAAAGGCAGAGTCTGCATGATTTTCATCGAAAGATACCTGTTTCTGGTACAATTTTTTTTGACAGAAGGATTACTGCTTTTAAGCAACTAAAAAGATCTTGCGCTTCTGAATTCCGAACTTTTCACGGAGGGCATTGGGGTACAGTCTTTTCTAAATATTTACGCTGTAAATGTCTTTGGCGTTGACTGACATGACTGACACAAATACTATCTTCTACAATGTCGTGTTCTACATAACGTAAAGGCAAGCGCAAGAAATCATGTGGGGATGACACCATGAAGAGATTATCACTGATGACAAAAAAAGTTTATCTTCAAAGACTTTGCCCTTGTTTTGAAAACCCAAGTAAAGCCTCAAATTTTCGGCAGAGAGCCTTTAAGTTTCGCTGGAGCTTTCCAACTCGTAACTTTCCGCACCTGTGCCATCCTGGTTTTTATTACATAAATAAACAGAATGATGATCAAAGTAGGCGACTCTTTATTTGTAAAGCTGCACCGGCGGGTTTCAGCCTACCGAATTTATTATGTCCGTAAATATTTTCCCCGACACTTTGCTTTGACAAGTAGTTTATCAAAGTGAAGATTTTCAATCGGGCTTCGATCTGCCTTTATCTTGGCACGCGAAATGTTTGGGATGCTGATACTTCAAACAACTTTGTGTCTACATCGCAGCTAAAAGATCCTCTTAAAATTGAGGGTTTAGATTTTTTTCAAGATCTTCGGTTTACTCGTAAAATATGTTGATGTTTTTGTATCATCATCGCTGTGGTTTACGTCAAATTCGTCAATTTACAGTTTAGACATTCAGTTATGTTGGCTTTTTGTCGAAGCCGTTTGGGAGTCGAGTACTTGACATGACTTGAAAAAAAACCTGCTTCGTCTCCGAGTCGTGTGTAGATGATGACTGGAAAAATTGTCAGATATTTTCACAAAAAAAACAGACCCTGCACATGCTGCACCATAGCTAGCCCTATAGAGCATGCAGCAGAGACCAAGGTATTTCGCCATGCAAAATGATGTGCCAACGTAAACCAATTGCAATTCGCAGCTTCGGGCATTTTCATGCTCCAAGTCCAAGCTATGACTTCTGAGGTCAAGAGGAGCTCTGTCAACTATTTCCGGTTGTCTGGTCGGCCTTCTGTAACCCCGTGTGTCGTGATTTCTGGCAGCATTTAGATCAGTCAAGCATGGGTTGGGGTGGAAGGCGAGTGATCTATGGGCCAATTAATTTCCACGATCAAGTTTGTCTGAGTTTGGGCGATCCTTGAACCGATCGTTAGTCGCACCATAGCTCCATGGGCGCACTTCAGACATGTTCTTGTGCCCGTTTATAAGTTTTGAGACACGATGTGGCAGTTAAGTTGTCCACCAACCTTATTACTATTCCAATGGGAAAATCGTGGTTTTATTCATCTTCGGAGATGAGCAGCACTAAAATAGTGCAGAAGTTCTCTTGGTTCAAACATTAATTGTTGCACCATTAATGTGGACGTGGTGACGTCAGATTGTTGACTTCAACGCAATTTATAATTTGTAATCTTCAAAAACATGATCGCGGAAGTAAACTCGATGCAAAAGGAGTGTTAACTGGTGGGAGTTTGCTCAATGGGGAGGTAATGGGGCAAGTTTACTTGACGAGGGTGCTGGAGAGACATTGCTCCACGGAGGGACGGAGGCTGGTCTTCAAACACAAATACAACAAAGGTGCTTGAATGTTTCGATGGTTGGACTTACCTAGAACAACTTTTGCAATTGCATGCATATGGCTTCTCACTCTCACATTTTATGACCCGAGGTGTACTTGTTCTTAGTTGGAGTTTCACAATACCTCCCGTCTCCCAGGAACTCCCCGGCAGGCCCCACTCCCATGCAATGAAAACTGTTACATTCTCAAGAATTCCTCGTTATACGATTTGGATGTGCAAAATCGTGAAATGTAATTTTATGTTTTTGACCAACCCAACTAAGGCACGTCGGCCGTTGGTATCGTTCGGTGTAGGAGCCGAGGCCCCCACTGGTCTTTTATCTCTATATCGTCGTAAATCAAATTCACCACCGTGAGAAACTCGCGTGCGAATTTCTTGAATGTTGCCGATCCCTGGCCAGGCAATACATCTACAGTACATGGTATTGTATATACTTTTTTTAATACCTGATGGTGCTAGGAGAGAAAATCTCCCGGGTTTTTAGACTTGCGCCAAATTCATCAGGTCATAGATGGCCGCACCTCCTTATCATGGCTGCTAAGTTTTCACATTTGGGACGGGGTTTTAACTTTTGGCCTTTTAAAAAAAATCCCAACACGTACGGGGGGGGGGGGCTGGATTCTCGGCATAATTTGATAGATGCCACTTACCGTTGCAAAGACGAAAAATCCTGACTTTAATTTTGATATGGGATTGAGACCTGACAAACGAATCGCCGTCACGAATACGCTCGGTACCGGTAGGCCCCATAATGTTCACGTTGTATTATTCATTGGCGCCAAATTGGTATTGTACTTTGGCGCCCTCACGACTCGTTCCGCTCTGCCGATTTACTGCAATTCTTTTGAAATGTTACTTTTAAAATATTTTTTTAAACATAGTATGGTTAAAGGCAACATCTGTTTGTCAAATTCACGGAAAAAAGCTCGGACATTGAAATTGTGAGCTACTTAATTAACATGTACTCGAGCCGATTTTCCCTCGAGCCTTAGTACTTAGCACGCACACGGTGCGGTGAAAAAAACCCAGGGCAGTTCAACTCGCGGCGCAGCGAAAATCCATCGATAGGAAACCGCTTTCGCTTGTCCAACAAGAATAACATTTATGGAACTGGGTTCACAGTCGATCGAAGATTGAGTCAAAGGTCATTCAGAATAAATCCATCATAAATCTCAACTCTTACGAACAGCTGTTGCTGCGACCACTGGCCGCCCAGATATGTCACATGACCTGACCCAGATGTCACGTGACCTGACCTAGTGGTCACATGACCTAGTTGCTCCGCCGATCGAGTTCATCTTGTGGTTTTAACTGTCAGTGTCAGAAAAACACCACAAACTTCGGCGTAATCGCGCATCAAAGGAATTGCTTGGCTAAATCTTTAATGTCTGTGTATGTCCGTGCTTGAAAGAAAACGAATTGTAATAAACAGATTACTGTTTTTGTCCTTATAAGTTTAAATCAGGCTAGGCCTACAGCAAAAAAAAAATGTTTTAAACGACTTTTGCTTTCCAGTTTGATGTACGACGAAGTAATAGTTACGAACCATACGTTACTCAACTCTTCGATGTTATGTTTTTTTTTCATACAGATGGTTTCCTTGGAGATATTGCTCTAACAGAGGAGCAATACCAACAAGAAATCGGCCGCTACAAACAGAAATTACAGGAGTATAAACAGAGTAAAGGAATCAGGAAGAAGACGAACAAACAACATGAGGAAAAACAATTGGCCAAAGAGGAGAAACGTCTGGCCAAGGAGAGAAGAAAACTCCAGAGGAAAGAAAAGAAAGCAATCAAAGAGGAGAAGAGGGAAGAACGGAGACAATCTAGACGTCCTCATTTAGAAACAATCCAGATTGTTCAAGGTGAGTGGAAAGTGTTATTTTGTTGATGAAAATATATTTTTCCAAAGTTCAATCATTTAACTTAACTTTCCAAACAGTATGTGTTCAAATCAATGGAAAAAATTTAAATCAAGGTTAACAAATTTTCCCTTCCAGCCTCGCTTTAGGTAGGCCTGCATTGATTTGAATGGGGAAAAATCAAGATGGCCACAACATGATAATGCCGTCTATTGAGTCCATTCTTTCCTTAATAATGCAAGTTTTGAGGTGTTTTTATTTTGACCTACCTTGACAAAGAAGACTTCAGGCCTACCCAGAACTAGGTTTTCATTATATCACAACTAATCATTTATGTTTTCTAAATGATTTTTTCTTTATAAGTTTGGGAAAATTTTCTTTCATTATTAAAAATATGTTTTCCTCATTTTCCCCGTTTCCCCTCGTATTCAATTGTTTGCAATTAGCTGTATTTTCTTCGTAACATCATGCTTTATCACTTAAGAACTATAAATAACCAATTCATTTGGAAGGATATGAATATTTCTGTGTTAGCTCAGAAATACACTCGAGGCCATATGGAAGCTGTGTCCTCTAAACATTTCCGTTGAGGTTCCATGAATATTCCACAAGGAAATCACTCTTCCCCCTGGGCACCAGCGGGCACTGTAGTACTAAATTTATTCAGATTAGGAGTTTCCTATTGGCACAGTAAAGATAGCAAGAGCTACCGGGTGAGTTAAAGAGATCTCTTCACCTTATATTATTCAAATCTGTATTTTAAGTAAGATATTATTTTGATCTTATATTACAAAGGGGTAACGCGGACCATCCCCCCCCCCCCCCAATAATAAGTTGGGTTTTTTTTTAATTTTCAGGAAAAAAAAATTAAAAGATTTCATATTTCCCTCCCAAGCCATGTGCTACACATACCTTTTTGTTTTAATATTACAATGTGGAAATAGCTCATAACCCCCTTCCCCTTTTTGGGGAAAAAATACCGAAGCCCTCTTGTCCCCCCCCCCCCCCCCCTTCAGAAATTGTGAACTGTTGACTTCTATTGATGTGTCATACAAAGTAATTTTAGGCTTCTCAACATCAGCATAAAATAATCATACTCATATTTAGAGATAAGAGAAAAATCACTCTAGTCTTAGAATCCTACACCTTTTTAAGCCCTTGAATGGCATTGGGTGTTGACCCTGGTTGATGGAAATTAATTTTGTCCTTGGCTGATTAGGACCTCCTTCAAAGCAAGAAGCGACTTCCTTGAACCAAAGTGCTTGTACTTTTCTTTCCCTCCAACAAATTCCGCGCCTACAAGTCGATTAGTCTGGAGACGGAAGATGTGCCTTGCAAAAAAGGGAATTGACCAAATTAGATTTGCGATGGCCTCGAACTTGGATTGAGTGGTGTAGGCTTTGGGGATACTGAATGCTCTGTGGCTGAGTAAGTCCTGTTGCCAAGTATTGATGGGCAGTATCCCCCTCGGTTCTTTAAAATCAGATGAAGTGTTAAAAACATCCCTGTAGTTTATTTCACAGCACTTTTGCTTATAAAGTTATAGGGGTAGGTACTTGGGGGATGGGCTCAACTTTCAAGGGGGATGGGCTCAACTTTCAAGGACAGAATGAAATCTGGTTGTCAGCTCAAGTTCAACAGGGAAGCTACAGGATGTAAATTTTCTATTTCTGGCCAATCATAGCCCCCCCCCCCCAGTCACCCCCTCCCCTACTGGAAATTTGTTAGTCCCAGTTTAACAGGTTTAACAGAAATTCCCCCCCCCCCCGTCACATCTAGCCCCACCCACTGTCACATCCAGGCCCCCCCCCCCACCCCTCACTCGTCCCCGCCCCCTTTGGTGAGAATCCTGGCTGCGCCGCAGAGACTTCATTACCAATGAATGTTGTCAAGTTTTGTGCCTCTGTAGACTTCTTTATAACAGTTTTAAGAAAAGGATGTTCAGGACTTTCTTCATCAAATACTGGCTGTCAGAAAGATAACCTACATGTAACTCTTCTTTGGTCAACAGCATTTTCTGGCCTTACTGGAAATCTAATGCTGCTATTTTGCAAAAGAAAATGTAACCTGAACACAATTTTTCTATGTTTTGAGGGTAATGTCCTAATATTTAGTTTAAAACAATCATATTTGCTGAACACAAAAGATATTTTTGACAGTTTGTAGGGAAAAAATATATTGTTTTCTGCCTGGAAACAAGAGGAAGTTCGCACCAGGTGCTACTAGTCAAGCAACTCGGCAGGAACAATTAAACTGCCAGCGGGGGAGAACTGATGCCCTTGCTTTAAGGAAACAACTTTCACATGTTTGACAAACATTCTTTGGATAGAAACACGCCCCTTCCCCTTTTTCAACTCTTTCCCTCCAAGTTGGATTATGCATCAAATTGAAATTGATTGACGGAAGCTTTCATTTTGCCAAATTTTAAGAAATAGGGGGGAAAAAGTACATAATTCTTCATGATTACAGGAAATTAAAATTACGTGCATAAGTCAGTTCTGTGAAGTAAACACACACATCTACAAGTACATTAAGGATGTGTAGTGCAGGGTTCACACGCCATGATATGATGGAAATCCCAAGCAGGTTATATGTAATTACTCAACTTAACACAAACCACATTTTTTCTTGGATATTTTCAAATTTCTTTTCAATTAAACTAAGAAATGAGTCACTAACTTTCTGTGAAAGTATCTTGACATAAACATGATAAAGATACTATAGAAGTTACAGGAATTGAATTGACAAGTCAAACTGCAACCCCCTAGGCCCTTTTTGCTAAGAAGCATCCTCAATCCTCCAAACTCCTCCAAAATTTTGCAACAGCACCTAAATTCTTCAAAATTGTCAGACAGTCCTGCCTCAAAATGCATTCATCATCAATCCTCCAAAATCCTCCTCATCCCAAATATTGCACTCGTATTTAAAGGAAGGATAACCAACGCCGAAATCCTTCAAAATCATCAGACAGTCCTGCCTCGAAATGCATTCATCCTCAATCCTCCAAAATCATCCTCATCTTCAAACACCATTCATCCTCAGTCCTCCAAAATCCCCCCATGCTTCAATCACCATTCATCCTCAATCCTCCAAAATCCTCATGTGATTCAATCACAATTCATCCTCAATCCTCTAGAATCCTCCAAAACCGCCAGGAGGATTTTGGAGGAGGGTTAGGGGGGACTTTTTAAAACTCTTCCCTGTTTGTAAATTGCTGGTTTAATATGTCATTTTGCAATTCCGGCTCACATGGTAGCTCTTCAAAGTTAACCTCATGATCTTCCCACAGATAATACCGTGTCATTCAATTACATGCATCATGTTGATACTGGGATGTGTTCCAATGCTGTGTATATTTTGGTAGTCAATGAAACTGACAGTTCCTGACGCAGGTTGCAATCTGATCCGCCGTCTGCCGGTTGGATACTTAAAGGCAGTTATGTACAGCTGAAATTTGCAGAAATGTTTGTCTTGATGTCCAACACTTTGGCGTTCAGTTTCAAATTCAAAGGAATGGAGAAAGTGTGAACAATTCATGCAGTTCCGATAAAAAAATATAAAAAAAACTTAACTGAAACTAGGCTAGTTGTTCACTTCAGTTTGTTTGCATGGTGGAAAATACACAACGTGGACCGAGGCTTGTTGAACCATGGTTAAACAGTTTGAAAACAGAGTTTTTCGGGGATGATTGAAAAAAATGCCGTTGTAAATTACTAACATGTGGGAAGGGGTGGGTGGGAAAAAGGAAGTTGGAACATTAAAGTGTAGTATTTTTTGTATGGTAAACTTTCTGGGTAATGGGGTTAGTCCATGTTGAGGGATGGTGTAGGAAGTCATGGAAATTAAGACTATTATTGAGAAGAAAGCCTTCACATACTGACATTCAAGAAAATAAGCCTAATAGTATAATAGTCAGGATTTCCAAGTAGGATGTTTGAAGAAAAATAGTGAAAACAGTGAAAAACATCATTCTGAAAAAAAAAGTAAAACCAGAATTTGTCTTCTGCTATGTTCAATTGTTGCTTGTTAAATTTTCTTCATAAGGTGTTCTTTCAACTTCTTTGTTTGATTGAAATCTAGAACTGTCTTTCAAATTTACTGTCATTGTGGTGCAAAGCATTGTGGGTCAGTTGGAAAGTTGGGAACAAAACAACTTGGCTGGGGTTACACGGCAACACAGAGTTCTAATTGTTTTGTCCAAATAAGCCCCATAATGCTCGGTGTGCTATACAGCAAAAAGTTGGCCCATGGAGAATTAGACGTATTACCTTTAAAACATTATTGATTGGCACGTTCCGTCAAACCAGCTGATGGCTTACCAGTTGAGCTGACCTCCAGGGAATGTCGCCGAACGAAAAACTTCCTGTCAGCCTGCCCCAGCCACTATGGAGCACCAATTAGGTCAAATATGTGTTTCATTTTCGATAGAGGGCATAAACGGCTGTGCTGCTAGCATGCAGCAGTGCCGGTACTTCGTTACCTGTAGCTTTTCCTGTTATTGAAGAACACCTACTGGTGTTTGAAAGTAATGCATAGTGCATGTACCTTCATCTGTTTATGGATTTGCTAAAATATATTAGCATGTATGTATGAATTGTACAATTTTGCTAGTTATTTATAACATAGACGCTCCATGTACAAGGTCTAAATTTACGTTTAGTACATCATACATGTATAACGTATATTCCTACAAATTTTGACTATTTTTCTACCACGTGTCAACAAGATACGGTACCAGTAAAAAAAAAAAAGTCTATGTAGTTCAAAAATGAAAAGTGACGGTATATATTTTTGGGGGTGCTTTGAATCAAATGTCCAGCCTGTAAGATGTCGGGGTTTATTTTAAAAAAACAATGTTTACATACAAGTTGACAACTAAGATTTAAATGATGTTTAAAAAACAGTGGTCTGCTCTGCATTTCGATGCATGTTTAACATGTAATGTGAAAATTGTTCACCCCTTACATTTGCCCAATTCTGTACCCACATCCAACCCACATGAA